GCCGCATGGCTGAACGTCGTCGTCTTCGGAGAGCTAAGTCTTCTGCTTCTTCCTCGGCGGGGACTTCTCATTCGGAGATCCAGCCCCGGGCTGCTCAGCATCTGAGCTGAACTCCATCGACGAGTCGCTCCTAGTGTCAGCGCCGGGCCCTTTCGAAAGTGGTAAGCGACTGGCATCGCAATAAAAGCGGTGACTCACCCTTAGAGCTCGCCGGTACCACCTGCTTCGCTAGCTGGTCGTCTACCGTCATCTGAGCGAGTGAGTGGGCCAGACCAGATTTCTGCAGTGCAGGTTCGCGCGGTGTGCCAGATGATGTCGACGGAGTGTCGGACTCGGTCCGAGCTGGTGCTGGTGCGCCCAAGCCCTGCGGCGAACCGTCCCATTTCACAAACCAGGCCGACTGTCGCGGCGTGGGGCGCTGCCTGGCCGCGTTTCCATGCCGGTGGCTTGGCACAGCAGGGAAGCCGCCGGCCAGGAACAAGTGGAGGCCTGTCAGACTAGGGTCGTCCTCACGGGCCTGCAGCACACGGTCGTAGGGGCCATAGCGATTTGCATCGAATGGAACCCACGTCTGATACGAGTAGTGAACGTTGGGGTCGTAATTTTCGGGCTTGAGGTTGGGTCTCGCCTGCTTTAGCCCTGGCAGTGGATACCAGTACGAGATCTGCGCGGGGTGAGGCGCAAGCCACGACGCCGCAGGCGTATTACAGAGCACGTTTTTGGGCACCGTTAATTGGGCGTTTCGCCCGCGGCGCCACGACGGCGGATTCGGCCATCCTGATTGCAGGAGCTGCCCGATGAGTTCGTGGCATGGGTCACCGGGGGCATGGACTGCGATGCGGTCGAAGGGTCCAAATATCGCGGCGTCGAAATCCGGAACATTATTCCAGTCGTAGAACCTTCGGTCGGCCATCATTTGCTCGAAGCTGACACCGCCGCGCGGCCTCGCTGCCTCGAATGGGAACCACGAACCCAGCTGCGCTGGATGGAGGTGTGGCGACCAACGTTCCGGGCTCACCTCGCGAATGTCGTCCCAGACGAACCCGAGATCTTCCAACACTTGGCGCGTTGACCGCGTCGTGGTGGACGCCGCAGTGGTAGGGCCTGGCGTGTCGGACTGGGTCCGACTGCCGCCCTCCTCGGATTCTTGGGCGCGCGGCTCTTTGCTGCCCTCGCCACCCTCGGACTGGGTCCGATCCTCCTGGCGCAATGGCTGCTCGGTCTGCTCGGCGTTGACAGCGGGCATGGGTGGCCGGGGCTTGGGACGAGGCGCACGAGGCGTTGCGGGGAGGGAAGCCGGATCAGAAGCCGCGCCGACGTGCGACGGTGCAGGCGGTGCCCGCTCTTTGCCCTTCTGCGTCGGGTTCGACTTGGGAGGCGCGTGGTCGTCGGACTGTACGTTCTTTAGGACCTGTTTGCCCTTCTCCGTCGGCTTGGACTTGGGTGCAGTGTCATCGTCCGACGACACTTCAATCGTGCCCTCTGTGTCCTTCTCCGTCGCCTTGGACTTCTTGTCCTTCTCCGTCGGCTTGGACTTCATGCGCTGTTTCTTCGTGGTCGTCGTCGCTGCAGTGTCATCGTCCGACGACACTTCAATCGTGCCCTCTGTGTCCTTCTCCGTCGCCTTGGACTTCTTGTCCTTCTCCGTCGGCTTGGACTTCATGCGCTGTTTCTTCGTGGTCGTCGTCGCGTCCTTCGTCGAAGACGATGCGGCATCACCCTTCGTCGCCGTGTCCTTCCTCGAAGACGACGCGGCACCAACCTTCGTCGCTGCTGGTTTTCTCGTTCCGCGGGTCTTAGCTTTGCCAGGAGGCGCCTCATCCTCGTCCTCCTCGACGTCCGGCTCGTAATTAACGTCGTCGTCTATATCGTCGCCGCGTAATGCAGCCAACAACTCTGCTCGTGGTGTCAGAACGTGCCAGGATGAAACACCTGTGCACTCACCGTCCGCGTACTCCGATCTTTTGGCAAACACCTGGAGCATCTCTTCTTTCTTGCGCGCGATGCCGCTCAGGGGGACATCGGTTGTGGCCAGCGCGATGAAGTCGTAGATGACGCAGACCAGGCTCTGCGGGAATCGCCATATTCTCCCAATGAGCTGCCGTTTGTCTTGCTCGGAGAATAGCGGGTCCTATGGTGACCTCATGTCAGAATGAGTATTGCTGTGATGTACGTATCAGGCTCACCATGATGATCAACACATGAGCGCAGGCGAGGTTGATGCCCGTGAGCCCGACCCTGCTCAACAGCAGGACGCAGGGCACGTCGCAGCTCTCGTAGTCTTGCACCACCTTTGCACGCGCCGGGGGAAGGACCCCCCCGTGAATAACAAAGTAGCGAATATTGTGCACATCGAGCGACTGACGTCAAAGTCAGCAGCGTGTCGAACTCGCATTAGCGTCTCGCTCACCTCAGTGAGCGGACCCAACAGGCTCGGGAAATCAGTGTAGACAACGATCTTTGTCGGGCCCCCACCGTCATTTGGCACGCTGCCTTGAGGAAAGGCCATGTTGCCGTCTTCATCGAACACCGCAGGCGCAGCCGAAGGCTGCTGCAAATGGTACCTCACCAGCTCGATCATTGTCTTCGTCTTCGTCGACGCGACCTCGTCGTAAATCTCCTCAGAATCGATTTGCTTCGGGGGGTCAGCAAGAGAGCCCTCTTTGTACCCCACGAGCGCAGGCTGATTGGTGCCTTGCCGCGTGCGAATGTAGAATTTCTGCGCAGTTCCCGTGTTACCGTCGGAACGCTGGTGTCAGTAGTTGGGGACGTACCCGTGTATCGAAGTACAAGCTGGACACGCTCGCCTGGTGATCAGCCTTCTCGAGCGTGTTGACAATTTTTAACTCCCAGTCCTCGAGCTTGAGATAGGCCGCTACTCGGATGTAGTCCTTCAGTCCGCCGAGCACCTTCCCGTTGTTGTCTTTGGATTGGTTCGTGCGGCGAATGATGCAGTCGCCGAACTTCGTCTTGATGTCCCTGATGCCCCGTATGTAGATTTCGCGCGTCGCCGTGCTGGCGGAATCGAATGCGGCGCCGAGAGGTTCATTCCCGAGCTTCGTCTTCTCTTGCCGTCTCGCGCGTGCCAGCTTCCTCACGAGCTCGCGCTCGAATGCATCGACCGCCTCGCCCATGCACCCCTTAATGCCTAGCGCCCGGCCAGCGTAGACCATATCCTACGCGCGATCATTAGCGCAATCTCACCGCGGGCAAACACGGAATACGTTACCTTCGGATGCGTGTAGATTGGGGTAGCCGATTGCCCCACCGTCAGAAGAGCGATCCAGGCGAGCCACAACATCGCGCTGAAAACATTTTTGCCCGTCCTTACCTCGTGCGACTCGTCCAGGATGAGGAGGCCGATGGCCACCAGGGAGTTCAGCAGATGCATCGACTCTTTGACCTCCTTTGATACACCCTTCTTGAGAGGAAGACGTTCTGACACGGAGTTCTGTGCAGGGCGACTCCCGAAGTAGTTGGCGCTGTCGTTCGTCACGGCCTGCAAAGAGGCGCCTTTGTTAGCCTGGTGCACGTCCCACCGGTGTCGGACTGGGTCCGACAGCGCACTGTGCTGCCCCTCTGCCCAGAGCTGAAGACCAATGTCCGCGGGGCACAGTGCGTCGGACTGGGTCCGACCGCGCGCTGCGTTGCCGCTGGGTAGGCACAGCGCCGCGTCGGACCCAGTCCGAGGAATAGCCGTGCTCACTCACCGGAGTTGTGGCGAAGATGATTCGCATATGCATGGGGCTTTTTGCCTTAGCCCATGCACTGTTGGGCCCGAAGAAATTCCGCCGCGACTTCAGCTGCCCGGTGTATTCGAAAAATTCAAACCCCTTGAGCCACGTCCGCGCTTCGGTGAGCCAGTTGGGCATCAATGTGGCGGAGGAGATGATGACGTGGGGCGCGCTGACGAGCTTTCGGCCCTCAGGCAGCCTCAACTGCGCTGCTCATCTGTCGCGTGAATACGAGCATCCGTGCCAACAGTCTGAAACTCACGCGAGACCTCCACCGGTTTCCCTCGCTCCTGCGCGTCGATGTAGTGGCTGATCATGCCGATCAGTCCGAGTGCTTGCGCAGTCTTGCCCAACCCGACCTCATCCGCGATGAGGACGCCAGAGGAGCCCTGCGCCATCATCCGCAACGTCGCGCGAATCCCGGCGACCTGATGCCATCTAAGGGTGAGCGGTGCCCACTCGTCGGACTCGGTCAGCTTGTCGCGCTTCTTCCCCATTTCTCGCTGCATGGCGCGGACCTCCTCCGGAGTCTTGCCCTCCGTCCACACCAGGAATGCCTTCTTGTGTCTCGCCTCGTTCATAAGTGGAAAAACCTCGCCCTTTACCCCCATGCTCTCCATGAGCGCCTGTCGCGTCATCTTGCTCTCGGGCTCGACGCCGAGGTCGGTTCCCAGGTCGTCGGTCATGTTGTCCCCAGCGCCAAGTACATCGACCGCGGCATCGTCAGTCGCATCGGCCCTCATGGGGCCTTCCACGAAGAGCTCGACGTACTGTCTGTAAACCTCTTCGAGCTCCTGCTCGGTGACGAGCGAAAGCATCCTCTTGCGGTCGGCCGCCGACAACTTCGCGCTGTTTTTGGCTTGATTCACAAGCGTTCAGCCCCTGGACGTGGATGAAGCGCTATCACTCACCGCCAGGCCGCAGCTCTTTGCCGGCCTCGCCCAAAACACTCTCAAGGTGCTTTAGACGTTCTTCCACGTCCTGCTCTGCCTCGGGGTCGTTCATGTATTGCGCGTGGTCGTGGAAGTCCTTTAGCTTCTGCATGAGAGTTAGGAGTGCGCGACCTTTCTTCTTGCCACCTTTGAAGGCTGGAAAGACTATCAGTATGCCGTGCCACTCGTCTACGTCGCGCATGTCTCGCTCACCGTCCCAGGCGTCGTCCACCGCAGTCTTCTTGCCGCCATAATTCTTGACCCAGATCTTGGCCCTCCTGGTCTGACGCTCCCACGCGAAGTACAAGACCTCTTTCATCAACAGTCTTGCGGTCGTGTTCATCAAGCGATGGTCTACCAGGACCTCACCACCCAGTAAACCAGCGCCGAGTTCCGGCAGGTATGGCGACGTCCAGTCCGCATGGCCGCCCGGGAGCTCACGCGTCTTGAAGGCGACAGAGACGGACCGATAATCGCAATGGTGCTGCTGCATCAGGTCGTCGATCTTTCGGTTGAGTCCACTCTTCCGCAGCAGCCGCGCCCACAGATCCTGCCACAACTTCCTACCTTGGTTAACGGTGGGCGCGAGCTTCTTACCATCCATTATCTTATCCTTTAGGTCGCCGCTGGTTGCGGCCCCCCTTACAAACGTATAGTACTGCTCGAATTCGTTCATCTCCTTCTTGCTCCACGAGATGCCAGCGCTGTGTCGGGCGGCCGCTTCAAGCTCGTGTGGCGGTGAATCCATGCCCGTGAGATCCCGCCAACCAGGCCATTGCCAAGCCTCGTAGTAAAGAACACTATCGCACAACAAAGCATAGCCCATAGTGAGTAGAGAGGTCGGCGCAGTAGCGATAAGGAGAACGGGGGTTGTGGACCACGGGCTTCCCTCCCACGAAAACTATATAGCATCCGCGCGTGAGGATTATCAAGATAATCATAATCTGCGTTGGACGCGTGCATCAACCTAACCGCTGCCTCGTGTATCAACATCTGTTCTACACGCAGATCTCCGATCGTTCATCTCCGATCCAAGAATGGTGAGATTATCCCGGCGATCATGCCTTGGCTTTCTGATCTGGCCGCTGTTCCATCGCTTCTATCGGATGATCCGATAAGCTTTATCTGACAAAACCTGCTATTAGATCATCGCACGGCCCCACAAGCACCGTCACCCGGACCGAGTCCGACGCTGCACAGGCCGCACGCGGACACTCCACTTCAGCATACTCACACAAGATGAGCGAGTAGTGCGACGTCGGACTGAGTCCGATGTGGTGCCCTGGGGGTGTTGTTTGGCATGACATCGCGGCGGGTAGTGCGACGTCGGACTGAGTCCGACACAGTGCGCTGGGTGAATTGTTTGCCATGACATCGCGGCGATGTGTGCACGATCTGTGGTTGGTTGAGTTGAGTGGAGTTGAGTTGGGTGCTGCCTCGAAGGGTGAGGGATTAGTTAATGCAGGGTTAAATAGTACTGCATAAGAGCGCGCGTGGGCGGTGAGATTGTACAGCGGCGGGAAAAACTATTGACGAGGTGAGGAATACTGGGGTGTTGGTTGAGTTGAGTTGAGTATGAATTGATTCAGGTTGGGAGACGATATGTCGTATGGAAAGGCAGGGGCCAGGTGCAGTCTCACTGTATCCAAGAGGGTTGGAGCATCCCCAAGCTCTGCTCTGATGCTCCACCCTCTTGGATACAGTGAGACTGCACCTGGCCCCTGCCTTTCCATACGACATATCGTCTCCCAACCTGAATCAATTCATACTCAACTCAACTCAACCAACACCCCAGTATTCCTCACCTCGTCAATAGTTTTTCCCGCCGCTGTACAATCTCACCGCCCACGCGCGCTCTTATGCAGTACTATTTAACCCTGCATTAACTAATCCCTCACCCTTCGAGGCACCCAACTCAACTCCACTCAACTCAACCAACCACAGATCGTGCACACATCGCCGCGATGTCATGGCAAACAATTCACCCAGCGCACTGTGTCGGACTCAGTCCGACGTCGCACTACTCGCTCATCTTGTGTGAGTATGCTGAGGTGGAGTGTCCGCGTGCGGCCCGTCAGCGTCGGACTGAGTCCGAGAGATGCTCCTCAGCCCGCTGCTGCATGCAGTGCGACCACTCGCCTTCAACATTGGATGATTTCATCGTTCAACCCATACTACGTACGGGCCATCAGTCTAGTTTAGTACGTGTGGTGCCGTGCACACTGTGGTGTCTCTGAACGGTGGAACGCTTTCTTAGCCTGGGTACGAGTCACAGAGTTCATGACCTAATTCTCGGACTAGGTATGAATGGCCTCGCTTGTGCTGTGCTACTTCCCTCAGCCTAGGTGTGAAACCTCTTGCAACCTAACCTACCGTGTCTCTCTCGGACTGGGTACGACAACCTTCCTGCTGCCATCTCTCTCTCGGACTGGGTACGACGGCCTGCGCCCCGCCATTTTTCTCTCGGGCGCGGTACGGCGGCCTGGGGCCTGCTATTTCTGTCGGACTGGGTACGACAGCCTGCGACCTGCTATTTCTCTCTCAGGCTGGGGACCACAGCCTTCCTGCGGCTATTTCTCTCGGACTGGGTACGATGGCCTATGACCTGCCATTCTTCTCTCGCGCTGGGTACCGCGGCCTGGGACCTGCTGTTTCTCTCGGACTGGGTACGACACCCTGCGGCCTGCTATTTTTCTCTCATGCTGGGTACCACGGCCTGTGACCTGCCGTTTCTCTCGGACTGGGTACGACACCCTGCGGCCTGCTATTGTTCTCTCACGCTGAGTACCATGGTCTGTTGACTTGCGGTGTCTCTCGGACTGGGTACGATGGCCTGCGAGCTGCTAGTTTTCTTTTGCGCTGGGTACCACGGCCTGTGACCTGCTGTTTCTCTCGGACTGAGTACGACACCCTGCGGCCTGCTATTGTTCTCTCACGCTGAGTAGCACGGCCTGCGACCTGCTGTGTCTCTCGGACTGGGTACGACACCCTGCCTGCTGCCATTTCTCTCGGACTGGGTACGACGGCCTGGCTGATGCCATTAATTTCTTTCGGACTGGGTACGACAGCCTCGACCCGTCACTTTTACCGTCGGACTGGGTACGACGGCCTGGCTGCTGCTATTTCTCTCGGACTGGGTACGACAGCCTGCGACCTGCCATGTGTGTCGGACTCAGTCCGACACAGTGGTTTCTCTCAGGCTGGGACCCCGGCCTGCTGTGAGCCATTTCTCTCGGACTGGGTGCGATAGCCTGCGACCTGCGATGGGTGTCGAACTCACTCCGACACAGTGGTTTCTCTCAGGCTGGGACCACGGCCTGTGAGCGATTTCTCTCGGACTGGGTACGACAGCCTGCGACCCGCCATTCTCCTCTCGGACTGGGTACGAGGGCCTAGCTACCGCCATTTCTCTCGGACTGGGTACGACGGCCTGCGACCTGCTGCTTTTCTCTCACGCTGGGTACGATGGCCTGCGGGCCATTTCTCTCGGACTGGGTACGACAGCCTGCAAGCTGCCATTTTTGCGGCAACAGCAGGGTGTCATCTCCGAACAGCAGCAGGTCACATGCAGTCATGCAGGACCCATGCCGTCGTACCCAGTCCGAGAGAAATGGCAGCAGCCTGGCCGTCGTACCCAGTCCGAGAGAAATGGCAGCAGCCTGGCCGTCGTACCCAGTCCGAGAGAAATGGCAGCAGGCAGGCTGTCGTACCCAGTCCGAGAGACTTCGCAGCGGGCAAAACTGTCGCACTGGGTACGACCGAGGTCTGAACATCGACCCGGAGTGCACGCCCTAGGCGACTGGCGCACCGGCCCTAGGTGCGCGTGCGCCCTTCCCTAGGGCGATAAGCGCCGGCCCTAGGGCCCAGGAGGTACCCTAGGGTACCCGAAAAGTCACCCATAACCTAACCTAACTCATGGTCGGTACCACAGGTGGCCGTCCGGGAAGGCCATTTTTTGTGCAAGCTATACATGGCCTTTCTGGACTGCCACTTGTGGTCTGTCCCCCTGGTGGCCACTACAGCAGATGGCCGTCCAGGACGGCCACTCACGGCCGCTGTGCTTTGCTGACTGTGCCACCTGGCCTATGCAGCCATCTGAGCCTCTTTTGGCCGCGAGCTATGGTTGAGGAGTATGAGGCTTTTGAAGTGGCATTGGTTATGGATGTGTCGCTGTAATAATACATATCATGATTGTGTAGTACATTACTACAGGTCTAGTTTATCATATGCTTACTACAGTGGCAGCCCAGCATTCCTAACTGGGACCCATGTCGGTAATACACCACCACCACCATGTATGGCCGTCCACGACGGCCACGCAGGACAGCGGCCCCTCACCAGCGCTAGTGATGGTGCACATGCCTGCAGCACCTTTTGTAGTGTTGGGCAACAGCCTCCTTCCCAAAGCAGACACGTACCTAGCCTTGGCTCAGGTTCCACTCAGTACTGGCAGTTCATGCACCTCGAACGGCCGTCCAGGACGGCCACTCGTGGCCAGTGTGGTTTACCTCCTGTGCCACCTGGCCTATGCAGCCAGTGGAGCCTCTCCGTGCATGGCCGTCCACGACGGCCACGCAGGACAGCGGCCCCTCACCAGCGCTAGTGATGGTGCACGTGCCTGCAGCACCTTTTGTAGTGTTGGGCAACAGCCTCCTTCCCAAAGCAGACACGTACCTAGCCTTGGCTCAAGTTCAACTTAGACCTGGCACCCCATGCAACTCGAACGGTCGTCTACGACGGCCACTCATGGCCAGCGTGCTTTGCCCCCCCCCACGCCACCTCGCCTGTGCAGCCACCTGTGCCTTTCCATGCATGGTCGTCCGCGACGGCCGCGCAGGTCAGAGGCCCCTCACCAGCGCTAGTGATGGCGCACGTGCCCTACGGCACGGTCCGTAGGGTTCGGCAACGGCCTCCTTCCCAAAGGGGACACGTACCCCTAGCGTCCACTCGGGGAACCCCCACCCTAGGGTTGGGGTCCCCCGCCCTCAGCGACCCTACGGCCGGCCTAGGGGGCCTCATAACCTAAAATATTTGTATGCTGCTTAGAAATGTCGGTATGTCGGTTACGTCACTGTGTATGTCGTCTACTGTGCTCTGTATGTCGTCTATGGTATTCTGTATGCTGCCTACGGTAAGCCTCGGTATGTCGCTTACAAGTCTTTTTTGTATGCCGCCTAGAAATATTTGTATGTCGCTTAGAAATATTTGTATGCCATCTACGAGTATTGATACGTCGCTTACAAGTATCTTTTGTGTGCCGCTTAGAAATATTTGTATGCTGCTTGGAAATCTTTGTATGCCGTCTTACGAATATTTGTATGTGGTCTATAAATGTTCGTATGCAATGTATAGTACTCTGTATGTGGCGTACGGTGTTCTGTATGTGGCCTATAGTGGCTTATAGCATTCTGTATGCGGTCTATAGTGGTCTGTATGCGGTCTATAGCATTCTGTACGCGGTCTATAATGGTCTATAGTGGTCTGTATGCGATCTGTAGCATTCTGTATGCGGTCTAGAGCGGTCTGTAGTGCTCTGTATGCGGTCTATAGTGGTCTGTACGTGGTCTACGATGGTCTATAGTGATCTGTATGCGCTCTCTAGTGGTCTGTATGCGCTCTATAGTGGTCTGTACGCGGTCTATAGTGGTCTGTATGTGGTCTATAATGGCCTATAATGGTCTGTATGCGGTCTAGAGTGGTCTGTATGCGATCTAGAGTGGTTTGTAGTGCTCTGTATGCGGTCTGTAGCATTCTGTATGCGGTCTAGAGTGGCCTACAGTACTCTGTATGTGGTCTACAGTTATCTGTATGCGGCCTACAGTCACCCCGGGTCACCTCCGACACCTCGGTCACCCGGTCACCCGGTCACCCGGTCACCTTCGACACCTCGAACACCTCGTCACCCGGTCACCCTCGACACCTCGAACACCTCGGGTGACTCCATAAAAGGAAGGTGACTTGCTATATATGGGTGTCACCCGACACCTGAAACGATACATCTGTTTTTCTGATAAGTACTGTAGGGTCTATCTATCTTCCGAATTGGCCCACCCAGGGGCGTCCCGCGCACCGATAGGTCATTCGAACCCTCCAAACGCTCGAAGCTTTCAAAATTCGATGTCGAGAGACATTCTCGTTCATCTGAATCCTCGAAACCCGCCGGACGTTCCATCGTGCCTTTTGCTAACACAGACAGCGCGCATGGCGACTTGGTGAAGGATGAAGACGTCGGGCGCAGAACGGAGAAGCGGGCTGCAACTGCTGCACCTGCACCGGTGTCAGGCCAGGCAACGTCCACGAAGCGTCCACGAGTTGGGTTCGAGTCTCCGCTATATTCGCCGTCCACATCCGGATCCGCTGTACGCCACCCCGACTTCTGGCTCCGGGACGGCTCGGTCGTCATCCGTGTGGGGTCATTCCTCTTCAAGCTGCACGGGTCGCGTCTAGAGCAAGAATCAAAGTTCTTCGCCTACCTATTTTCGAATGCTAGATCAGTGCAGAAAACAATAGACGGCTGCCCACTCTATGAGATACACGTGTTGTCATCGTCGGACTTCGCGGTGCTGTTGAAGACGATGGATGGGGGAATGTGAGTACTCGGATCTGTTGTTGGGCACCATGGTATCTTATATTTCTTCGCAGCACGTACGCGCTGAACCCACCGCCGTTCCATACCCTCGCTATGCTTTTACGCGCCGCACACACCCTCCAATGCACGAAGTTCACTACGTATGCATCGAACGTCCTCCGCACGACGTGGCCCTCCGATCCCGCTTCCCTCACTCCTGAACGTACGCCATACGCTGCAGAGACCATCGCCCTAGTACGCAAGTGCGCGGTACCAGAGGTACTCAAGCGTGCATACTACGAGCTGCTGCGCACCCCCAATTTCGGCCAGGCGCACGACGAAGAAGACGACGTGTCACCGCTCGGGGTACAAGACTACTCGCGCCTCACCACCGTTTGTGAGAAGTTGCAAGCCGAGTGGATGCAGATCGTGTCGGCACCCCCGGACCATTCGCATAGCCAGTTGGCTTCCTGGGCGGAACGCGAGGCCCTCAAGTCCCGGCGACACTGCGAGCAGGCGCATGCGAATGGCGCGGAGATGTGGGTGCAGGCCGTCGTTCAGAAACCTGTGTTTACCGAGGGATTGTTGGATCCACTTTGTGCCCTTCAGACCCTTGTCGATATTGACTGGAGTGCCCTGGGATATTGTGCACATTGTGTGGACCGGTGGAGGACGGCGTGGAGGAAGAGGCGGGAGCGGATTTGGACGGATCTGGATGTGTGGTTGGGACTGAGTTGAAGGTGGCGGTACCGTTTCCGGAGCGATTTGTGAACGGCGAATCTGTATTTGATGCTGACAAATTGGTAGTGAATGCTATGGGATTTGTCGACTTTCGTACAACTGCGACGATATTCGACACCAGTTTCGGAACGACCGCATGATGTCATTGCGGAAATCAACAGGGAAAATAGCGAGGAGAACGATAATTTCCGACACCACGGTTCTTCTGGGAGAAAGCGGGCAGCGACCACTGCACAGGCATCGGGTACACCTCACAACGGGTCTCAAAACCGTGCCTGATAAGATACAACTGATGCGCAGGCACCGCCGATGCTTACCAGCTTGCAGCATCCTCGATTACACTCGCGGTCATGCCATTATCCACACCCACAATGGCGTCAATAGCGACCCTCACATCCTCATCCCGGTGCAAGCTCACCTCAACGCCTGCTTCGAAGTACACTGACTGCATACAGCATCATGTCTTTTGGCTCCGCGACGGCGCCGGCTCAGTGAGCATCCACGTGGAGAAAACGCTCTTCAAGCTGCATGGATTACGATTAGAGAAAGAACCAAGGTTATTTGAGGCTCTGTTCAAGGCCTCCTGCGTGGTCAGGGACACGACGGACACTGCTATTAGAGGCCATGAAAGAGGCCATGTAAGTGTCCCTGTCCTCGTTCATTACTTCGATGTCTGAAAATCCTTAGCATGTGCATGCACTGAGCCCCCCCACCGTTCTCCACCCTCGCCGCGCTCCTGCGCGCGGCCAAGTCACTCAACTTCCCCAAATTCATCCAGTTTGCGACTCACCTGCTGCTCGCGGCGTGGTGCCCCGACCTGGCACACCTGACACCTAAACGCATGCCGCCGAAGCTATCTTGCTCGCGCGTAACTGCGCGGTCCATAGAATACTCAAGAGGGCGGCGTATCACGAACTGATCCGCTCGCCAGGATTCTGGCAAGATGACAATGCGGGCGAAGACACGAACGGGGACCTGAACGCCCCGGCGCTCAGCATGGTAGACTACGCCTCCTTGCTGCGCGCGAAAAGCGGCAGGCAGAGTGGTTGCGGGTCGCATCGGCGTCTCCATATGCATGAGGCTGCGTGCTGGATCTCCCCGGCCTGTCCACTGATCAATAGTGGCGGTGTGCGCAGGCGTATGCGAAGGGTGCGGAGCTGTAGTCGGAAATGGTAGTTCAATAACCCGTGTTTAGGCAGGATATGCTTGACCCTCTGTGCGTACTCAACAGTCTCGCTGAGATTGACTGGGGTGCGCGGGGGTACTGCGAGGTGTGTATAGAGAAGAGAAGGGCAACGTGCACGAGGGGAATGCGAGAGTGCTTAGTCGAGACAAAGGGAAAGATGCACGGGGTGTTTGCAGGTCGCTCTCAGCGCCATATTCTAGTATAGATTGGAGGTTGGAAGCTGTAACAAAAATCGTGTCGTACTCGCGAATACTCCTTCAGCACCTTCCTTATGAAGTATGTCGCCTTCCGTTTCTGTTTGTGTAGGTTGACGAGGTGGTCGAATTACTTGTGCTCCGAGTTCCGACCACGCATGCGCCTCAACGTCACGACCCTATTCTTAGATATGATTATCCTCCTTTCTCCCTGTTCGTGCAGTGGTGCATAGCTCGTCAGGCTAGAGACAAGACACGAGCGTATAGAGTTGCAGCGCATGACGAAGCGACACGTGGCCGGTGTGCACCTAGGGAACGCACGATGTGAACGACAGCACAAGATCTGGATGCGACAACGAAGACATTCAAGTTTCGCTAGTGTCCGATAGACAGGAGGAACAGGAACAGCAACGTTGGCATCCCACGTCACCGAGACGAGACTTGACCCCGAAAACATGAACAAAAATTCGCAGATTCCGACACGCGGTGCGTGAGTACCTCCGTGACTTCGCACAGGGCAAACAAGGCCTTGCGGCTGGACGCCGACAGAATTCAACCGCAACATAAGGCAGAAAAATATTTTGTTTAGGTTTGACTATCGTCACGTAGAGAATGTAAGCACACTTGTGACAGACGCAAAGTACCGAGCCGAACGGAACACAGAGACAGGAAAGCCACCAGAAGCCGATCCAAAGCCGTGGGTACTAAAGCGAGGGGAGCGTACAGTTATCGGGACGCCCAGAGAACGCCATCGCGGGATCGGGTAGATGAACAAGCTGAAGGCTCGGATGGGTCGTCAATAGGCTGTGACGTCGCGACAGCGCGCCGTTCTTCCCGCAAGAAGGCGCTTCGTTATGACCCTGGAACATACTCGGTGAAGACAACGGATTGGCATGAGGATATGAACATACGTGAGGAGCAGCTAGGTGCCCAGTGCGATGCCCGCTGCACGCCCGCATCGTCCGCCGTTCCAAACTCGGAGACAAGAGCTACAGAAGCTGCAACCATCGGGAGAACCAAAAACGCACTGCAAAGCACCCACGCCGCCTCCGAATGGAGCCCGTACGCGAGACTACGGGACGAAACGCGGCGGCGAGCATCCTCATTGCAGAGCGCGCCGCAGCACACGTCGGAGAAACCAAAGTATCTTAGGAAAGCCACCAGAAACCGATCGAAAGCCGTTGATACCGGGCATTCCATAGACGGATCCCCAGACAGAAACATCGCAGAAACGGGTGCAAAAACGCGCAGGAGACTCGGAGGCAGGCAACAGATCGCAACTTTGCGACGGCGAGCCGTTCTTCTATAAGATCGCACTTTGCCGCGAAAAGCGGCCAAACTCTGAAAGATTTGGATTGGAACGAGGGTACCGACGCAGGCAAGGTGCGCGATCGACTCACTCCCGATGCCGCATGTTTTCGTCCAGTCCTCGCTCCGGACACGAATCTGCGAACTGCGAGAAAACGAGCTCAGACCGCGTCGATGCGTACTCTGAGACGCATGAATAAATTAAACTGGAAGGACACGAACAGAGGTGAGGAACATCAATGGTGACAGTGCGACGCCCGCTGTACACCCGCGTCGTCCACGCACCAGCCACCACTCCCAATCCGAATCCTCGATCTCCCACCTGCCCGAACCCAGACCGCGTCGAGGGGCCAAAGCCAGAAATTCCACGGAGACAAAGAGCTGCAGAGTCGTCTGCACACCATCGGGAGAACCAAAAAAAAACGCACCGTCTCCAAACGGAGTGTACACACGGGCCCGGAACGAAGCGCGCGGACACGGCAACGCACCAAGTCGGATACATGCAGGCACGGCGAACGCAGGCCCACGCCGGAGAAACCGAAGTCGAAGTCGCACTCGAGGCTGATCGTACCGCGCGCACCGCCCCCTCGACGGGGGACATGCCGGACCCGCGCTGTGCGATATAGGGCCTGAGATAGCGATAGACGCAGCGCGAGCGCCGGGGTGCAGACGGGTTGCCGGTGAGGGTGCTCAGCGGTGACGACGGAGACTGAGAGGCTCGTCGGACGTCATTTGTGGCTAATTCTGCTGGATCAGCGGTGCATCGCGGGGGATGAGGCTGCACGCGCCAAGCCGAACTCGCGCGTTCTTTCTGTAGGAACGGGGAACGCGGAAGAGGCCACGGAGCTCGCTGGAGGTGGGAAGACGGAGAGGGGGAGTTCCCAATGCCGCAGATTGCACGCTGCCGTAGTGTCGAGAGCGCGGCGTTCGCAGTGATCTCACACGTCGAGGACCGGGCGTGCAGACGTGGAAATCAGCGGGGCGGACAACGTGTGGGTCGCGGTGTCGGAAAGGCGAGGCTGAGCAGCTACCATCAGCGCGAACGCGAGCGCGAGATGAAATGGCAGAGTCCGGTGATGCAATGCAATGCAATGCAACGCCATGCGATGGAGGGGCATCGCGCGGCGCGGCGGGAGAACAAATTGCCAGAGGGCGAGCGTCATCGAGGGTTCTTCCAGAATTCGAACGGGGGAGCCAGATGGAGTGCTAGATGAAGACACGGTTGAAGTGGACGGGAGTGTCTAGTGGGCACAGATCTCGGGCTGCGACTGTGGCGCGCTGGATAATAGGAAAATCGGCGCAAAGAAAATGTGGAGACAAACTAGCGGACCACCAAGGCGTAGCGGCAGGTGCACGGACCGAGAGACAGAGCGTCCAGGAACAACGAACAGAAGGCCCAACCCCACGAGCGTTCTCGCACCAGAAGCACCAAGGTCCCTGCTAGCCCCGGGCGTCGCGCACACATGCGCACAAAGCGAGGTGGCCTATTCCTAAAGGCCTGACGTCTAACGGTCAGAGTGCCGGGCTGCTTCTGCAAGGACTCCGGCAACGCCGAGGCTGGAGAAGGCCCGAGGGAGGATCCTACGACCCTGAGAGCGTCCGCCGCGCGCTGGCCAGGCGCGGAAGCAGCAGTAGCTCGTGCGCCGGGCCGAGGGGGTGCGCGGGCGTGTCGAGTTCGGGGTCTGTAAAGATGTCAGAAGCACCGCAGCTTGCGAGAGCAGGGGCCGAGAGAGTCTGGGGCATGACATGGATGAGATCAGACAGTTGTTGCGCAGACGCCTGAGAAGAGGGGAGTCTGTGCGCGCGGAGGAGGAGGGCGCAGGGGATTGCGCAGAGATCGGGCGTTGTCTCCGCGCGCAGGGCCATCTGACAGATGCTGGCCGGAGCGCGGAGAAAAGATGCAGAAGGGGGAAAGGCTGCCGTGCAGCGAAGAGACCGCTGGCTGGGGCGCGGTGTGCCGCTACGGTTGCGCACTGCGTCAGCCACGTCAGGGCGATTAGCAGGCGATTGGGCGCGATACGCACCGATGCGGGTTCGACTCCCATCGGCCCGCGCGCAGTTCGCTCGGGCGCACCCGAGCGCAGCTGGAGACGCGCTCAGCGACGGGTCACGCGCGGCATGGGCTCCCGCGAAGGGGGTGGCACGAGGAGCGACGTCCGGAGGGTGCGCGGCTGGTGGTGCCTCGTTGTCACCGCGTTGTGATGGGCGGGGCGCGGCCATATGGGAGGCGGTGAGAAGCGCGATCCTCGTCTCCCACGACGGCCGCTCACGGCGAGCAGCCTTTGACCACGCCCGGGTTCGCGATCTGCGTCTCGGTCTCCTCGGGGAATTACCATTCACTTGGCTTGGGCGGACTGGGACCACCAGGCGCGCGCGGACCCGGGAGCGGAACGGCGGGGAGGCGACGCGGTCCATCCTCGGCGTCCGGCGGCACGCGCAACCAGGCCCCTCCGGGCGCGCGGACTGATGGTGGCGCGGCCGATGGGCGGCCCCGAATTTCCATTCGAAGGCACGTGGGCGGGGGCGTGCGAGCGCCCGACGGGACAACCGATCTTGCACGGCTGGGATGCTGACACCACGGCCGACAGCGAGCGCGCATCACCCACAGCGGCCGCGGCCGATCCCGGCTGACCCCGGGGAGCGTGCGCCCCGCCTGGCGCGTAGTGCACGGATCCACTTGGACCCGCGTTCTGCGCAGACTGATCTTTCCGGTGAGAAGATGGTTGCAGACCGAACTGCGTTTGGGAGGAGGGCGAGGGACGATGAAGGCGGGCGTGAGGATGAGAACACGCGTTAGACGCGAGGCCCGAGCTGCGGAAGAAGGTGGTGGTGGTGGTGGTCGAGGAGGACATGAGGCATGGTAACGGCATGGACGGAGACGCTGAGCGGGTGCCAGAACGGGAGGATGGGGCTCGATGGACGGAAAGTGGGACGGGAATGGCAACTGGCGAGCAGCTGCAGGCAGCCTGTGGCAGCAGCCGGGAGCTGCAAGGGGCGGGCGGACCGCGTGGCCGTCAGACGCTGTCGGGAGCGCTGCTCGGGGTCTCGTGTGAGCGCTGCCGAGCCTCAAGGGCGCCGAGAAAGGAAGGCGGGCCCATGGGAAGTTCCCTATTCCGGAAGGTGCTCGCCGCAGCAGCCGATGGCTCGCCCAGCCACCGCCAACTTGTCCTCAAATACCCGCCCCCGATGGCCGCCCGCCCCTTTCTCCTCACTTTCCCCCGACGTCTTCCCCGCGCTCCCCCTCGTCGTCAACACTGTCTCTCTCGACGTCCACCACAGCGAACACACCCTCCTCCTCGTTGTCCAGCGCAACGAACATGTCCCCCTCGCCTCAGCCCGCCACCGCGGCCCCTCCGTCGCGCTCGCCACACCAGTCCCCCCCCTCAGCCCCCGCGGCTGCCCCACCGCAACCCACGCTCAATGGCTCCATGTCCCCCTCTAGAACCCCCGCCCAGCTCGCTTCGCTCCTCTCGGACAGTCTCCACGAGACCGAGGTTCTCAAGCACGACCTCGTCGTAGCCAACCGCCGCGCCGACAGGGCAGAGCAGCTCCTTTCCAAAATCTCCCAATCGGCCACAGCGCCGTCTTCCCCCTCATCCCAGCCGAACGGCACAGCGACTCCCGCCCAGAACCTCAACTCGCAGTTCTCCGAAGCTGCCACCAAGCTTTTGCTCGAGTACGAGGCCCGCACACAACGTGCAGAGCAAGTGCGCGACGAGGTGGCCGCCCGCCTCCGCCTCATCCAGGAGTCTTGGGCCGAGCTTGAACGCTGGCTCAACCACGCAGACTACCGTGCCGCCGACGTCCGCGCCAGCTTCTCCAGCATCGTCGCCTCCAATGGCGGCGAACTCCAGGCCGTGTCTGCCAACTTTCCTCCTGCGCCCCAGGCGCCCCCGTCACAGGCCGTTGTGCGCCAGTCTGCCCCCTTCTCCGTCCGCGCTTACGCCTCCCAGAGGTTACCTGCAGGACAGACGTTTCCCGCTCTTCCTCCCCCGCCCGTCCCCAATTCGTCGTCCAGCCGAGTACGCCGACGCTCCGGTAGCCTCGACGCCACAGGCTATGCCACGCTCAGCGGCCCGGGCGGACCCCCTCCCTCCAAAAAGATGAGGAGCGACGGCGACCGGGAGCAGAGACATTATAGCGTGTCGGTGAGTCCTTCCGCAAAGTAGCATCTCGCTCGTAGACATCCTCGAGGTATTCCGAGTGTGCCGTCTTACCGTTCAGTCCACATTTACCAGACACCCTGACGGGGTGTGCGTTTTGGGAATCTCGGTACTCATGCCGCTGGCACCATCAGCTCAAGGCTGCTGTCGAAGCTTGAGAGCGCTCGGGAACCGATGGAGTGTTGACGTGGATTTCTGACGTTTCGCGTAGCCTTCCCATACGCCGTACGTCAACGGTCAGAACGACCGCGACTCAGGCGGCATCACCCTCCCTGCCCCGCACGGATACTACCCGGCCCATCTTCACGGGCATCACCAGCCATTCCGCCCCCGCGAGCGCGATGACGTGCAGATCCGATACCTCGAGGCCGTCCCCTCTGGCGCTCGCTGTCCCTCGCACCACACACATTCGCATTCGCGCCACCGTGGTCGGCCCACATCGCGTGGCCGTTCCTCCCGCTCCCGCAGCCACAGCAGGGGCAGTTCGATGAGCCTCGACGAGATGCTCCTCGAGGCCACCGCCGGCGACGACAACGGCGCTCACGGCGAGCACCCCGAACACGCGCACGAACACGAGCGCGCAGGCCCGCTCGCACACCACCCGTCGGTGCACCTCCGCCCCCACTCGCACGATCGCCGCGAGTACCTCGGCATTCCGCACTCACACGCGCGCGCGCGCGCCTCGCCCGCAGTCCACTCGCACTCGCACGCACAATTGCATCCGTCTGCCTCTATTTCCGGGCCGGGCGTGTCTCCGCCGGGTGGTGCCGCATCTCCTCAAGTTGGCCCTCTGCCCGTCCCTGGGCAGGTGCAGACGTACCAGACGCACATATTCGCTCCTCCTGTGACGGGTGCGCCTGTGAAGAAGAGCAAGCTGTCGTCGTCGGGCTTGGGCAGCCAGGGCAGCGTCTTGACGCTTGGTGAGTCTAATGAAATTTTGTCCTCGTCGCGGATACTTAACGTTTTGTAGGTCCAACTGGCAGTGTCATTGCCGGGCCGTCTGCTGTTGGCGGCGGAGGTGGCTTCCCACCGACGAATGCGCAGGGCCAACGGATTTGCAGACAGTGTGGACAGCCGGGTCGATACAAGGACAACAAGTGCGTCGAGAAGTGGGGTCCGGGACCCGAGGGCCCCGGCACGGTGTGCGACAGGTCAGTCATCTCTACGGAGGTCGTCCATTTCATGACCTAACAATCTCCTTCCTCCAGGTGTCGCAAGAAAATGAAGCGCGTGGAACGGCGCGGTACGATGGAAGGACAAGCGCTCGCGCATAGCCACTCGCACCACCACGTCCCCGCCGCCATCCACCCCTCCTCCTCGTCGCAGCACCCACTCGCCAACGGCCGCACGCACGCCTCGTCCGGCGGCTCGGCCTCGGACCGCTCGATGCACCGCACCGACACCGTCCGGGTGACCCCGCCCTCGCGGAGCGCCCTCGGCCCGAACGGGACGCACATCGTGCCGGCGTCCTCGTCGCCGTATGCGCGCGAGGAGTCGCACGTGCGCAACGGCGCGCACCAGCGCGCGCCGCCGACGCCGCCGTACATCGCGACGCTGCAGGGTGCGTCGGTCGAGGAGGAGGCGCGGGGCCGCGGGCGGCGGAGCAGCGCGCGGGGGAGCACGGCGAGCACGACTCCGCCTGCGCGGAGGGCGAATGGCGTGGGCGCTGCGGGGCGCGAGGATATGGATGTGGACGCTGATGCGGACGCGGACGCGGATGCGGATGCGGATGCTGAGGCGGACGTGGATGCTGAGGCTGAGGCTGAGGCTGAGGGGGATGCGGAGGCGGAGTTGCTGGAGGCTGTGGACGCTGCTGAGGCGAATGCGGAGGAGGGGTGGATGAAGAAGGAGGATTAGTTGAACGAAGGGGGCGCGGGCGCGGGCGCCTGGTGGGATATCTGTCTGCGTGGTTCGTTGGCTTGGGTTGGTTGTTCGATTGGACTTTGCGTGTGGTGTATATTAATTGGGAAGTACTTGCGCCCGCTTGTGTTATAGTCGTTAGATGTCGTGTTATCGATTATTGCTGTCGTGCAGATGTTGGAGTGAGCGGTTTGGCTCAAAAGATATGGGTCTTCGATGTTCAATATTGCTCCACGTAATGCAAGGGCACTCCATGGCGTCGCATAGTCACGGTACTTTGCACGAGCACGTACCCTTCAGGTTTCGCAGAACGCAAAAAGATTCCGACCAGGTTCGAACGAAATACCACCAACGAGCTCGCCATAGTTGTTGACTCGGGGTAGTTCGACGCGTACTGGCGACGTTCAGAGCCGTGGATTATGACCTTTCGCTGAGCCTATTCTACACCAGAGCATGAAGCCTCACAGAAGGGATGGGAAACAGCTTTACGCGGCTCGCAATTTCTACTCGATCGTAGATCATGGTTGTCGGTGAGTAGTACTTTTTCTAAATACGGGTTTGCCATCCGCTATTTGTGACAAGATGCGCATTGCGCTGAACTCCCTGTTCGCTCTGCGGGACGCGCCTTTCCTGACTTACCGCCAGAATCATGCAACGGTTGTCGTGTTGTCATAAGACGCCTCTGGAGGGACAACAATTTTGGAAAATACTGTCCGGACGGCAGAAGGAGGTACTAGTACTGAACGAAGATTACTATTCAAATGTTATCTGACGAATTCTTCACTTTCCACGCTTTAACACTCCGCATTCGGCCGAGTTCTACCGTGAACTGACAGAATCCGGTGTTTTATAGGTCACTGATATTTTCCTTCACTAGCAGTTCAGTTGCAACGGCTGATTGGCGTAAAGATGAAGAACTCGGAGAGGCAGACGGCAGACGGCAGCCTCCTGCAGTATGTGGTGTAGGTACTTCTAAATGTATTGTGAGTTCAATTCATTAGCACTGAGTATAGTGAATTATGCTCTCATCAACTTTATCGTAAAAAGGTTGGCAGAACGGTGCACCGTCTGCACTGCTCTCAATAACTGCACCGATTCGTACTAGCCCTCGCCTCCTGAGGACCCTAGTGCGTCTTTCACAATCCTCACGCTCTGCTTACACTTTCCGAATTTCTCCTCTACTTTGCGACTTTTCTGAAGCTCACGTCACTATTGTACTTAGCTGCATGGCGGCTTGTTCGTGACCCGCGCACACGACGCGTGACGTCACGCGCGACCACGCGACCAAGAGAACTCTGTTCGCGAATCTACGACCGGAATCTACGCCGCGTGCATCTCGTACTGCTGAATTCTCAAGACCCAATCACCCAAGATAAGGGAGGAGACCGTGCTGGGGCGCCGAAGGCGTTTCTCCTAGACTACTGGTCTCTATTCCGTTGATTTTGCGCCAGCAATTTGTGGGTATGATGGGCTGTCGTTATCGCGTTTCCACATCGTCTTTCTAACGATTGTATTACAGTGTTTTAGCCGTGCTATCGATGCCATGGTGAGGTACGACTCGGAAATGTCACCGATAAATGTCCGTGAGTGCACATTATGTATGCCCAGCCTTTCACAGTGCCGATAAACCAAAGGCTTTTCTCGCGCGCGATAAGGAAACCGCAGCATAACTCGAGGGGCTCCAATCATGGTTGAGACTCACCTTTTATATTGCTATCTCCTGTGTCGCCTCGTCGGCGAGATATCGCGGTGTACTTGGGTCGCGCGAGCAGCATATTTAGGTGTGCGAGTCCAGCGACCAACGCCTCGCCTTCCCTCCGTTGTCCTTCGAGTTCTTTGCCGCAATGTCCGACGTCGTCGATGAGAAGAAGCTCCGGGACGCCGAGATGGAGGTGTCCGCTATCCCGGTCGACAAGGAAGACTTTGCGTCTGCCATCAGCGATGGCGATGATGCGCTGAAGGTCGTAGGCACGCAGCGAACACACACGTTTGACAAAGAGTACAATCGCAAGCTGAGGAGGAAGATCGTCAGTCCATTATTCTTCCGTGTCGTGAGCCGAGCGCCTGAGATGTAGTGATGACAGGACTTACTCATTCCGCCGCTCTGTGCTGCAGTGTACTTTACACAGTTCTTGTAATGTCTCTTTCTGTCGGCATGAATGGTGGGTTTACATTCTGTTCTAGGGATAAGAATATTTTGAACTATGCTAGGTGCGCTTTCCTCCTTGTATGTGACTCTATCGTCACCATTGCTCTCGTCTGTCGCAGTATCATGGGTTTGCCCATTAAAGGCATCGTGAGTACATCAGCCTTGATGAGGTTTTCATATATTTGACGACAGATAAGGACTTCAACAATGTGGCAATGGCATTCTACCTCGGTGCGTCATGCTCTTGGTCTTGTTTTGTTCGAACTTGCTGACGAGTATAACAGGATTTATGGTCTGGCAGTTCCCGACGCAGTACATCGCACAGAAATTCCCGATCGCGAAGTACTTAGGTGCGTCTTTCAATGCGTTTGAGCCTTAATGTGGTCGAATGACTAATGACATGTCGGCGAAGGTGTCAATGTCACGTTGTGGGGTGTCGTAGTCATTCTGCACTCGACGGCCCCGAAGTTCAGTGGTTTCTATGCGTGCCGTTTCATCCTTGGTGAGCTCTCTCTGCTGTCGTAGCCTGCAGAGGCTGACCAGTGCTTGCAGGCATGCTGGAGTGTTGCGTCGCGCCAATTCTCATCCTGATCATCAGCATGTGGTACAAGAAGAACGAACAGGTCAATCTTTACGTTCGCACTCGTATTTACCACTCATCCTGATCACTAAAATTCTAGGCCTCGAGGATATCGTACTTCTACCTCATGGTAGCGTGCACTTCATGAACATTGCCGTCCTATGCTGATTGTACATCAGAATGGACTTACCTCGATCTTCGGCGGCTTCATTGCCTACGGCTAGTGCTGACTACTCGCTCGTTGGCTCGCAAACCTGACGGTCTTATTTCCCAGGCCTCACGTTCTACGAGGGCGGCATCCCGCAATGGAAACTTATTTATATCATACTCGGTGCTCTCGCTATAATCGTGGGCATCTGTGTACTCATCTGGATGCCGGACTCTCCCGTCACTGCGCGGTTCCTGACCGAGGAGGAGCGCATTGCCGCGCTCGAGCGTGTGCGCGATGACCAAGCGGGAACGTCAGTCTTCGCGTTTTTCGCGTCGTCAGTCCTACTGATATCGGCTCCTGCTCGCAGTCACAACAAGCACATCAAGAAGTATCAGATTTATGAGAGCTTGAAGGACGTCCGGACATGGTTCATCTTCCTGATCGTCATGTGCATCGGCCTTCCGAATGGCGCGATGAGCAGCTTCGGGAACCTTGTCATGAAGAGCTTTGGGTTCACGTCTCGCCAGGCATTGCTACTGGGCACTCCGTCCGGTGAGTGTTGGCTCACTTACTCTGCATACAGTTGGGCTGATTGTGGACGCAGGATTAATCTCTGCTGTGACCGTCATCCTATTTGGATACTGGTCGGACTTTATAAATGACAGGATGACACTCATCACGTTGTCGATGGTCCCGAACCTCATCGGTATGGCGTTGATGACCGCGTTCCAGAAGTCAGGCAACAAGGGTGTCTTATTGTTCTCCATTTACATTCAGGGCTTTTCTGGACCCTGTACGGTGTTTCCTCTATTCTTTCCTCCCTTCTCTGTCATAAGCGATCTTTGGGTTTGCAGGCTTTCCTCTGGTGTATGCGTGGAACGCGAGCAACACGAGTGGACATACGAAAAAGGTCACACTGAACGCAATCACCCTCTTCACATTTGGAGTTGAGTTACATCCACCATCAGCATGTGCGTTGGGAATTTGACTCGGCACCCATAGCTCGGCAATGTCGTCGGCTCCTATCTCTTCCTCCCGGCCGATGCACCTAGTCAGTGACGGACATCTCATCGTGCCGACTTTATCTAATATTCCGCACAGATTACATCCCAGGGAAGATAGCCATCGTGGTGCTCATCGCAATTACGATGGTGGCGTGCATCGTTCTCCGGTTCATCAACCTGCACATGAACAAAAACAAAAAGAGGGCGCTCGACGCAGCGATTGCGGCAAACAATTGGACTGAAGAGGATGTGCAGCGCGAGCGGGAGAAGGCGGCTTTCCTCGACATGACGGACAAGGAGTGAGTGCCATTCTTGTGCATTGCTCCAGTAACTGGTTCACGACGCACCCTTTCAGAAATCCTTACTTCGTCTACACCAAGTAGCCGCCATGTGCGGCGCGATGGGTACAGGGCCGGCTTTGATGCGGCTGTGGTTTCGTTTTACGACGGTGACTGGCTGTAAAGTAGTCATACATGTAAGTACTGACGTAATGTTTCTTGGGCGGATCAGACGCCAGATTGAGATCCCTGATCGAGGTCACGACACTGACGCGTCCGAGCCACAGCCCAGTATTTTTTGCGGAAAAGGAAAAACTGTGATTGGACAGTCACAGTATTTCCCATGAAAATCCATTATGCTTTATTCAAATTTTTTTCTCATCGTTTACTTTACGAATAATTTCTGGGTTTTCCCCGAGAAACATGCGTCTTGTGAGCGTCCTGTATCTTGTGCGGGTCCGTTGTTGTGTCGTCGCTCATTTACAGTCTTTTGAACGTACGTGATAAACCACGGTCTGTGTGCAGAGTGGTTTTCTAAGAGCACCCGGGAACGTGCCTTGCCTTGCCTCGACGTTCAATTGAGCCGAGCCTCATTTATGCCATAGGCGGGCGTGCGTACATGTTGGAGCTCCAAGACGGCGTCGCATTAACCTGTTTTGACCGCATGGTTTCACAGCATCCAAATAAGGAGTGCGTCCCAGTCCGTCGTGTGCCTACTTTTAGGTGTGTCATTGCCCGTTCTCTGTCAGATAGTTTGGTTTGCCTTCGTGGCGTCGTCTGGCGCGCCATATAAAGTCTCGCGCGAAGAGCTCTGCGCTGAAACATGGCACAGACTTCAACCATCTCATTCTCGCTGGCGACGGCCGCTTCACTCGCCCTCTCCCTCATTTTCCTCATCGGATTATACACTCTTTCATCGCGCCGAAGTAAATCCACCATCCACGGGCTCAATGGCTTCTCTTTCTTCTCAGCGTGGTTTTTCTTCGCTCGGAGGTACGAGTTTCTGAACAGCAACTTCAGGCGCACGGGCGAGAAGCTCTTCAAATTTCGCGTCTTGCAGGTGAGCGAGTTCCAGGCGATCCTGTGTGTGCACTGACTGTCTGTGGAGCATACGGTTGTGGCTCTGTCAGGCGAGGAGGCCCGCAAGGTGTTCTTTAATGATAAGCGACTTAACTTCAACGAAGGATATCGCCTCTTCCTCGGCGGGGTGGGTGCCCAGTTTCGTTTCCGCGGTCTGCTTATTGAGTACGGTGTAGGCGCCTCAATTGTCGGACATCAACATGCTCGATGCCGACGACGCTGCGATCAAGTTTTTCTATAAGTATTTCCAGCTCGTTCTCACAAAGGAGAGGATCATGAACGGTCCGTGCATGCCCGTGTGTTGGTATCCTGAGCTGATACGGCCTCGTAGTGCTTCCGTTCCTCCTTGACGGCATGCATAAACGGATGCAAATTTGGGGAAGCAAGGGCCGAATCAACCCCTTCAAGGAAATCTACGATGTGCGCACCTCCAATGTCTGCATTTTGCCCATCTCATCTATTCTTGTAGCTTGTCTTTTGGATGACGATCCGCATGGCGTCGTGTAGCGAGCTTGCGGACGACACCGAGGCTTCGGCGCGCTTCGAGGAAAACTTTTGGACGCTTGAACAGAGCTCGACACCGGTAGCGCTGCTCCTGCCGTGGTTCCCGAGCCGGGCTAAGCGGAACCGGGAGCGTGCGACACGAGAGTTGTATTCGATGCTACAGGGCTACATTGATAAGAGGCGTAACGCAGACGTGCCCAGCGCAGACACAATCGACCTACTTCTGCAAGATGGAGCAGAGGACGCCGAGATCATTCAGGCGAGTGGATATATGTTTGACGTCGGACGAGTGACTGAGCTCGTCGTGCGCAGTTCATACTGTCCGTCATCTTCGCCGGCGTCACCAATACCGGCATGATCGGTGCGTTGTTCCGTCTCATACTCGCCACTACTGACCTTTTGTATGCAGTGTGCTGGATTCTGCTCTATTTCGACCAAAACCCCGAGTGGAAGGCAAAGGTGTCTGCAGAGGTGCACAACCTCCTGTGCACTCGCACGGATAGCACTGGAGTTGCGCTCCTACACGAACGGTTGGCTGCACTCCCGATGGCCGCGATAGAGGAGGAAACACCCGCCCTTGAGCTGGTCATTCGTGAGACCATCCGCCTCATACTTGCTAACGGCACCGTGCTGCGGCGAAACGTCGCTAAGGAATTGCGCATCGGAGACCAGATCGTCCCACGCGATGCGTTCATGGCGTACAATCTCGCAGACGTGCACCTCGATCCAGAGCTGTATCCGGATCCGACGAACTTCGACCCAGCACGGTTCGAGGCAGGACGCGAGGAGGACAAAAAGACCACCTTTGGGTATCTCGGTTGGGGCGCCGGTGACCACTTTTAAGCCTGAAACCTAGACGAAGTGCTGACGGACGTGTGCAGGCAGACACCCGTGCGTGGGCATGAAGATCGCGAAGTTGGAGATCAAAATGGTCGTCGCGTTGTTCCTCGTGGGGTACGATTACAAGCTCGTCGATGCCAACGGCCACTTCCCAGACCCGTTCCCCGTGCGCGACCCGAACGACTTGCTGAAGGTGGATAACGCATGTTCTACGGAAGCTGTGTTGACGCCTCGGTTTACAGGCACGGCCTATGGGGAAACCATGCTTCATAGACTTCGAGCGCATCGTCGACTAAACTCAATGCGGTGCCTGAGACGAGAGCCCGGGGTGAGGTCCGACAAGTGGTCTCTTGTAGTAGGTAAACATCAATTGTTCGCAAACACAGTATTATAAACCGTCGCAAAACATAAAGTACTGTAAAGAAGTCGGCCCACTACAACCTCAGGATGCCCACATCGATGTGGACAGCGATCACGGTCGTGTAATTAGACGTGAAATGTCAGTTGGCTGCCGTTGTAGTAAGATCGTGGATCAGTACCTCGGAACTTCGCACATCGAAGACAGCTCTGCAGTGAATGCTCATGCAAAGTTAGGGCACCTCATTTCTGTGCACAGATCACACTACTCTCCGGCTCATGAAGTGCATTTGCCAGAGGTCATCGCTGGGCGAATAAAACTGAGAGATGGATGATCGAGCCGGAGGCATAACCTTTGAGATTGATCGGCGACAGTGCCATTTCGGTCGCAGTTCTGTCTCTCGCATACGTGATCCGATGACTTACGATGTTTCTATTGCCCATGTTGCATAACTTGTTTATATTGCTTGCTTCACCCCTTCGTTGGTCAAGAAGTTTGGACCCTGACCATGTCTCGAAATGATATATTTGCGCAATGGCTTAGCTAATTCGAAGACGTGGTTACAAAGTGATGTCGACTACTCTTACAAAAGCAGGATAGCTACCGATCTGCCTGAAAGTGAGGAAGAAAATGTACAAATATGATACACACAGTGACGTACAAGTAACTAGTCATGAGAGCAGGCTTAGAGAAAGAATGAAGGCATATATATAAGGGGTTAGAGGGTGGACGAAAACACGCATAGTGGATTAGAACAAGAATGAATGCATGATAGTAACGCAAAGGGACGGGATGCAGAGGGATGGAACGCGCCGCTAACACGACACCACGTATGAGGTTCGTTTGCAAACCTCAATACAAACCAGCGGTTTTGAGCGCCGGCCACTTCCCACCAACATCTGCGGGCCCCTCGATCAATATGTCGTCTGTCGTGCCCGGCTTGACTTCAATTAGGACATAACGATTATGTTTGAAAAAGTACGCCTGATTTTTGTTGCTCGGGTTTGGAAGACAAGCCTCGATCCCGTTGGTGAAGCCATTGCGCAGCGACGGCCAATTCTGATAAATGGACTTGGGCCCGTTGATGATGCGGTCGTTGGTGGTGCCGGGGGCGATGTCGATGAGCGCGTACTGGTCACCCCCGAAGAAGTACGCGTGCGCGTTATTATGAGGATTTGGCAAGATCGCGTCCACCCCTTTGTCGAACCCGGCCTTGGTCAGGGATGGCCAGTTCCCGCGAATCGTCTTGACCGCGCTCACTAGGTAGTCGTCCGTCGACCCCGGCTGGACGTTCACGAGAGCATAGCTGTCTCCGCTGAAGAAGTAGGCTTCTCTGTAATTGTCCGGGTTCGGCAGGATCGCGTCCACCCTCCCTGCGAACTTGGCCTTGCGCAGGGACGGCCATTCGGTCACGACCAGCTTTGGCCCATTGATGATCGAACCGGGTGGGTCGAAGTGCATGAGGACGTATTTCGTCTCTGCGAAGACATAGACCTCATGGACGGAACGCGCCAGGTTGGGGAGAACAGCACGCGCGAAGCGTGGCTCGGTCGCGGTGCCTATCAGAAAATCTGTGATAGTATGACCCTCGCCCGTCATGAGGATATCTTCGTCCACGGGACTGCGCAGCTCCCTCCTATGCGAGTCCGAAGGATTCCCATCGTCGTCATCAAAGGTCACATCAACGACCTCGACCCCAATCGATCTGTACTCATCCTGGGGCAGATCAGGGAGGCGCGATCCATGGCCCCTGCCACTGGCGTTCCAATCGAAGTACGGATTGTAATAAACCCGGACGATTATGTCCTCCGTGGTGCCGTCTGCATTATCGATCCGGCGGTACTCGACGGCACTGCGAACGAACTCGCGCCGGATTCCACCCGCAAACGCGACCTCGTTCTGTTGCTGATGGCGATGTGTGCCCAGCGACTCGTTGACATCTATCCCGCCATGCGCGTATATCTCGTACTTGAAACTGGTTCCGCCCACGACATGGCGATTAAGCCGGTTATCCGCCGTCCACACGAGCGGTTCGGGCACCGAGGGGGTGTAGGTCGCGAGGGTGCGCGTCGTGGACACAAAGATGGAAGGGACGTTGTGCAAGACGTAGGTGGCTATATCCAGCTGCTGGTCCTGCAGCTGTGCGCTGCTGGAAGGTTGGACCTTCGGGGCGAAACCGTTCCTAAACACGTCTTCTGGGCGACGGATGTCCCAGCGGATGAGGCGCTCAGCACTAGCTGGCAGATGAAGATTGCGGAAGTCCGTCGCCCACGTCGGCCTCCACTGGACAGACCGATCTGGGTACAGACGACTGCGCGCCAACACCTCTGCGATGCGGTTCATCAAGGCCTGCGTGTCATCGCGGAACCAGCCGAAAACGGCGGCAGTGAAGGGATCCAAGCCGCTCATGGCAGACGTGCTTTAAGGAAAAAGTAAAGGGTCGTCAGAAGGAATGCGAGCAAGAAGGCGACTGTGCGCACTCAATGGTATTGATTCAACGAATTCGTGGAAGGTAATCACGTAGAGAAGACAGTGCACACAGTAAAGCGCGAGGTGAATGATACAGCGGGAAGCAGAGGGGGTCCGCCCCGCAGGTAGTGGAAGACAGGTCTGAGGGCCGGTCTTAAGATCACATACTGCGGCGGATATTTATGCAATTCTATAAAGCACAGGATCGAAAGCGCTGGGGAAAACAAACTGTAAACATATCAGCATGGAAGCTGCGATCCGGCAATATCGAAGCGCCGCTCGCAGGAGGACAGACATTAGCATGGAAGCACTTCCGGGGAAATGTCACTGCGGTCAGTCCGTCCAGAAAATGGAACTCACCTTCTGATCAGCGTGCATGCCCATCGCCGAAAGGATGAACGGCGATCCCAGGCATAGAACTGTTGCGAGTCTCGTTGTTAGTCCACACGTCCAGGTTGTACATTCACTCTGAGCTTACTCGTTGAACGAGATATTACGACGCTGTTGCTATCATTGAGGTATACATTGCGGATGCATGAGGCGAAGGAGTGCATCTACTCATGTGCGACACACCCGAAATGACATGGGCGTGAGTCTGAGGTTGGCTGCATGACCTGGCCGCGAGCGGTGCTGCCAAAGAGACTTGGAACCAAGTGGACCGGCTGAGACGGCGACAGAGCAATTGGTTGGGTCCTGGAGCTCAGTCTGACCTACGGTGCGCATATATCGCCGGAATGCGAGGATGCATTTAAAACGGATTGAAGGTAGAAGCGTACCTGATAAGATGCGGTGTTATGAAGCTCAGTGGGATCTAGGGAGTGCACAGATCGCCGAGATGTGTAGAATCAGAGGCGGTCAGGACCTGTTGGATAGAGGACGTCCGGAGACGGTAGGATTCCCGCAAAAAGTAGCATCCACCCCCGGGAGGACGTACCAGATATGTGTAGTTGGTACCGTAGTACGCGTTCCAGGAACTGTCCTAACCCTTAGCGAGCAAGCGGTAAACTAGCTGCACAGGGAAGTGGCTGTGGCGCGACGCGTCCATGACTACAATGGTGCATCGAACCCGGAACGATTGGAGGCGGGGCGCGAGGAGGACAATATTTTGTAAGAAGGCGGCATTCGGATATCTCAGCTGGGGCGTATTCTTGAAAGTTGAGGCGGAGACCGAGATGGATGTACTGACAGACATATGGCTCGGTGCGCACGCAGATGCTCGGGCATGATGATCGCAAAGCGGGAGATTAAAACGATCGTCGTGCTACTCCTGGCGAGGTACAATTACAAGCTCGTCGATGCCGACGGCCGGTTCCCGGATCCATTCCCCCTGCGCGACCCGAACGAGGTGAATGACGCATGCGCTGCGGAAACTGTGTTAGTTTTGCGGTTTACAGGAGCGCCCTGCGGAGAATCATGCTTCGTTGACTTCGAGTGCGTCGTCGACTGAGCCCGACGCTACGGTTTACACGAGAGCCCGGGGTGAGGTCCAACCAGCATTGTATCTGTACACAAGTAATCTCTTCTTGTAGCAGTACACAACTTCTTAGACACTGCGTTCCAGACCATCGCAAATTATCTAGTCCAGCAAAGTAGTCCGCGCACTACAATCTGATGCCCACATTGATCTGGACGGCCTTCACATTCGTGTAACTACATGCGAAACGTCAGTTGGCCGCCACCGTAGCACGAAGAGTCCGCTCACTTTTCGAGCGCATACTCGCTCAGCTCCCGGCCGATCCCCGACTGCTTGAACCCACCGAAAGGCAGAGCAATCTCTGTCTGATTCGCACAATTGACCTGCGCGCAGCGCCATCAGGATCAGTGTGACTGCAATGATCTAAACCAGGCGGAGGATAGTACTCACCCACATCGTGCCCGCCTCGAGGGCATGCGCAACACGAATAGCACGATCGATGTCCTTCGTGAACACCCCCGCCGCGAGCCCATAACTGGTGTCATTAGCAGCCTCGATGACTTCTACACACGGCAATACATTCAGGACGTTTTACATATCGCGCGCCAGCCTGCACTACGTACCGTCCTCCGTCGCGAACTTCAAGACGCATGCGACAGGCCCGAAAATCTCGTCTTGCACGATCTTCATGCCCGGCTTGCAGTCCGTGAAGATCGTCGGCTCGATGAAGTAGCCTTCCGTCCCGATTTGCTTCCCGCCCGTGTGCACCGTCGCGCCGTCGTCCTTGCCCGACTGGATGTAGCCCATGATGCGCTAGCGAACGCCCATGAGCGCGAGGGACAATCGAAGAAGCAAGGACTCACGTCGAATTGCGTTTTCGATACCTGTGGTCCCTGGTATGTCGCCGGGTCGAACGGGTTGCCCACCTTGATCGCCTGCGCGCGGGCAGTGAACTCCTGTAAGAACTTATCATAGATAGTGTCCTGGACGAAGATGCGCGAGCCGGCCGAGCAGTTCTGCCCGTGGTTGAAGCTATTCGAATTATCAGTAAACGAGGACCTGCACCAAAAAAATGTGCGGCGCACTAAATCCCATGGATCGCCCACTTCACCGCCTGTTCAAAGTCTGCGTCGTCGAAGATCACAACCGGGCTCTTCCCCCCGAGCTCGAGAGTAACTGGCTTCAAGTTGCTCTTCGCCGCCGCCTCCATAATCTTACGCCCCGTGAGCGTACTGCCCGTGAAGGCGACCTTGCCTATCAGAGGATGTTCGCTGATCGCTTGGCCTGCGGTAGCCCCGTATCCATTCACGATATTCAGCACACCCGGTGGGAAGCCCGCGTCGGCGACGAGCGTGCAGAAGAGCAACGCGGAGAGTGGGGTCAGCTCGGAAGGCTTGAGCACGACCGTATTCCCGGTGGCGAGCGCAGGTCCAATCTTGAGCGAAAGAGAGAACACTAAAGGGAGAGCAGGGTCAGCGAAAGAAGTCACGCAGGAAACACGCGCTACTTGGCACATTCCAGGGAATGATTTGGCCCTGAATCAACGCAGAATGAGGACGAGTGTATTGCGAGACGACGCTACTCACCACTACGCCGATAGGCTCGTGCCGCGTGTACGTCATTTTGTTGTCGTTTGTCTGGCTAGACGTCAGTGACAATGCGAAGAGCAGTGAATGCCACCTCACCTCGATAGTCTTTCCTGTGATCTTGTCGGCCCAACCTGCATAGTAGCGTAAGACTGCGATGGCACCAGTGCAGTCACGATCACGGGCCGTCTTGAAGGCCTTCCCTGCAAGTTGCACAGCACCACCGTTAACGTTCAAAGAAAACGCCCAAGTAAATGAAAATGAATGTGCAAGGCGTCGTACATACCATTCGTGAGCGCGTCAAGTGCAGCAAATTCGTCGATACGTTGCTCCATGAGGTCCGCGAGCTTAAAGAGCATCTTACCGCGCTGCACGCCGGGCGTCTTGAATCCCCAGGACGTCTTGAAGGCGGTTCGTGCTGCGTGAGCTGCGAGGTCGATGTCTGCCTTCGTACCCGCCGCAATGGATGTAACAATTTTGCCGGTCGCTACGAACGAAATCAAGCTTTATTTAATGACAGACACAAGTCCGACTGGGACACTTACCGGGATTCACGACACTATCGCGGTCTCATGAGAAATCCACTTGGCAATAGGAACAAGGCACTCACTCGATTGTCCCCCCTTCAACTGGGTCCACGAATTCATCATTAATGTAGAGACCAAGAGGAACAGTAACGGTCCCCTTATACGCCGCAGTGTCAAATTGGTAGGTGAATGTGTCGGGCATTGTCTGGACGGTTGAGATCGTATCGCAGGGGATTGTAGACCATGTTGCGCCTGCCCATGGTGTACTTATCGGCGGGACAGCGAGAGATATTAGAAGCTGATGGAAGGAGCAGAAGGACGCGGAGACGGGGAGCCAGACGTCGTAGTCTCGTGCTCCTACTCACTTCGCTCTCTCACTCCGAGGCCGACTTATCTATGAGCTCCCCCCACGGCTCGCTTCCCATCTATAAATTCACCATGCTTATCCTCCGACGCTGCGGTCCTACCAGTACTGTTCTTCTCGCTCCCGAAGATGGCTGCTGAACCCGAGCGCAAGGTCTGGCAACCTATCCATCCCGACTTCCTCGACAAGCTGCTTCCTGAGTATGTCGCGTACCACAACGAGCACATTCGCTATACCCCCGCCGCTCAGCAGGTGCCCTGGGATCCGAGCGTTCGCGTCAAACTCCAAGCTGGGGGAGCTTCTGAGCCTCTGCAAGTCGGTCCCGGGCGCGATGTCTCGCTGAGCAAGTGCGCAATGCGCGTTTGGACTCCGGAGGGTGCACCACCCGCAGATGGCTGGCCCGTGTTGTTATTTTTCCATGGAGGTGAGTAACGAGCTGGTATACACGAGAATCCACTTAAGTTTGAGCATGTAGGTGGCTGGACACTTGGGACTATCTCCACCGGAACGTCGTTTTGTACGAGCATGTGCAAGCGTAAGTTCTCTCCGTTTATATCTAAGTCTAAGCGATATCCTCTCACAGCTATTATGGACGTTAATGCCTTTCAGGCGCGAACTGCCTTGTATTCTCGGTTGATTACCGTCTTGCGCCAGAGAACCCTTATCCCGCTGCCGTGGAGGACGCTGTAGAGGCACTAGAATGGGTTCACACCCACGGTAAAGCCGAGTTCGGCGCGAACGTCCTCAAGATCGCCGTCGGTGGCGGCTCTAGGTATGCCAATCTGTGTAGTCTGCATCTCACAATCATCTTTCTTCCGCTAGCGGTGGGAATCTCGCCGCAGTGCTCACGCACAAAGCGGCATTGGTGAATCCTCCGATTCCTCTCTGCTTCCAGCTGCTCCTTGTCCCCGTCGTCGACAACACCGCGTCGGAGTCCGGTGAGCCTTACCCCTCCTGGCGTGAAAACGCGCAGACCCCATGGCTCTCCGTCACCCGCATGATGTGGTTCCGCAAGCTCTACCTTCCGAACGAGGCCGACTGGGCCTCGTGGGACAACTCCCCGATCTACGCATCCGAAGCGCTTTTCGCAAAAGCGCCCCCGGCGTGGGTTGCCGTGATGGAGCTGGACATCTTGCGCGATGAGGGAATCGCGTACGGCGAGAAGCTGAAGAAGGCGGGTGTTCCTGTTGAGGTGAAGATGTACAAGCGTGTTCCACATCAGGTCATGTCCATGGACGGTATGTCGCTGTGGCATCTATTCCGATGTTAGTTGCTGACGAGCGTGCGGTGTGGTTTTGTCGCATAATTAGGGTGAGTTTTATTTTCACTGTACTGGCAATGTGCTGAAGATTGCATATTAGTGTATTGGAGACTGGAAGGCAGCTCGTTACCGATTGCGTTGAGGCGCTGCTCAAGGCTTTCGGTTCTCCGTAGTTGTGCATTGTATCAAGGTTGTAAGTGTATTGTGGGTGTTCGAACATTATCAGTCAAATTTCCTGTTCACGGCTGTCGTTGAACGGTATTAAAGGAACCGAGGAACGGGTCACATAAAGTTGCCTTGAAAATACCGCACCGATTACGTCGATGCGGCGAGATGCTTCTAGAGATTCACAGTACGAGATGCTCGAATCCTCAGATGTGAGCGGCTTGGAGCCTTGCTGAAAGTCGAGGCCCACAGGAGGCTATGTTGAGACATCTTCATCGTGTACGTCCGGTATATAGCTCGGCATGTCCTATATATCGGTTCGATGGCTTTCTTCAACGTTACTACAGGTCGGCAATTTACCGCGTGCACCCTGCGAGTGTATGCGTTCATTCACAGTCCCTGTGCACGGTGCAGCGCGGCGTGTTCTCGCAGAGGTCGCAGTTCAGAGTGGGGTGCGCAGACGGTTTGGCAAACGATGGAACACTCGGTATACAGACGATGCACATGAACGGATACGTACGTAGGTCGTAGGCTGGGAGGTTCAAAGTTGAACACTGAAAATGCTGAGAGAAAACTGTGCCGACGCCGCACGAGAAACCAATTAGCAGACTCTGAGCCAAAATCGTGTTGAACGACTTGGTAAACGACTTGTCGAACGAGCGGCAACTGTGTACCTGGTGACAGAACAGATAAGCAGTAATCCTGACGAGTCGATGAGGCAAACTCTACAACGCATGTTCGTGCACAGTGACCGGAGCTCACACGAGCCACTCCTCCTGCCCCTCGCTCGTCTCAATCTCCCAAGGAAGTGGGGAGGATCGATGCATCCAGACAGGTACCACTTTCACCCGCCTCGCCCCCTCCACCGAACGCACCATGCGCATCACCTCGGGCAAGTTTCGCGTAAACACCGCAGCGTGCAGACTAGCGAGCATGGCGGGGACCCGGAATGTAACCACCACCTTCTCGTTGAGGCGCAATATCCGCGCGAGCTGCGGGTCGAGCTGATCCCAATTGAGGTTATCCGGGATGTTCGGGACTGTGTGCTTGTCAGGGCCGCAAAGTTCGAGAACAATGCTACGCAGTTGAACATGGTAGTACTCTTCTCCGTCACCATCACCGTCGTCGGCGTCAACTCCTGCAAGCGGCGACGCGATCTGGCCCAAGATGGCACAAACCAAGCGCAGGGGAAATTGGGAGTTCAGCAAGATGTCCTTGATATGCAGCTCCTCCAGATCCACGTTGTGTGACAGGTCTATGCTCTGCGGATGACGGTCGTAACCAGCGAGGTCGTTCGCGAGAGAAAGCACTAAACGCCGTAGCGCGGCTCCGCTCGTATGCAAGAGGGTGCGCAACGTCGGCCAGACACGAAACCCGCGCATTCGCACTTCGAGCGTGGAGAGGGAGGAGAAATCCAGCGGCCCTCCGTCGGTTGGCCACGTGGGCAGTTCATCGTTTGTAACAAATGCCATCCAGACCAAATTCATGTCATGTCGATCGTGAGTCCATGTCAGCGTGGAGATTTGCGGCTTCCTGGCAGCTGCGAGGAACGGTGTACTACCGGCAGGAAGATGCGTCTGAACTTGCACAAGACGCTGTGAGCGTAGGGAGAGATCGGATACGTGCAGCGTGGAGAGACGGGGGAAGAACGCGAGGAACGGAAAGAGATCGCTGCGCTCGAAAGTGCAGTTGGGCTCGATGACGAGACGTGTGACGCCGACGCACGGTCCCGCCTCCCAAGGTCGAACGATCATTACATCTCTCTCCGAGACTTTCCCAGTGTCGATCGGCTGCTGAAGTGTCACACACTCCACCGCATCCAAGCACGCTAGTAGCCGCAGCAGCCCGCTGTACAACAGCGATATGTTCACGTCGTTCACACGCACCGCCAGAGCACGTATATGGTGAACTAACACAGTGGAGGTCTCTATGACGTGCAAAAGTGGCTGAATGTCGGTGATTGATACGGAGATGGTACGAAAAAGGTGATGTCGCGCGGTGGATAGCCATGCGCGGCAGGTCAGGCTGCAGGATTTGAGCGCGGCACAATCAAACTGGAGGTAATCCAGGATGTGATCGTGAGTCTCAGGTGGGAGGTGAGGCAGAGTGCCTTCGGTATATGTGGAAGGCAAAGCAGCCATCTGAGGATTACGTGCAGAATATCAAAGCTTGGTGTAGATTCCGTGATAATTGCAGGTCGATGATTTCTCTTCAAGTATCATAACAATGAGATAGAGACGATGACTTCAGGACCAAAAATCCACTCACGTCAATAAGCAACGTCGAGCGTTGCGAAAGATTCGTACATCTCAAAGACTGTCACCCAAGTCGTCAAAGAGCACAAAGGCGTACATATACCGGAGAGTGCATGGCGAGGAACCGTCGAGCCTCGCACAAGTCCAAGTGGAGTTTGAGCGGAGTTGAAACCGCACGGAAGCAACGTGCTTCAAGATCGTCGATCGGGTACCCCTACGCACTCCCTACTATCGTTACCCCAGTACTGCAATCTGGTCTAGTTATGCAATTTCGCCGTTTTGCCGCATTTTGCTGCACTAAAAATCACAAAAAAATATGCAATAGATGTGCACAGTCCCAAATACCTTGGCTGTGCAACTTGGGAGTCAAACTCGGAGGGGAAGAGTGCGAAGTTTCTGAATTGCAAGTTTGGAGGACTTAGGCGTGACAGTGAAATGTGCCATTTAAAACTCCGACTAGAGGGAGAACAAGGGAACGGCACGTCGGCAAGCGTGACGATCTGTGACCGATTCGGCGCTCTTGCGTGCAAATCAGTCTCTTCACTGCGTTCGGTCTTGGAGTCGCACAACATCAGGAAAAAAATTGGCAGTCACACAGAAGGTAGCTTATATGTTGTATATTTGATCCAAAGAGGTTCGAAGGAAAACGGGCCCGATTTGAAGGAACGGTGACAGAGATGCAATCGCAATTGCATTACTAGGGTAACGATAGTACGCGGATTGGTTCAGTTGATGGTCCGCTGTCACGCAGAACCCCGCGAATCCATCAGGAAGCTCTGGCTTTCTCCGGCTTTCTCCGGATGGAGATTGTACCTCTGCATGGAGGGTTCAAGGCCCCAAGCAAGCAGATGTACCCAGACAGCATACGTATCTCTTCGTAAGTACTCTATGAATATTTGCAAAGAATATCCGATGGTCCACACCTGTCCCTGACGTTTCCGAATAGGAGAAGGGGATAAGTAGGCTCAAACGAGAAGATGGGACTGGGAGTCGGAAGAGTTCAGCGGAACGTCGGCTGGCCGACCGAGGAGTTCAAGCTAGTCACGCTTTACATTAATACTGACGGTGAGTATGCCTATTATTTCTGTCGTGAGCGTGAGTGTCATCCATGATAAAGGCCGACTCGTAGAAGGAGACGAGCGTGGGCTAGATTGATGTGAAGTACTTGTCTCAGTCGTCTGGCCGCCGCGCAATCTCAAGCTCTCAGGTGCATCCCATGCGAGTGGGTATCATGCCAGGTATGTACGTATAAGGGCTCTGATCTAGGCACTCTGACGTACGTTAACGTTGCATAAGGTGAGTGTAAAAATGAGGACCCGCCTGGTGTGGTATAGAGTCACCCGTTTCTGGGTACTGTGTCTTGGCAAGCACCCACAGCATCTGCTCACCAACCTATGGGCTCTGCGAATAGCGGACGTCGCAAGTCCTGAGTCGAGCGAGCGCTGCGTGGTTACGATACATATGTCGAGTGCAGACAGGCATTTCGCTATCAGGAAATATTCAAGCTTCAGGCAGCGTCCACCTCCTGGCCGTCAGTGTTCTCGCCCAAAATCCAGTGCCGTGTCCAACTGGGACGTGGCACATTGTAAGCCCTGCCATATCCTGCACTGGAACAGCGGACGACATGCCCGGAGCTCGGGTGGGGTACGCGATCCTCGAGTATCCTGGTCATGAGTTTCTGGCTATTCCGCACGTCAGCACATAATCTGTCGACCGTGCAGTGGGGGAGCCAGTGCCTGTGGACGCCTTCCTGCAGCGTGTTGCACATGATATTATTGAGGCCCACATGAGTTAGGCCTGTAGATACCTCAGGCATCGGAATAGTGAAAATTCCCATGTTTCTGTAATTTTGCCACTCTCGCCAGCGTCTCCAGCCCTCGCCATGCCTGGCAACATGAGTTTCGTCTCGCCGGCGTTTGGCGAGGCCTCCCGGGAGGTTCCGAGTCAATGCTCCGCCGCATTCTTTCGATCTCCTCGCCTTGCGATGCTAGTGCGTATGCATATATACAGTCTGCCTCCATATCATGGGCTCCCACCTTGGACGACGATCAGAAGGTACAGTAGATTCGTGGAGTAATCGGAGAAACACCCGTATCGATATAATCGGGACCCAGCCATTCGACGACGAAACTTACACTCCTCTCCAACTGCAACAGAATCAACAATGGTGAGGGCGGAGAAGAGAATCAAGGTCAGTCAGATTCACTCCTCCTCGTTCTCCTCGCCTTCTTCTTCTTCTTCGTCCTCCTCTGCTTCCTCATCCTTTTCTTCTTCCTTGTTCTCTTCCGCGCGCTCATCCCGTTCTCTTTCCTTGTCCTCATCCTCATCTTTATCCTCGTCCTCGGCCTCTTCCTCCTCCTCCTTCCCCTGCCAACTGCTCCCGCAGTACTCAGCATTCCAGATCTCTGCAACAACACCCAACACCTCCTCACTCACATCCCTCCATGCACCCACACCATCCCGCAGCCGTCCAATCGTCGTGATCTCTACTCGATCGCCCGCCCACCGCCCGCGGTGCAACGGCCCATGATACGGGATCGCAGTCGACGGGTCATAAGACCAACATATTAACGACACCAGCACCTCCCCCAAGCCCACCGCCCCGTCTACTAATGGACCGCACGGCTTCCTGTTCGGGGACAGTGCAGCCGTCGCTTCCGCGCGCACGTACTCGCGCCGCGTGAGGCTGCACAGTACCCACGCGGCGCTAGGATCGGAGCTATAGCCGCCGTGGGCCAGGGCGATCAGCGCCGTGTACATCTCTGGAGGAACGTTGTACCAGAACTTCGGTCTGGGGATGTACCACCCCAGCTCATACACCAAGCGGAAGTGGTTGGTCGCGTAGTTGAAGAGATTCACTCCGCACTCCTCGTGCTCGTCTTGCTGCTCGTCCTCATCATTCTCCTGGAGGACGTGCATCTCGCGCTCCTCAGCGGCGGTGAGGAACCCCGGCGGGAGATCGTCGTTCCGGACGTAGTCCCCGAGACAGATAATGCGGCACCCGGCCCACTTCGCCTTCGCCTCCGCCGCGAGCGCATAGATGTGTCTTATGCCGAGGGCGAATAGTGCCCAGTGAGTGGCGCCGAGTGCGATGGCGTCACGCATATCGTCGATCTCGTCGAATACACAGAGGAGGAGCTCGGGGAGGATGGCAAGGCGGCCGAGCGTGCGGACGTCCGGGGTGTGCACCAGAGGCTGCAGAAGATGTGGTGTTGGTCGATGAGCGCCGGGCACTGATGAGTGGGCGGGCATACTCACCTTGCTGCTGGGAGGCAGGGGAAGGGGCACGGCGAGCAAGAGCACGAGCATCTTCGGCAGGCAGCTGGTGAAGAGCCACTCACCGAGCTTTAGGCCAACCTCACCGGTGAGGTCCTCCAGTTCCTCCTGCGTGTCGAAATTGAATCTGGGGGAGTTTGGAGCGTTGGTATGCGCGCAGAGGAAGTAGAGATGTACACACGTACATCGTCCAGTATTGGCCCATGTTTATTGCGAAGCTTCTGCCGCGGTGAGTCTTTATTGATGATGCGGCCCAATGGTAAAAGGATGCAGAGGAGAACAAAGAACCGGGCGGCGGTGGCGCTCTACACGACATGTCACGGAGGCACGTGCTCATGTCACTCAGTGGTCACTGGTAGGAGACCCCAAGCCCAGCCATGCGTCCTGATCCTCATGGTGTTTTTAGCTCCACCTCCGGCGCGCTCCAATCCACACCGACGACACCGTGCGGAGGGATCCTACGCGCAAGAAGATCGAATGTGTTTTCGCCAGTCCACTTTCACTTTTCGTCCACCGAGAGGTGTCGCTCATCTGTAGGACGACCTCCTTGGGGCATGTACAGCGCATCGCATAAACGGAGGCGGAAGATATGGCCTCACATGGATGGCCTCACCTTTCACATGCATCTTCCCTACCGCAGCCTTTCTCCTTCATCCTTGCCAGATATCCAACAACTTGAAAGGAGATACGGCGCCAAATACTGTCGCGGTCATGCTGACGAGTGGAGGACACGCCTAAAAAGGCTTCACGATCAGATGGCGGGAGGATGACACTCTGACGAAGGTCGAGGAATCCAGCAGCTCCGGCCTCGCAGCATGTGCCGGAGATGTCGACGAACGGGATAAAGTAAGTACTAACATGGACATTTGCATTTCAATTGGTGGACAAGCGCGCGAGCGCATTTTTGGCCATGGTCGGCTCTTCGGGAAGAGGCGTGTCAGGATGGGCGCATATCTTATTGCCAGTGACGACACGGAAGCACTTTCAAAGGGCATGTCTATCAGTTTGGTGAGTGGAGCGAGCTCTGTGTGCCGCGCGGTGCCACGCAGCGCATGAGACGAGTCGACGAGCAAGACAGAGTATTGACGTGCTCATTTTAAGTGGCAGAGAGACGCTCGTGCGCGTCCTCGGTTGCCTTTCAGAATGAGGCGTGCCAAGATAGGGCGTTATTCAAGTTGCCAGCGACGACACGGATGCGCGTGTCCATCTGCCAATTGGTCTCGAGATGCACGATTAACCGACAGGGCGCGAGCACCACCATCGAAGGAACAGCAGCTACCGCAGGGCGAAGTGCTATCACCTCCATCGCAGGCTCCCTCTTCCAATACGGGCAACCCACCGACCATTCGCGATCCCGCTGAAGGCATAAAGAGAGCAGGTGCCCTGCGCGAGCTCAGCAGACCACAGACCCCGCACAGCGATGCAATTTTCGTGGACGTACTTCCTCCAGCTCGTTTCCGCCTCGCTGCTAGTGGGCCGCACCGTAGCAGCACCCACCGCCGAGCCAGAGCTCAGCCGTGCGTAGCATCATCTCACCGAGTCTAGCGTGACTCTGAATATTCGTTGCAGGCGAGATCGACGCACGCCATGGCGACGAATACCTGTGGTACATCGACGACGCCGAGAGCCGGCACCTGAGCGACCTACTCGGCACCGACTTCGGCCGGCTCCGCATCAAGGGCGTGCTCCTCAGCAAGCCCAAGATGCAATGCGAGAACTGCGGGAAGCATACCGGTCTCGACGATATCGTGCACAATGCACTGCAGGATGGCGTGCACAGGTGCGTGCTCCTCGGCTAGCGCGGGGATGTGCTGATCAACGTCCGTATGGAACAGCAAGGAATTCATGATCAAGGTGCTTGAGGACCGCACCCCCCACCCGAGCTCTGGGCATGTCATCCGCTGCTCTGGCGCTGGATGTGGCAGGGCGTACGACGAGCCGCCGCCCCGTTGGACCTGGGATTGGATTCGCGGCAAGGACACTGACGGCCGGGAGGTGCATTCGGAGGGTGCTGATGAGGAACCTGAGGCTTGAGTATGCTTGTTTGCGAAATTACCCGTCCACGAGCTCGAGAATGTGTATTTGTATACGGATGAAGAAGGCATCACTTCAAAAAATATTCGACGTTCGGTACTGTAGTCGCACCTCACCCGTACCGACTTCAACAGCTGCCTAAGGACGCCATAACTGCTTCCCAACCCGAGTCTTGCTGCATCCCGCCCGCACGCGGAGCAGCGGATAAAATACGAGGGAGTTGTATTACGCCCAACCACCTGCCTTGAGACAGTGTACGAAACATAGCACCAACCTCTCCTCCCGCCGCTCCTCACTCCCATCCACCTCGTATACAGCAAATATTGATTCTTTCCAGAGCCCAACGCGCCCGCGCACCTCTTTGGCGTCTGGCTGATATCCATATCAACTCTTCACGCCGATTTCCCTGTTGTCCACCTCCCATAGAGCATCACAGCCGTCACAGACCACCGTTTGTCCACGAGACGCTCCCCCAAACTCCATCTTCGTCTGAATCTGTCCCGTACTTGTAACCTCGTTTAAAATTCTGGAAGATGACGCTCCACGCTCTGGCTATTCGTTCTGCGGCCCCGCCCCGCCGTTGCATTGTATTGCACTACTAGCACCGGACTCTGCGCCGCATTACATCTCCCGCTCACCACTGCGCTGATGGTCCTCGCCCTTCCGCTATCTGCGCGGCACCCCGTACTGATTTCCATGTCTTAACTCCTGTTCCTCGACTCGTGACATCATCACGAACATGGTGCCCTCAGCATGACGGCGACTCTGGCAGGACATACAATCTGCAGCGTTGGGAACCCCTTCATTCTGTCACGTCTTCCTATCTCTCGCGCGTAGCCTCTTCTGCTCTCCCCATTCGTACGAAAACTACACAATGGTACGTCACCTTGGCGTGTGCAGCGCCCCCACCATGGACCGCAGATCCAGCAGATCCAGCATAAGTGACGTCCACGGTCTGTCCCAGGACAAAAGACCGGTTCTCATTGTCTCTATGCATGTTGGAGATTTGTGCGTTCCGTGAATCCCATTGAGCCGCATTCCGTCAGCTGTGCCCGCTTCTATGTTCAATCCGCGGTCCAAAATGGATCCGCGCATTCCGGAAGTATGCATTAAACTGAACTCCAGAGCGCGATCAATTACTTCGCCGCCGTCTCTGGACCATTTGGTTCTCTTCAAAGCCTAATGAGTTACTTCACTGCCGTCTCTGGAACATTCAGTTCCCTCCAGAACCCAATCCATTACTTCGCCGCCATATCTGGACCGCTTCGTTCTCTTCAGAAGCGAATGAGTTACTTCGTTACCGTCTGCGGACCATTTCGTTCTCTTCAGAACCCAACGAGTTACTTCATTGGGGTCTGTGGACCACTTCGTTCTCTCCAGAACTTCCCAATGAGTTACTTCGTTGTCATCTTTGGACTACTTGGTTCTCCAGAATACAATGAGTTACTTCGTTGCCATCTCTCGACCACTTGGTTCTCTCCAGAACTCAATGCACTACTTCGCCGCCATCTGTGGACAACTTGGTTCTCTTCATAATTCGATCCATTGCTTCGCCGCCTTCTTCGGACCGCGTTTTTCTCCCTAGAACGCAATGAGTTACTTCAGTACCACCGCTGGACCACTTGGTTCAAGGTCTCTTTGGCAACAGCGCTTGCGGCCAAATCATGCCGCCAACCTCATGTCCGCGGGAGTGTCACACATAAACATGTGCCCTCCTTCACCTCATGCTCATTGACAATGTGCTCAACTATAGCAACATGCAATACGTTGTTAAGTAAGCACGGAATGGATGTAATTTGGACATGTGGGCTAACAGTGAGACTTGCAATAGTTCAAACCTTGCGATCGCCGTTTCGTCCTCAGAAGGGTTAGTACGCTGGTCAGTCATCGGAAGATCCCACTGAATGTGAGTCCAGTGACATTTTTCGGGAAGCGCCTTCATGCCGATATTCTCTCCTTTCTTCGAGATTGAATATTGCATCGGATCTTACCTTCCATGCTGATATTTCTATAATTTGTTCCCGTCGCTTTCAACCCTATGCGTTGTGGGAGTGCATAAATACCCGCCTCAGTCGGCGACCGTAAGGCAGGCCCTCAGACCTATCTTCCACTTCCTGTGGGGTGGACCGTCTCTGCTTTCCAGTGTATTGTTCACCTCGCACTTTGCTGTGTGCACTGTCTTCTCTACGTGGTTACCTTCCACGAATTCGTTGAATCAATACCATTGAGTGCGCACTGTCGCCTTCTTGCTCGCATTCCTTCTGACGACCCTTTACTTTTTCTTCAAAGCACGTCAATCATGAGCGACTTGGATCCTTTCGCTGCCGCCGTTTTCAGCTGGTTCCGCGATGACACGCAGGCCTTGATGAACCGCATCGCAGCCGTGTTGGCGAGCAGTAGTCTGTACCCAGGGCGGACTGTCCAGTGGAGGCCGACGCAGGCGACGGACTTCCGCAATCTTCATCTGCCAGCTAGTGCTGAGCGCCTCATCCGTTGGGACACCCGTCGTCCAGAAGATGTGTTTGAGAACGGTTTCGTCCCGAGGGTGCAACCTTCCAACGGCACGCAGCTGCAGGACCAGCAGCTGGACATAGCCACCTACGTCTTGAACAACGTCCCTTCCATTTTCGTGTCCACGACGCGCACTCTCGCATCCTACACCCCCTCGGTGCCCGAACCGCTCATCTGGACGGCGGATAACCGCCACATTGTGGACAGGACCAGTTTCAAGTACGAGATATACGCGCATGGCGGGATAGATGTCAACGAGTCGCTGGGCACACATCACCATCAGCACCAGAACGGGGTCGCGTTTGCGGGTGGCATCCGGCGCGAGTTCGTTCGCACTGCCGTCGAGTACTGCCTGATCGAAAACTCAGACGGTACCACAGAGGACAGGATCATCCGGGTTTATTACAACCCGTACTTCGATTGGAACGCCAGTGGCAGGGGCCATGGATCGCGCCTCCCTGATCTGCCCCAGGATGAGTTCGGATCGCTTGGAGTCGAGGAAGTCAATGTGATCTTTGATGACAACAATGGGAATGCTACGAAGTCGCATAAGAGGGAACTGCGGAGTGCTGTGGATGAGGAGGATATTCTCATGACGGGCGAGGGTCATATCGTCAAAGACGTGACGGTAGGCATCACGACCGAGCCGCGTTTCGTGCGTGATGTTCTGCCTCTGACGGGTTCCGTCAACCATGAGGTTTATATCTTCGCAGAGACGAAGTACGTCCTCATGCGCTTCGACCCGCCCGGTTCGATCACCAATGGGCCAAAGCTGGTCATGACCGAGTGGCCGTCCCTGCGCAAGTTCGCAGGGAGGGTGGACGCGATTCTGCCCAACCCGAAGAACCCCAAGGAAGCCTATTTCTTCTGCAGAGACCATTACGCACTTGTCAACATCCAACCGGGGTCGACGAACGACTACCTGTTGAGCGCGTTCAAGCCGATTCGCGGGAACTGGCTGTCCCTGCGCGAGGGCGGGTTCGACAAAGGGGTGGATGCGATCTTGCCGAGTCCTGATGGCAAAGGACACGCATATTTCTTCCGGGGCGACCAGTACGTGCTCATCGACATCGCCTCCGGAACGACCAACGATCGCACGATCACCGGGCCCAAGTCCATTCACGACAATTGGCCGTCTCTGCGCAATGGCTTCACCAGCGAGATCGATTTCTGCCTTCTGAACCCGAGTAACAAGAACCAGGCGTACTTTTTCAAGAAGAGCCGTTATGTACTGATTGAAGTCAAGCCGGGCACGACGGACGACAGGTTGATTGAGGGGCCCGCAGATGTCGCTGGGAAGTGGCCTGCGCTCAAAGCGGCTGGTTTTTATTGAGGTTTGGAACGAACCTCCGACGTGGCGTCGCGTTCGCAATGCGTTTGCCCTTATGCGTCCCGTCGCTTTGTTTTACTTTCATGCGACGTCTCGGTCCGGTTTGTTTGAACCAGTGCTTTCGTTCTTGCTCTATGCTTTCGTTCTTACCCTGTGCTTTCGTTCTTGCTCTAAACTTCCTCTCATGACCGGTTGTACGTCGCTGCGCATACCACCTTTGTACATTCTCCTCTTCCTCGTTTTTAGACCGATAGATAGCTCTTTCTGCTATTGTAAGAGTAGTCGACATCACATCACTGTGTAACGCGTCTTCGCTGAGCCATCGCGTAAACATTTTTGAATATATCGTTTCGAGATGTGGTCACTGTACAAACTTCTCGACCTATCAAAGTTCAGGTTGTAGTGCGCGGACGCCGTTACTGTGTTTGATGTTTTGCGATTAAGTATTCCAACGATGTGCATCGACTTCAAGAGATTGCTTGTGTACCTTGCGGGCACCAGGCGGTATCGTCTCAGGCGCGGCTCCGGGCTTAGTCGGCGCCCGAAGTCGATGGAACATGCTTTCCCGGAGGCCGCGCCTGCCATCCGTGGCCTGAACATCGCTCCTAGAGTACACGTCACTCACCTTCTGCGGATCGTTCGGATCGCGCACAGGGAATGAGTCTGGGAACTGACCGTTCCCGTGGACGAGCTTATAACTGTACCCCGCGAGGCACAACGTGACAGTCATCCCGATCTCCAGCTTGGCAATCTTCACGTCCCATGCATGGATGTCTGTCTGCCTATATATACGGCTTTCAGTATCGGCACCCGTACCACGATGCTGACGATATGAGTACACACATCCCAACCGAGATATTCAATGGCGATCTTCCTGTCCTCCCTCGAATCGTGCCGGGTCGAATTTCTTCGAATCCACGTACTACATACAGCTCTGCGTCGAGATGCGCGTAATGCAAAGCTGAACGGCCGCGCAGCACGATCCGGTCCCGACTCCCCAACGCGCAAGCCCCCTCGCGACGTTCCGCCGCAGCATGGCGATGCCGACGTCCGCGCCGGTACCGACAGATCGGCGCGCAGATGCTGTGGACGCGTATGGAGCACAGTAATGAGGCCTCGTCCCCAAGGTCACTCACCCGGAACAATGTGTGACACGCAGGGAGCCACCTCGGCGCTCAGCGTTATTTTTACGCGCGCATAACCTCTCAAATACATACCTATTCATCCATCAACCCAGACCCAACCCATCCAAGCCTGCCTCTCGCCCTCGAAGTAGCCATAATTAATACCCCACCTCGGGCTGTCACTCACCTGTCGGATCTGGAAGTGGGGAGCAGCAAACCCTGGGAGAACGCCCTCCAAAGCGTTTGCGGAAGGTCTCTGCGGAAAAGACATGCCAGGAGGTTGGGCACGGCGAGCAGACAGTTGCGCGTCGTGTGCTCAGAGCACTCCCGGACATCGCGCGCAGGGGCACGATGCGGCCTCCCGTCGGAATATAGTCTCCAGCGCAAGCGGCCTTCAACGGCTACTGGACCGCCGGGAACGTGGCTTCTCCAGGCTGTACGTGTTGTCTGCCGCAGGACGTTTATGTATCGAGTCAAAAGGTGAAACGAGAGAGACAAGATAGAACGTACGGGGCGCGTGATGGGGCAAGCGCAGCGATGGCTCGCCCTCGCTCTACGGACGTTCAAGCATCGAAGCTTGAACGTGGGCGGGCCGTACGAAGAGCGGACGGTGGGCGATCGCCGCCCTGTATCCACTGTCCGCGGTGCCCAAGGATCCGCGACACCTGTACAGAGAGTTAGGGCGTGCAGGAAAGGGATGTACGCAGGGACGTACGGGATGTGTGGAACGAGGGCGGGCGCACGCCTCGCTCTGCAGGCAGACTTCGAAGAGGCGAGCGAATTGCACCCCAGGGCGGGACCAGAAATTCTTGAGAGTGTTAAACAGGATGTGTAAGAGGGAAGACGCATCGTTGGACGCCGCGCCATGCGTGCATTCCATGATACGTGCGACGGTGTCTGCGTCTTGTTGAGACGTGACCGGTACCTCAGCCGACGGAATGGAGACAAAGGAAACGTACTGCGAGACGCTCATTGTCCTCGAGGCTCGCACAAGTCCCATGTCAACCGCAGTCTAGTGCAGGACGCTTTCCCCAGGAATCCAATCCAGTGCACTAGATAAGCGGAAGTAGCATCGAAATTGATAAGACGACGAGCCGAGCCCACTTGTCCGACCTGTGAGCCCCGGAAGAGGGAGATGAAAAGACACTGAAGAGCAGTTCGTGTAGCAAGTTGTTGATAGTGGTCACCTACGGTAAGAAGCCGTCACCCGGAGTAGGATCCATGTAGTCGAACGTGTCCATGAAATACAGCAGTGCCGCCGTGAGACATGATTCCGATCGCGTGGACACCACGTGGCATAAGTAGTCTGAGCTTCATCCGCGACATCGACGACTCTGCATAAGCATCATTCAGCTAGGCAACCTGGCACTAGAATACTCTTGTCGGGAGCCTCTCGATAGTTCCTCCAAGGCCAACTCGCAAGCAAAGTTTACGGGCGAAAACTTCGAGATCCATCGTGAGCATTCCTTTATCGTGGGCAGGAGGAATAAAGAATAGATTTTCGCCGCCGCCGTGAGCGCGCAGATCCGTCTCGTGACAAGGACGAACAAAGCCCAGTGGGCGGCGCGGAGCGCGACGGCGTCACGCATATCGTCGATCTCGTCGAACACCTAGAGGAGGAACTCGGGGAAGATGGTGAGACGGCCGAGCATGCGGACGTCCGGGGTGTGCACCAGAGGCTGCAGAAGATGCGATGATGATCGATGAGTAGGGCTCACTCACCTTGCTGGTTGTGGGCAGGGGGAAGGGGCACGGTGAGCAGATACGTCATCATCTGTACCGTATCGATGTAGAAGAGGCACTCGCCGAGCTGTCCACCGCCGTTGCCCAGCTGCTCGCACGTGTGTCTGGGCGAGGTTTGGAGGATCGTCATAGGTATCTCCTGAGCGTTCACGTACATCGTCCACTATTGGCCCATCCTTTCAGTAAGCTTCTGCCGCGACGAGTCCTTATCGACAAGTGGGAATTCAAGAGATTTTCCCCAGGTCATATCTGCTGCAGCACGTGAGTCGCACAGCAGTATCGCCCGTCATTGTGCTGCTATCACAATGAGACATATATATAGTTCAATATGTCTCCATCTGTTCATTCTGTAGGCTGACTGCGGTAGGTTCGTAGGATGTTCGATTCGGAGGACGCGCAAGACGGCGACTGCTCAGTATGCATGCCAAAACGGGTTAGAACCGATGTATATGTAAGATCTCTCTCAGCATCTGGAGCTGACAGAGCATTCCCGAGCGCTTGGTACAACCCCTCGGGCCTTCCGCCACCACGCAAAGTTGTCATCCATCGTAACCGCCATTACCAGCTGCTGACCCCATACATACTCCACATAGGGCTGAAGTATATATAAATGCCGCACCGCAGCACGATACGACGGTCCCGAAGCTTAAGCTGAACAACCATCGTGCGTGCGCTCTCACATTTCCGACTCGTTCATGGCCGATACGCCCGCCGATTCTCGGCCTCTGGTGCTCGTCTTCGGCGGCACAGGCCGCACAGCGGCAGTCATCATCGACGGTCTCCTAAAGTCCGGCGCATTCGTACGTTCCCGCGTTCCCGCGCGCGCGCGCGCGCGCCATTCCATCTGACCCCCGCTCACAGCGCGTCGCCACCGCCGTGCGTGCCCCTTCTCTCTCCAAGCCGGCGGTCGTCGAGTATAGGAAGCACGGCGTCATCGTCCGCGCGGCGGACATCGACGACGGCGTCGAGAAGCTGGCCGCGGTCCTGGACGGGGTAGACGTGCTGATCAGCACGATCACCGCGGAGAAGGTCCCTAACCAGCGCGACCTGTTCACCGCCGCGAAGCGCGTCGGCGTCAAGCGGGTCGTCCCGTGCGACTTCGGGACCCCCGGGGCGCGCGGGGTGCGCGAGCTGCTCGACGAGGTCCGCAGTGGGACGTGTCTACCTACGCTCGCCGTGCGCTCACTTCGTCCCTCCGCATGCAGAAGCTCGAGATACACGAGCACATCAAGAGCCTCGGCCTCGGCTACACCTTCGTCGACATCGGGTGGTGGATGCAGATCTCCCTGCCCTGCCGCTCCACGAGCAAGTCCACGAGGCGCGATATGAGCCGCCGGCTGTACAGCGGCGGCGCGCAGAAGATGGTCGTCACCAACCTGGACCGCGTCGGCGTGTACGTCGCGCGCGTCGTCGCGGACGAGCGCACGCTCGGCCACTCCGTGCTCATCTGGGAGGACCAGGTGACCGGGTTGCAAGCCATGGAGATCGGCGCCAAGGCGAGCGGGGAGGGCCCGGCCTTGCTCGAGGACGTCGCGCACGTAAGTCCGTCGCATGGCTCTTCTCTTTCGCGGCTGTAACGCGACTTGCGTCGTCTAGGTGTCCGCGGACGAGCTGCTCGAACGAATCGCGGCCGCGAAGGAAGAGTATGCGAGGACGCGTTCTTTTGCCTCGTGGGCGACCCAGGCGTATTGCCAGTACCAATACAGCATCCACGTCCTCGGCGAAAACAGCCTGGAGAACGCAAAGGCGCTGGGGTACCTCGATTCCCGCGAGTTGTACCCCGACATCGTTCCGGACACGCTGGAGAACTACGCGCCGACGTTTTACGAGAACGAATATATTATGTAGGGCGGTAGGGCGGTCTTGGTGTCTGTAGTCGGCATATACTTTGGAGAATGATAAGGGGCGCGGGGTCCCAATACAGGAAGGCTATCAGGCGAGGTTGGATTCCGTCATCAATTATCAGATGCGACTATTTTTCGTGTATGTACATATATGCTCTTCGTGTCCCAAAAAGCATTTTCGTAGGAATATTCAACCGCAGACCGTATTCCACGACAACTCAGTCCAGTAGGATTCCGTCGTCAATCATCAGATGCACCCATTTTGCCTCGTTAAGCGCGCTAAGGCCAATCGCACACAAGGAACGAGTCCGGGAGCTGACCGCGCGAGCGTTGACGTCAACGAGCTCGCAGCACCCCGATCTCAGCTTGGCAAACCTCCACGCCCGTGCCCGTGCATGGGTGTCCGTTGCCCATATACACGGCCCTCCGTACTCAGTATCGGTATCGGCACACACACGATAACGACATGAGCACACGCCCACATCCCTTGCAACCGAGATATCCAACGGCGCCATCTTCTTGTCCCGCGCCGGGTCGAGCTTTCGAGTCCGCGTAGAGGCTGTATGCGACGAACGCCCGCGCGGTCCCCAATGGGCGACGTTCGGTGATACAGCTCGAGCGTCTGCGCCCGATACCGACAGGTCGGCGCAACGGATGCTGTGGGTGCTCGCCAGTAGAGTATCCAGAAACGGCCAGGTGCAATCGCACATCGCAACAGGGTGTGAGCCACCCTCAGCGTTGCGCACACAACCTTCAAACACGCACCTAGATCCATCCACCGACCCAGACCCGGCCCGTCCAAGCCCCCCCTCCCCCCCCCCACCCGCACTCGAACGAGCCGCGATGGATATATCGACACCCCGCCTCGGCCTAATCGCGCGCCGACCCCGGGAGCGGGGCGCGGTGAACGCTAAGAGAACGGTGCTCTCCACAGCGTACCAGGCGGTTGGCTGGGGCACGGCGAGCAGACAGTTGCGCGTAGTGCGCTCTAGAGATCGCGCGGGGCGCACGGTGCGGCAGCGCGCGCGCATACGGGCGTGGCGTGAAGGATGTGCCGGTAGCTGGGGAGGCGAGCGCGCAGAGGCGCAGATATGCTGGGGGAGGGGGGGGGGCGGGGACGGCAGCGGGATGAGATAAAATAGAGAGGAGAAGGAAAGCGAGCGGGAACGCTGGCTGGACACGCACGCACGTACGCATCCCGCGCAGCGCTCGCGAAAAATCGCAACCACACAGGCCTGCCCTCCTCCTCCTCGGGGTGTTCCGCGTTCCGCTGCCGGCTCGTGCTGCACGCGGGTGGGTTTTTTTGCGCGCGGCGCTGCATGCTAGAAACACGGGCGAGGAGACGGTGGTGGGACGTCGAACCAGATTCGGGGTGTGTGGCTCGGGTCGGGGTCGTCAGTGGTGGACGCTGGCGGGACGCGGGCTGTTCCAGATCGGTGCTCAAGCGAACCGCTCCCTCCACCAGCTGGGGAACGCACACGCTAGAACGCGCGAGGACCACGCACCCGACGCTACATAGCGCCATCCGCTCGCTGGCCTCCGATGGCGCGCCAGCAGAGATATCGATGTCCGAACCCGCATCGCGATTCGTCCATGGCCATCAACCCAGACCCAACGCATCCGCTTGATCTCGCCCCCCCTGCGCGCCTGCGCCCGCGAACTCCCCGCAATTGATATATTAATACCCCACCACGCCACGCCCGACTCCGGGCGCGTCCCTTCCTCCTCCACCTACATCTCCGCACGCCCACTCCTCCACAGCGTAAGAGCGGGGAGGCGGGCATCGCCCGCCTGCCGGAACCTTGAGCTCCGGAACGGCGCGCGGGGAGCACGATGGCCGCAGCGTGCGCTCGCGTCCCAGCGCCCGGCACAGGAGCGCGCACGCATCGCTCACCAGCGTAGGACGCCCTTGGGCTCGGGGCGACGGCGGGAGTGCCATCGTATATCATATACGTCGGGCGTTGTGCGAGGGGACAATCGGACCGTATGACGGGGAGGGGCTGAACTGGCAGCGTGCAGGAGCGCAATGCAAAAGGTGTAGCTCATACGAACGATGAGTTCCACCTTGCACCTCGCGCTCGTCGACGGCCGCTCTGCGTGAAGGGCGCGGAAGAGATGAAGCGGTCGGGATAGGGTGGCATTGGCAACGAGAAACGTCATCGAAGCACTTTCGGTTCCGAGTCACCGACTCGCAACGCCTCCCTCCCAACTCCCCTCCATATGTACACTACGACTTGCCCTTGCTCATCTCTCCCCCCCCTCCTTCCCCAGGTGGCATCCTGCTCCCCAGATCTGAGCTCCAATCACCTCGGAGCCGCGAGCGCTACCATCCAGTGCCCGAAGCGATTAACCGCGTAGACCCTCCTTGCCGCAGAGCCCGCACGAGACCCGTCCAAGAACTGCTCGCTGTAGCCCAGCCGATCGATGATCATCACGCATGGCCAGAGCATTTCGGGCCCTCGGTGTCTGCGGGGGCGGGGGAGGCGAGCTACGCGCACGGCCAGGTTCGGCGGTGGGAGTTACGACGCGACGAGAGGCGGAGAATGAGTTGGAAAGAGTCGGCCGCGGTCTGAGGGCCGGACTTTTTTGTTCGCTGACAGACGCATGCGACTATATAAAAGAGCATCTGGCTCTTGCCACTTGCCCTGTCAAGATCATCTTCGGGTTGGACGCCCACCGTCGTCTCGGTGACGTGGATGACGTCATGCACGCGCGAAGAGTCTCCTTGGACTCTGCGAACTATGGAGACCTGAGGCGCATCAAGAAGTCGGAGGTGTGCCGTGGCTCCGCACGTCCTCCAATCACCGGGGAGATCCCAGCACGAGCACCATATCTGTTCGGCGGCACAGACTAGATAGCACCGCGGTGTATCCGTCTCTCACCAACACCCTCATCTCCGACCATGCAACCCCCAGCTTCCGAGTTCTCGCACACTAGTGCCGACCTCACCGCGTGGTTCCCCCATTCCTCAAGGCCTCAAGGTTCAAGCTCAAGGCCTCATCACCCAAGTTCTCGCGTGCCCGCTCCCGACCTCCTCTCGTCCGTCATTCGTCGAAAAGCCACATACCAACACATTCACCGCAAACGCCCTGCACAGTCACGCACATCGCATAAACACCAAAACACCAAGCCAAGGCCACTCGTCCTCTGCAGGCTCGCCGCGCTCGGGCGCTACACCCCGATACCAACGAACTCAGACACGACGGGCACAGACCGAACCCACTAGTACTGAATAAGGGACCATCGCTAGTCCTCGGACGTCGGTCGAGCAGTCTCTCGGCGGCAGACGACCCGAGCAGGCCAAACGCCACGTAGTCCGGCACGAGCCGCCGACGCAGACAATGCCGGAGCCTCGGCAGCAGTGCGTCAGCGCTAGCCACCGCCGAGTCGATAAGTCGAGTCTTTGCAGCGTTCGCTCTTCGGGGACGACAGGGCGTGCGCCGCCGCGCACATCGGGGGATGTCGCGCCTTGAAAGTTGAACGTTTGAACGCTCGGGACGACGGCGCAGGACGCAAAGGCGCGCCTTGCGCGTCCGAATATCGACGCGCGCGGAAATGTCGCAGTTGGAGGGTGCATGAGAAGGGACGGCGGTCCGGATCCGATGGCTCCGCGTGCAGACGAGGAGAGCATGGGTATTCCACGTGCGAACGCTCCTTCGGCCCTGCGCTCGGTCCAAGTTGCGGGGCAGCTGCACCTCGGGTCGGACGGGGCAAGGGGGCACCGTCGGGATATACTCTCCAGCGCATGCGGCCCGCGACGGCGACTGGAGAACGACCAGGAACGTGGCTTCGCGTCGTCTGCGACCGGAGCCTCGCACTCCGGGCGCTGGAGCATGTTGAATCTGGAGTCTTGACGTGCGCAGCCCACAGCGTGCCCGCGAAGAGCGGAGCGCGTGGAGTCCCCGCCCTCAGCTGCATCTGCCAAACCGAACGGGGAGAAAACCGAGGGAATGGCGGGGTGGACCTTGCGCGCCAGTCCGACTATCGAGCCCCGCGCACGCGCCCGCGGGAATGTCGAGTCGGAGCGCGCAGGAGAAGGGGGAGCGACGACGGTAGCGCCGCGCTCGAGGGTCCTGCGTATCAGACGCACATGCGGCACGACGGTGGTGTGCACTTCCACGCCGGACGTTCGTTCGGCCTCGCGGTCCCAGGTGCGGGACACGACCACGACACCCGCACGTCGAGCCAGGGGGAGACTCAGATCGGACGGAGAGCGCCGGGCGCCGCGTTGCCACTGGCATCGCTCTCCCGTCGGAATGTACTCTCCAGCGCGTGCGGCCTGGCACTGGGAGGTGGGAACGTGGGGCGTCGCCCTGCGCTCGCAAGAATTTGAGCAAGCTCGGGCGCAAGCTTCTGCTGGCAGTACACCACATCTCACACGTTCCGGGAGGCCGCAAGTCCTTCACGCTGGCACCGACTCACGACCGATCTGACATGGATTTGGTCTGGGTGTCGTTTGTTACAAATGACGGACCGCCCGCGAGGACAACCGACGAAGGGCCGCTCGACTTCTCCTCCCTCTGCACGCTTGAAGTGCGGCTGCGCGAGTTGAGTGTCTGGCCGACGTTGCGTGGGCTCTTGCATACGAGTGGGCCTGCGCTACGGCATTTAGTGCTCTCTCTTGTGGACGATCTCGCCGGGTACGACCGTCGTCCGTCGTGCTGTCACACAAGGTGGATATGGAGAAGCTGCGTATCAACGACACCTTACCGAACTACAAATCTCCCCTGCTCGGTCCGTGCTGTCTTGAGCCAGATCGCGCTATCGCTCCCAGGAAGCGGCGGCAGCGACGGTGACGGTGAAGAATGCTCCACGTCCAACTGCGTGGCATCGTTCTCGAGCTGTGCGGCCCCGACGTACGCACAACCTCCATCATCCCAGAGGACCTCGAATGGCATAGGCTCGACCCACATCCCGCGCGGATATTGCGCCTCAACGAGGAGGTGGCGGTTACATTTCGGGTCCCCGCCGTGCACGCTGGTCTGTACGCTGCGGCGTTTACGCGACACTTGCCCGAAGTGATGTGAATGGTGCGTTCGGGAGTGGAGGGTAAGAGACGGCTGGGGGTTGGTACCCTTTTTGATGCGCCGGACGTCCTCACTTTGTCGGGAGATCGAGACGGGCCTGAGGAGTGGCTCGTGTGAAGCTGGGTCGCTGTGCGCGAGCATGCTTCGTAGGGGTTTTGCTTTCTGGACTTGTCGGGATCACCGCTGATCTGTTCTGTTGTCAGGTGTATAGTTGTGGCTCATTTGACAAGTATTTTTTTTTTTGGCTCGGTTCTAGTCTGCCGGTTTCTCGTGCGATCCCACTCATGCATTCCCCGTCGACTACCTAATTGCCCTTATGAATGCTCGGGCATTCGTTGTTCTATTCTCAGATGTTGTCCAACCCGCTCTTCGCGTCTCCGTCGCGTGCAAAAATGCGACTGTACTTGTCTTTCGACGGATGAGTCTATGACCTGCACAATAAGGGGCGGTTTTAGATATCAAAGTGACGAGGGAGGACACCAGCGCTTACACGACCCCCCTTCATAGTCTCTGATACCACGCAAAGACTATACGTACGGGAGAGACCATGTCCCTTTTTCGCGCGTTCTGTCTCGAACAGAGCCTCTCCTCGAATCGCGACCCGTGATGATTACCGAGCCCGCGCAGCCAAAAGACGGGGTGCTGTCCATAGACGCTGAGGTGGGTTTTCGCATCGGAATGAGGATGTGTGTGTCGCCGTTGACGCCGTTACGGGTGTGGATACGGACGTGAAAACGTGAGTGATGCCGCATAGGCACCGGCGGCGCTTGCGCATTCGTCGTGTCTTCTCGAGGAACTGTGCTGGCTCGGAGGCGTCCACTGGCCTGTGCATTTATGCGATCCATCGAGATGCAAACGAGATGGACAGGTGATCGATCTCCAGTCGCTCCGTGATCGGCTCGAGCTGCGAGAACGAGTGGGATCCACTACCGGAGATTAATGTCGTTGGTGAAAAGCCGTATGCAGCCTTTTCAGATCACCCCTAACACGAAGTAATTAAAAGCATTAGGTATCGAATAGCAGGTGTGTCCGACCACAGCTCCGCACCCTTCGCACGCGCCTGCGTGCACCACCAGTGGACAGGCCGGCGAGATCCAACACGCAGCCCCATGCATATGGAGGCGCCGATACGACCTGCAACCACTCCGCCCGCAGCTTCTCGGGCGCAGCAAGGAGGCGTAGTCTACCATGCTGGGCGCGGGGGCGTTCAGGTCCCCGTTCGTGTCTTCACCCGCATTGCCATCTTGCCAGAACCCTGGCGAGCGCAACAGTTCGTGATAAGTATTCCAGGGACCGTGCAGTTACGCGCGAGCAAGATAGCCTCGGCGGCATGCGGCATGCGTTTAGGTGTCAGGTGTGCCAGGTCAGGGCACCACGCCGCGGGCAGCAGATGAGTCGCAAACTGGGTGAACTTGTGGAAGCCGAGTGACTTGGCCGCGCGCAGGAGTGCGACCAGAGTGGAGAACGGTGGGGGGGCTCAGTGCATGCACATGCTAAGGATTTTCAGACATCGAAGTAATGAACGAGGACAGGGACACTTACATGGCCTCTTTCAGGGCCTCTAATTGCAGCGTCCGTCGTGTCCCTGCCCATGCAGGAGGCCTTGAACAGAGCCTCAAATAACCTTGGTTCTTCGTCCAATCGTAACCCGTGCAGCTTGAAGAGCATTTTCTCCACGTGGATGCCCACTGAGCCGTCGCGGAGCCAAAAGACACGGTGCTGTGTGCAGTCGGTGTACTTCGAAGCAGGCATTGAGGTCCGTGCGCGCCGGGACGAGGATGTAATGGTCGCTATTGACGCCATTGTGGGTGTGGATAATGGCATAACCGCGAGTGTAAACGAGGATGCTGCAAGCTGGTAAGCATCGGCGGTGCCTGTACATCGGTTGCATCTTATCGGGCACGGTTTTGAGACCTGTTGTGAGGCGTGCCCGACGCCTGTGCAGTGGTTGCTGCCCGCTTTCTCCCAGCAGAACCATTGTGTCAGTAATTACCGCAATTATCGTTCTCCTCGTTATTTTCCCTGTTAATTTCCGCAATGACATCGTGCGGTCATTCTGAAACTGGTGTCGAATATCTTCGCAGTTGTACGAAAGTCGACAAATCCCATAGCATTCACTACCAATTTGTCAGCATCAAATACAGATTCGCCGTTCACAAATCGCTCCGGAAACGGTACCGCCACCTTCAACTCAGTCCCAACCACGCATCCAGATCTGTCCAAATCCGCTCCCGCCTCTTCCTCCACGCCGTCCTCCACCGGTCCACACAATGTGCACAATATCCCAGGGCACTCCAGTCAATATCGACAAGGGTCTGAAGGGCACAAAGTGGATCCAACAATCCCTCGGTAAACACAGGTTTCTGAACGACGGCCTGCACCCACATCTCCGCGCCGTTCGCGTGCGCCTGCTCGCAGTGTCGCCGGGACTTGAGGGCCTCATGTTCCGCCCAGGAAGCCAACTGGCTATGCGAATGGTCCGGGGGTGCCGACACGATCTGCATCCACTCGGCTTGCAACTTCTCACGAACGGTGGTGAGGCGCGAGTAGTCTTGTACCCCGAGCGGTGACACGTCGTCTTCTTCGTCGTGCGCCTGGCCGAAATTGGGGGTGCGCAGCAGCTCGTAGTATGCACGCTTGAGTACCTCTGGTACCGCGCACTTGCGTGCTAGGGCGATGGTCTCTGCAGCGTATGGCGTACGTTCAGGAGTGAGGGAAGCGGGATCGGAGGGCCACGTCGTGCGGAGGACATTCGATGCATATGTAGTGAATTTCGTGCATTGGAGAGTGTGTGCGGTGCGTAAAAGCTTAGCGAGGGTATGGAACGGCGGTGGGTTCAGCGCGTACGTGCTGCGAAGAAATGTAAGATACCATGGTGCCCAATAACAGACTCGAGCACTCACATCCCCCCGTCCATCGCCTTCAACAGCACCGCGAAGTCCGACGATGACACTACGTGTGTCTCATAGGGTGGGCAGCCATCTATTGTTTTCTGCCCCGATCTAGCGTTCGAAAATAGGTGGGCGAAGAACTTTGATTCTTGCTCTAGACGCGACCCGTGCAGCTTGAAGAGGAATGACCCCACACGGATGACGACCGAGCCGTCCCGGAGCCAGAAGTCGGGGTGGCGTACGGGGGATCCGGATGTGGACAGCGAATATAGCGGAGACTCGAACCCAACTCGTGGACGCTTCGCGGACGTTGCCTGGCCTGACACCGGTGCAGGTGCAGCAGTTGCAGCCCTCTTCTCCGTCACGCGCCCGACGTCTTCATCCTTCTCCAAGTCGCCGTACGCGCTGTCTGTCGTAACAAAGGGCACGAGGGAACGTCCGGCGGGTTTCGAGGATTCAGATAAACGACGTCTCTCGACATCTGATTTCGAAAGCTTCGAGCGTTTGGAGGGTTCGAATAACATATCGGTGCGCGGGACGCCCCTGGGCGGGCCGATTCGGAAGATAGGTAGGAGGGTAGGTATATTAACCTGTGTGGGTTTGTCTCCCTTAAATATGACCTTCGTACGGAAGACTCCTTTTACGGGCTCGTCGGTGGTTACCCTCTCCATGCGCTGGCCTTCAGCGACGACTGGAGCTGAGGCGGGCCTCTCTACGTCGCGTTCTAGGCTTGTACTCTGAGGGGTATGCCCGCGTCATCCGTGAGCGTATGCAGGCCGAAGCGGGGAGGCATCACGTACCGATGCACTGCGCGATGTCTCATCGTCATCATCACTATATTCATCGTCATCTGAACTGTCGTCCGGCTCTGCCCTTCGACGGTAAGGGGTACCTGAGTTGATATTCATATGCAGGAGTTTTGGTTACCATTGACTCCGGTAGGGACATGAGAAGATATACTCACCATCGGGGAGCGTGCAGCCTTCGTGGCGGTCGCGGCACTCGTAGCATGGCTTCCTGATGCCTCTGGAACGGATGCAGGGAATGTCACGCTTTGCACAGCGCTGACAGGACTGTTGGATAGGCTCAGTGACTGGCACGGGCATGTACATACAGGACGCATACTCCGCGTGTATCTGAGTCCGCGTAAGTATCGCTGCTCGTCGAAGACATAGGATCAAGCGGATCGGACGTGACTCTAGGACGAGTATCGTCAGAGGCGGAGTGTATACAGCTAGGCCAATGCGCAGATCTCTGAGACGGCGAGACGATATGGGTGGAAGATGGGCTTGCAGTCAGGAAAAGCAGGTCGGCAATTTCGAAGGAGACGTCTCACACGCCTATCGACTCGTCGGCGCTTCCCGACCTCTTCCATGTTCAACGTGCATCGACGAGCCTGAACCTAAGACGGTACGCTTATGGATGCTTCTCCATGCATACGACGCGTAGAAACCTGTGAGTACACGCGTTTACGAGCTCATTGAGGCTCATCGATCATCAGTTCAGCAGATGAGAGACGCACGAGTGTAGGATTCAATATTGTATTAATGGCGACATGCACCAACGGCTGTGGGTCAATACGGTGCCGGGTGAATGTTTTGTGGAACACCTAGTGATATTGATGCGTAGTGTGTCGAGCTGAAAAGCGAGAACGGAGCACATCGCATTTGGTAAAGTTCGCGAAGGACGATCGTGAAGCGCCCGATACTCTCAGCCCACGACCTCCCACGACTGCAAAGTACAACTGGACCTAGCTTATCACTGTGAGCCTGACTGGGTCGACAACCTCATCGTTACTCTCAATCGTGCGCACTACTAGTAGTACTCTGTCCAGTTCAAGTTTCCGCCCATCAACGTCCGCTCCATCAACAATGCCCATGCCCCCAAATTCGTATCAGAGGAGATTGTACGCTCAATACCGGCTGTCCCATACCGATCCATTGATGAAGTACGCTCTTTCTAGTAGGAATCTTATTGCCCAACAAAGCCGCCAGCCCCACTTCCGAGGCCTCATGGCCAGCCCTTGACCTGGCATAGTGACGTATCTATGCGTTTTCCGTCTCCGGCAATGCGGCGAAGAGATCGGATATGGATCAGGTCGCAAAGTTACAACAGCTTTGCTTCCTGCTAAGGGTTCGGCCTTCCCTGTGCCTTGCGCGAGCAGGACGCTTACACCGTCGAGCTTACCATCAGCTTCTGGTACTACAGTTGCAGCGGGTCATCCCACATGTTGGCAGTGCACTAGAAAGGCATACGATCCCCTTCATTTACGACAAATCTACAAAACATCCCGAACTCAACGCGACAAGGTTGCTTCAACATCTCCGGCGACTAAACCTCCACATCTTCTTCTGCACGCTCACAGAGGATAATCGTTCGCCTTGGCCAACGCTTAGACTCTGTGCATGTGCAGGAGCCCGGTCGATGCCTGTCTTTGCATGTGTCGATGTGACGGTGTGTAAATTTCTGCATGCGTACAGAATGAAGACAGGGAGCATGTAAAGCCCGAACCATATCCACCATGGGCACATTCCAAGACACGAGAGAAAGTCCAGGAATGTGTCCCTACATCTTCTATGCCCACGTCAGGCACGACCAGTTCAAACGGAGACAACACCGAGCCAAATTGTCCGGAATTTATCGAGTCATTCGAACTCTGTATTCACGGTCGTCCCTAACGTGCAGCAGCCCGCATCTAACACGAAGGACGCGAATACGCGATCACTGTCCCCTGCATGCAGTTCCCGTCTCCCGTGTCCGCGTCCGCCACGACGGGTCCCGACGCAGAGCATGCAGAACAAAGTCGCATAAAATTCGGACCTGCAGCGTCTATGTCTGTATCTGCTCCCAAGTTCACCGAGTGCATACGCCCACCCAAGCGTGGTAATCTGTGCTCCGGATGCAGAACACGCTGCATGCGTCGCGGTGGCTGGAACGTAAATCACTGCTTTCCAGACCTCTTCAAGTCTAATGGATCCCCACCGACGAAGAGAGACACAATGAATGGCTTCTCGGTATATACTGCCTCTGGAGTGACGGCGGAGGCGATGGGCCGCGCGACGTAAGCACCAAAACCGTTCCCCGGTCACTCTAATGTTTGAACCTTTGCTTCATATGTATGCGCTGAACCCTCCCCCCTTCCCTACCCTCATGCACGCCGTACACATCCCAAAATTCTCAACTAGCAGTCATTGTCGAACAGCATGTCTCTCGCCGAGTGCGAGAAGCTGCAGGGTGAATGGATTGAGCTCTCTGCTGCGCCCCGACAAGCACCGTCCTGATCGGTATGGATCCAAGTTGGGGTGTGTGGAGGTTCTGTGAGGGCTGTGCAGAGCGGTGGCGAACGACGTGGGGCGAAACAGATGAACGGATCATAGGGGTGTTGGATGTGTGGTTGGGTTTGAGCTAGCTGAAGGCTGCCATCGAGGGTGTGCTGTACCCAACACTAGTCTGAGACCAATTCAGATTTGCTACTACCTCGACAAAAGAAGGTCTGTGTTGGCTGAAGCGACAAATTCAATTCGCCAACTGAGCTTTCTGTTCAGGTCCGGGTATCTATGAGCTCTCTTCTCCACAGCTCTCTTCCCATCTATAAAATCGCCATGCTTATCCTCTGACGCGGCGGCCTTATTAATGCCACTACGGTTCTGCTCACGCCCGACGATAACCGCTGAACCCAAGCGCAAGGTCTGGCAACCTAACCATCCCGATTTCTCGACAAGCTCCCTGAGTATGTAGTGTACCACAATGGGACGGAGGTACAATGGGCCTCGTGTAGAAGGGGTAGCCGCCTCATGGAGGTGGAAGAGGGCGTGCAATGCACGGCCGTCCGGGACGGCCACACTTATGCTGCAGCACGCACACCTCATGGCGGGGGAGGGGAAGAGCACGCGCGGCCGTCCTGGACGGCCAGATGACCCACCTCGTGGGATCAGATATTACGCATAGATTGCACACGAGAAACTTTTTCGACAGGTATATAAGACGAAGTGAGTTGGTAGTTTGGGCATCATTCCAACCCCCTTTGTTGAACAGCCCATTATTTCCTTATGCCTACCGCTACGCTACCCGGAGCTCTTCTCGATCTGCATGCCGCTGAGAAGGGGCTGTGGACTTGGCCGACTTGGACAATGCTCATCCAGGTCGATCACCCACCATGGTCTCCAGAAGCCGAGGAAAACCTGCCAGAGGGATGGGATGTGAATGTGGTGTTGGCGGTGAGGGCATTCGTGGAGAAGTACTTTAACACAAAAGCAAAGCACAGGTTTGAGTTCACATCAGGAAAAATACCCTTGATTTTGTAGAAAAACATAGCTCCTGTAGTTCGCATACCTGTGTAGACACCCCTCGAATTTGTACTGCTTCGTAGCATGGGCAGGTGATCCGTAGGAACTCATAATAAGTGTAGCCCTCTGCTAGAGTATGTAGCTGATGTTGTGTAGTAGCCGAGTAGTGCAACGTACTGAGATGTATCACCACATTTCCGCGTTCTCAGTTCCATAGAATCATTCATACCTAGCAGTCATTTCTAATTTCTCACGGCACAGATAAGAAATTGCCACACAATTCAAACTCTATTGGTCACTTGGGTATATGGAAGTATCAGAGAACAAGGCAGGGAAAATATCTAATGCAAATTGATTCCTTCATGCGCGGCACCAGCTCTAGATGCCCGGGGACAAATCTCCCTCCGGCACCTCTTCATCGTCGTCTTCCGCCTCCGGGTCTTCCCACTCACGAATGGCGGCGTCAAATGCAGACACCCCAAGAGCGGGCACCATCGTCTTGCTAAGAGGCTCAGCTCCAGAATGGAAGCTGTAAGGTAAAGTTAGTGGTGACGAGCATGAGATAATGAGGGCGCACTGAGCATACCGAGCATTGCTGTGCAGCGTCTCGCGCAGCTTGCGAACGATGCCATACTTGACTGTATGCTTCTCGAAATCCTCAAGACAATGAAGGTGAGCTTCGTAGACCTCCTTGTAGCTGGCAGCAGAGAATGCGATGTCTTCCTTGATGCCTGTGGCCCACTCATCGATGCCGCACTCGATCTAGAACATGATAACATAAGCAATGATACAACGAGAAGCATTAAGACGTACCGCCGCAAGGACCAGTGCAATGGTTACGTCAGAAATCGGGTTGAAGTATTCATGGTAGCGGATACCCTCGTCCTGCTTGTTCGCGAACCACATATCATTGATAACCATCTGAATAATTTCAGTCTTGTATAGCCCCGTCTTCTTGTTCATATCCTGGAGAGTACATTGAGAGCAGTGCAGACAGAATAAAATAGTAGAATACTCACTGCATACACAAAAGTGTATCCGTCCTTAAGATCCTCAGCATGCTGACGGTTGCGAGCAATAGTCTTCTTGTTCTCGCCACTGCGAAATCCGAAGAAGGACTGTATGACGCCGCGGACCTTGGTCTTCAACTCACCGCGGACATGGGAGGTGCGCTTGGTAATCTGCGACCATGCGATGAGCCCATATTCAAGGAAAAATTTGCTCGTACCATTTTCAGCAGCATTGGAGTCAGTGCAACATTGAGGCCCGTCTTCGTGCAAGCCTCCTGCCAGGCTTGCTGTGCCATCTCGGTCTCGAAGGTGCTGGTGTCCGGGAATGGACCCTTGCTACTGACCTTGCACCGAAAAACAGAAATGGCGATCGCAAGAACCTCCTGCGTAAAATCGTCAAAATCCTTGGCCCTCGGGCGCTTCGGGCCATCAGTTGACTTCTGATATTTGGGGCTCAAAAGACCATTGTCGTTGTCGTTGTCTTCATCCTCATCATCGCGAGGATGCTTCTTGGCCATGCACATGGCGACAGGAGTGGTGGTGGTAGCATTCTCAGTATCATCAATGAGTGCGCGCGTTACCTTCTTCCTCGGCAAGATGCGGCGGGGAACGACGGGCGCAACATCATCGTCCTCATCACTTGAGGACACAAGCATGGGAACATCTTTGGGTAAATAAATGCAATCATTAGTAACATCCAATTAGCTGACGTGCAAAACATACCACCACGCTTGGGTCCCTTGTTGTTGACTGGAGCAAGAGGGACTTTCTCAGAGCGGTAGGCCAGGGACTTCTTTGCTGACAGCTTAGTAGTCACAGTCCTTTCGGTGAACTCAAAAGCAAAATCAGGTGGTAAACCGGCTGGACGCAATGAATTAATTACCATATTGTCTTCGGTGTCGTCAATATCACTCGCAATCAATTCACCTTCGTCGACCTCTTCGCCGTCCGCCTCCTGTTGACGTAGGCGAGCACGACGGTCAGCCTTGTCACTTTTCTTGAACTTGTCAGCCTTGCGGCGAATGGTGTCTTCCCTTTCGGTCACTACAACAAAAATGAGAGGTAATCATGGATGAACATAGTACTTCACTCACCGCGCTGGTTCTCCTTCTCCGTCAGACGACGATGACGCCCGGAAGTTACACGAGTAGTCTGAGTAGACATATAGAGAATCGATGGTGGATTTGAGATGGGGCAGAGGTGTGAAGGATCGTTTTCCTGTGACTGCGAGTGGTCCTGAGGATGGAGGAGTAGATGGAGATTAGAGAACTCATGCAAGTACTTATCCGAAATGAACATACAAAGAACGCATAAACAATACATTGAGTACAAACCTTATCGCGCTCTGTTGAACGTGGTTCAACAGAGTCACGTCGTTGCAACTCGGACTCCGAGGCGTTTGTCACCATGGCTCGGCCCGCCGTATCAACAGGGGGGATGATAGGGCACAGGGTGAGGCTCATGTCGGAGCATCCTCTAGGCCATGTACATTGCCCTCTGCTCTTGTTCTGGCCTTGCATCCAGTAGCTTCCTACGCAAAAATGTCAGGTTCTCACCGCTGTAATTTCTGCTTGAAGGAGTTACCGACCTTGGCTGGAGTGAAAAAACATATCATGAACCGCACTGCGTGTCGCCGCAAATGGGAAGAAACAATCATGCAAAGAGCAGGTGTCTCTGTATTGGACATGGAGGAGGAGGGGGGAGGGGACGAGGATGAGGAGAGTATGGTGCCCAGTGTGCACAGGCTGGGGGCAGCTGACATAGCGAAAGGATCTGTGAATGCTATCGGCAATGTACCTGCTTCTTTTGACACCTTCATCCCTCCTCCGGTTCGCGAGCCTTCCCCGCAGGCCTGTGATGATCTGGCACCAGAACCACCTTCAAAGCGTGCACGGGTTGAAGACGCAGTTGATGAAGATGACATACCATCGGGGCACTTCTACGAGGAGTACACGCACCGTGCTGCAGCGACTGCCCATGCACATGGCCAGACAGTGTTTGCAACTCATCGTGAGCGAGTACGCGAAGCCAACACAAGTGAATACGCACCTTTCGAGGATCAGGAAGAATGGGAATTGGCTGAATGGTTGATGAAGAATCTTGGTCAGAATAGAATTGATGAATATCTGGCGCTGCCCATCGTGAGTGCTCCAAATTACCCTGGGTTGCTGTCGATGCTTAAAATGGTCGCCAGACGCAGAAGCGTACCCAGCCGTCATTTCACAATACTCGTTCATTTCTGCAGAAGATCGATGACCTACCGACTGGTCCTGCCTGGTCATGCAAGAAGGTCCTCGTGCATGGCAACGTCACTGATGAGAACGGGGAAATCATGAAGGAGGAGGTGGAGCTGTGGCTTCGGGATCCTGTCGAGTGCGTGAGGGAGCTCATAGGGAATCCACTCTTCCGTGACTCCATGGCCTATGTGCCAGAACGTGCATTCGCGGACAAGGAGGGATCAAGACGCATCTACGATGAGATGTGGACTGGTGAGTGGTGGTGGGAGACACAGGTCAGTAGAGTTCTTCGCACGAGTGACAATGCATTCAAAGTTTACCTTGTTTAGGAAAAACTGCCCGAAGGCGCGGTGGTTGCTCCAGTGATCTTGTCATCGGACAAAACGAAGCTCTCCCAGTTTCGAGGAGATCAATCTGCATGGCCGGTGTACTTGAGCATTGGCAACATATCTAAGGAGACACGACGTCATTCATCTGCGCGTGCCATGGTGCTCATTGGATACCTCCCGGTGATCAAACTTACCTGCTTCACGGAGAAGACTCGTTCCCTTGCTGGATATCGGCTCTTCCACCATTGTATGTCACTCCTCCTTGCCCCACTGGTGGATGCCGGCAAGAATGGTGTCGACATGGTATGCGCTGACTCTTTCATCCGGCGTGTCTTTCCAATCGTGGCCTCATACGTTGCTGACTACCCGGAGCAATGTCTTGTTGCGTGTTGCAGTGAGAACAGTTGTCCTCACTGTACAGTGTCTCCAAAAGCCCGAGGCGACCTCCTTGACACGTTGGAATTCCGAGACCCTGAGAAGACGTATGAGACACTCCAAAAGAAGAAGAACGGACTCGAACCTGCCGCATTCCAAGAGCAGAATCTCCGTGCTGTCTACAAGCCATTCTGGCATAACCTACCTCACTGCGACATTTATTCATGCTTCACTCCAGACTTGCTGCATCAACTGCATAAAGGTGTATTCAAAGATCATCTTGTCAGTTGGTGTATCAACATCGTAGGAGAGAAGGAAATTGACCGACGATTCAAGGCCCTCGCAGGATATCCGGGGCTGAGGCACTTCAAGAAAGGAATATCCTTTGTCACGCAGTGGACAGGCACAGAGCATAAGGAGATGCAAAGGGTGTTTGTCGCATTGCTTGCGGGCGCCGTGCCGGCAGAGGTTCTCATTGTCGCTCGGGCGCTCCTCGATTTCATCTATTACGCACAGCTCCGCCTTCACACGACTGCAACTCTTGCGTGCTTGGATGCATGTTTGAAGACATTCCACGATTACAAGGAGATCTTCATTGACCTCCAGGTGCGCACTCATTTCAACATCTCGAAGCTCCATGTTCTCCAGCACTACGTGAATGCAATTCATTTGTATGGGACTCCTGACGGCTTCAACACGGAGCTCCCGGAACGCTTGCATATCGACTACGCGAAGGAGGCGTATCGTGCAAGCAACCGTCGAGACTACGAAGAACAAATGGCACTCTGGCTTCAGCGTCAGGAGGCCGTCTATCAACGCAGCGCCTATCTGACCTGGACAACCCGTGCCGCTACAATTTCTATGACAGCTCAGGCCCGACCACCCATCAACGTTGATGAGGGCTATGATTCCGATGCCGAAGATGATGAGCCAGTGGAATGCCACATCACAGAACCCACGGAGTCGGTGCACCAACTTGCCAAGACTTGTCCTCACCTACGAACATCCGTTGGACACCTGCAGACAGCTCACGGTGCCGTCGACTTCCTCCCAGCCCTCACGGTTTTTCTGCAAAGGCATTGCCCACGGAACTCCATACTCCCAGGTGCACAAGATCGCTTCGACGTCTATAATCAAATCATTGTCCAGATGCCATTTGATCCCCGCGTCGGCGACAAGCACAACCGCATGAGAATTCGTGCGGTCCCGATGGTGCCACCCTCATCCACCGGGCGTAAGCCAGGTTCTCCCGCTCACTTCGACATGGCCCTTGTGTGTACAGATCGTGCTGCATTTAGCCGCCGAGGCTTTCAACGTATGAGTTACTTCCGCTGGACGGTGACAATGTGCTCATCTTGATTCAGGTTTGCGGGTAGGACAAGTTCGTGTGGTATTCCGCTTGCCTCGTCAATTTGGACACTATGCGCGCCCTCTCGCTTATGTGGAATGGTTTACAGATTTCCGACCCCAGCCAGATCACACGACGAACTTGTATCAGGTCAGTCGCTCCACTCGCAATCATCGTCGCAACGCGGAGGTCGTGCACGTTGACGACCTGGTTCGGCCGTGTCATCTCGTGCCAAAATGTGGCGCAAACATCGACGAGGCTTGGAATACTGACAATGTTTATGAACTGGCAACCAGCTTTTACCTGAATCCTTTCATAGATGTCCACATGTTTTGTAGAAGTACCTAGCCTGCGCTGCACTGATTACATAGAATCTGTATTCTATGGATCCACCACTTAGAATACATGTCAGCCATAGAACTACATCATACCCGGCACATGCTATCAGAGCTACGTGGCATTCTGAGCGTCGCACCGTCAGGTACGGATAGACCGTTGTGATATCGATCAATATGATCGGTGGCTGAGAGCTATGACCGCTGAGGTTTTTCCTGATGCATGAAGAAGCAGACAGATAAGTACAGCAAGGGGCGCAACACCTGGATCCAATGGGTGGCGGACACATATCGTACGTGCAAGGTGAATGCGAGGGTGGATGAAGTGTTGGTGGAGGCGGACCGCGACCCGTTGACGGTAATGCGGGCGATGAAGACGAGCACAGTGAGTGTATGGATTGAACTGGTGCAGAAAAGTACTCATATACACAAAGCTGCCATCTGTCACTGATGTTGGGTTGGCGACATATTATCCGGTGACGGTATACAGAGTGCTCGGGAAGGAAGGTTTCTATGAGAACTGGATGCCGAAGAAGGGACCGAATGAGTTCGTCAGTGTGCTGCTGATCCATTGCTGGGAGAGGTGGAGGAAGGTGGTGAAGCGGGACCAGGCGGTGATGAAGAAGAAGCGCACCAAAGTGGATCAGCTCTGGAAAGGTAAGTGGCAGACCTGGTGGCATCAATGAGACTAACATGACACAGAGATGTCAGAGAAGATGCCAATGAAGAAAGACATCTGGCATTTTCTTGGACAGATCAAGTCACTGATGGGGGGGCTGAAGCGGTATGATGGTGATGCAAGGCTGATTATGGAGTTGTCAGCATGTAAGGAGACACTTGAAGCAATGCAGGAGGTACTGAAGAAGGATGGGAACAAGATACATGCACATAGTAAGTGATCCTCCACCTAGGGATGAGAGCAGTGCTGACTTGGTTGTATCAGTGCTGCCACAAGCAATGCTCAAGGGACTTGAGTCATTGTCGACCCCTGTGGAGATCTTTATCACCCAGAACAAGCTCAAGGAGGCACTTGCAGTGTGTGAGCCTGATTCAGATGGAGATGATAATGTGCTAGATAATCTGGATGAGGTTAAGTGGGAGGAAAGTATTAAAGAGGTTCAAGACTACACAAGGGACCAGCTGATAGATGCCCTGGGCATTCTGTTGGAGGTGTGTGGGTTAGCAATGCGGGATTTACAGAAAAGGTCTGAGAGGGGTCTGTAAGGTTAGATAACATTCCTGTGTCACATGCAGAAGACTTACATTGATTTGAAAACTTTGCAGGCAGGCACTCTTTCAGAGAATGGCAAACAGTGAAAAATTCAGGTTTTTAGCAACTATCTACTGCAAATATGTGTTTTCACAGCTCAGAATTCTGAAATTTGTATTAGGTTGTAACCTCAGCATAGGGTCACACCATGGCTACTCCTGGTGACAGTCCATGTTCACACCATCTCTTCATTGCAACTTAGACCCGTTTCTGTACGTTGCAATGAAGGTACATTCAATATCAACTTATTTGACCCTTATGTACTTATCAGACCTGTTTCTGGATGTTGTAACAAAGACAACTCATTTTTGTTTTGTTCCGAGTGCTTGTTGGTAGTGAACCAGCTTACACTTTTTAAAACACCAAATAAACTGTCTTCCTGCACTGCGCATCTCCTTATGGAACACATTTTTGAGCCTAATACTGTACCCGCATGTATGGTAGCAATGTCACATATTACAAGAGGTCCATTGCGTAGTCCTCCGATCACAAGTCACAACCTCATCATTGCTGGCTCAGATCTGGTGTCACACTGATTGGGGACCAATTTTCGCACCCGGCCTGCAGCTGAGATGCTAACTGGTTGGTATAACAGGTCCGTGTCACGCTCAACCAGCCTGACTTGCTATCCTGACAGGGTAGCTGTCTGTCACACTGTCAGGGTTAGTTGCTATCATACATGCAGGTACAGTAGGCTACACCAGATCTATCTGCATGTCAGGATGGTCACAGAAGCATCACTCAGCCATTACTCCAACGGAATCATCACACTACAGACACCTGTGACAATGTCCACTTTGATTCTGTACCTCCACTGCCTTGCCCATCCTGCCACTTAACACTTACTCCCAAGTTCGAGACCTCCTTCCTCTTCTCACATTTCATAATGCTAAGAATATTGTGGAAGCCTTGAAACTGGAGTCACAACTGGCATTGTTCCTCTCCTGCCTTTCGATGGGTGATCTCTTCGACTTAACATCACTATCTACCTGACCTGCATTGCTGGCAGTAGCGCAATGCTCGAGATTACCATCTATCAGTAGCTCAAATTCAAATACTCTCACAATTATAACTATGTCTGCTTCCGCATCTGAGATCGCTACTGTTATGCAATCCTTGGCCAAACACTTACCTATCTTGACTTCTGGCAAGATTGCTCCCACCATTACTCACATGTGGGAGAACACTTGCCTCCAGTACTTCAAACACAATGATGTCACTGTTGACAAGAAGGTGGCCAAGATGACTGATGAATTTCAGAACATCATTCTTAGCAACTGGTACTACAATGACTCTAATACTTTTGATGCTATAACTTGGAAGGACTTTCTCACCACCTTCCATGTGCACTTTCTCCCTAAGGGGTGGGACTTGGCCGTTCTGACCCAGCTTCTCTGTGCTTGTCAGAAAGAGGATGAGAGCTTCAAAGACTGAATCTTTGATATAGAAAAACTCAACACCACTCTCCATGGCACTATTCTCTACCTCAATGAGACCTATCTCCATGCTCATATCTCTGCCATTATCTGTGAAGATCTCTAATTCACGTGCAATGATGATGATGTTAAGAACATTATTGCTTGACAATAACTGTATGCATGAATATGCGTGCATCCTCCACATCACTGGTGCATCTGCTCCTCTTATTTCAAGAGCCTGAAGCTCCCACCACTAACTAATGAAGAGCTCAAACTCCTTCATAACAATGACAGCTGTTTCAAATGCCATGCATTCTTCATCCCTAAGAAACAATGTGGCTGTGACTGCTGCTCTAACCCCTTTCCTAATGTGACCACATACCACATGCTCACTGAGGCTGATGTCAATACTGCATATTATGCCAAAGACAAGGAGAACACTAAGCCTTATGCCATCATTACTGCCACCACTGATCCCATTAATGACATTGCATATTCTGTCAGTGCCATCAATATCAGACTCATGCCATTAGCTGCCACCACTGGCATCCTTGGCACTGGTTCTGAGTATAAATCTGGCCCCTGCACTGTTGTGCATATTTTTTGGTCAGAAATTATGCATGGACCACTTTAGGACTCTGCACACATTCTAATGCTGATTGACTCGGGCTTATCAGCAATTCTGATTAGATCAGAACTCATGTCGCACCTCAGTTTGCATTGTCGCAAACTACCTCAACCTTTTTTGCTTAGTGACGTGTGGGGCACAGAGTCTAAAGATTCAGTTAAATGCGTTAAGCATCGTATTTCCCCCCACAATTCATCTTGATCTTCTATCACTTGCAATGCAATCATTGTTGTGTAGGGTAGGAGCATTGGCTGTCCTTGGACTGAGCACTTCTTCATGCTTTGCCTTGCCTCGTGTTTATTGGACACTTTAGATCGAACACTCAGCATCCTCTGCACTTCATTTCTGTACTTCAGCTTACCATACACTTCATTTCTTTTGCTTTTCCTATTTCTCATTTGTCTCTCTCGACATATCAGCTGTGGTGCGCCAGATTGTAATACAATGCCGCCACAAAGGGTCCAAAGTGTTGTGTATAATGTGACTATCTTGTAATTCCTTGTAATTTATTGTAATACAATTAACAATTGACAAAGACAGTGTCTATAGTAGGAATTAAACCTTGAACCTTGTGGAGTTTTGACAATTTATTACAATGACTGATGCTTTAAATCACTGAGCCATATGTCCTTGTAACACTACATCTTACAATCAGATATAAGTGCTTCTTTTTGTATTATATATAAATTAAAGTACCCTATATTAAGTCTTTAACTAAACAATAATATAAGTGGTTTTTATAATAGAGTTATAACTGTTTAAATTTGTAAATAGTGTATAAAACTTTTAAATTAGCTGTTTAAAATTAGTTAAATAATTGTAGAGAGCTTTGACTTATTAAAAGTAAGTTGAATATGTGGAAGGTTATAGTATAGTCACAGAATATTTATAACAAAGTTCTAAATTTGTAAAAAAGAATTATACAATTATTTAACTAATTTTAAACAGCTAATTTAAAAGTTTTATACACTATTTACAAATTAAACAGTTATAACTCTATTATAAAAACCACTTATATTATTGTTTAGTTAAAGACTTAATATAGTGTACTTTAATTTATATATAATATAAGAAGAAGCACTTATATCTGATTGTAAGATGTAGTATTACAAGGACATATGGCTCAGTGATTTAAAGCATTAGTCATTGTAATAAATTGTCAAAACTCTGCAAGGTTCAGAGTTCAATTTCTGCTGTGGACACTGTCTTTTGTCAATTATTAATTATATTACAATGAATTGCAAGGAATTACAAGATGGTTACATTATACACACTTTAGACTTCTTGTGGAGGCATTGTATTACAAGAGGAGGCACCACTGGTACATCTCTAAACTAATAATGTTTAAGCTACCTTGTTTCTGGCCAGGATCAAAGGTGCTTTGCCGGAGCACAACAATCAAGTCTTTGCATTTGCAGAACTTAATGATGCAGTGATGCAAGAGAATCGTGACGCATGGAGAACTGTTATAGAGGCATGGAAGGAGGATCCTTCAAAACTTAACCCGTTCATTATTACCCATCCTGGTACGTATTTACGAGATATTATGAAATGTTGGCCTGATATTCTGCATCAATACAGTCATGACCCAAGCATCTGTGCACCTGCAGCTGACGAATGAGGAGGCTGTGGAGTTGGAGAACGGTGAATAATGTGGCATGCTACATGACCTCATTTCCTTGAGTGTCATAATCATGGTCAGGATTGAGCTGCAGGAACAGCAGTAAGTGCGAGCAGTGATAACATTGGTCATATTCTCATTGCCTGTCACCAGATATCACCTTCAACAGGACATAGAGGACCTTGGAGCACATTTCACAGATTTTCAATGGGCTAAGATCATCGAGTGATGTAATGCTCTTCATCGCAAGATAGATGCATGGGAGACATGTAGCAGTTGTTCATGTCTAGCACTGTGGCATTGTGCATGCGAACTGTGGCTGCAGCTGTTAAGGAGGTTCCTGCACAAGAAATGGCACTCTATTTATCATCAGAGTTACCCTCTGGTACCCCTTATGACTCTCGCATCCAGAGATATGAGTTGCATCTAAGGGTTGCATAAGCACACAATGCGCTAGAGGATCTTGGGTGACATCTCCACATGCATGTCCATCTGTACAAGTTCAAGGGCTACTTCATCCATGGGTAACAATATCTCACCAGAGCGAAGACAATCATTGGGCATGCACAGGATAAGGTTAACACTGATGCAGCACACTATCACTGTGCATACAAAGCCATCATCTCATTGTCTATCCTACTTAATGAGCCTTCAATGCTCCATGACTTGTGTCCACTGCAAGATGAAGATGTTCAAGGAATGACAGAGGGGATGCAGGGAGAAACTCAGAGCTGCAAGACTTTGTCTTGGATATGGAAAAGATATGGTGTGGGGAGTAGCAGTGCGACTGATGGCAGCATCAGTGAAGATTGGCATTTTTTACTTATCTGTTTCTAAGACTTCCTAATGCTCATGAAATCTTCCAGAGCTTCATACCGAGTGATGCAAGGCCCATGCTTGCCCCTATTGCTGGATTGAGGAATGCTGCCAGTTGTCAGAGGAGATGCACAGGGTCATTTCTTTTTATGGTTAGTTCATGCAGTGATGGCTGGAATATATAGACATGATACCTGCATGATTGCGAGAACACCTGAAAGGTGCCACTGCATATGTACACTGTCAGGCAAGTATCTGGATGTCTATGAGGGAACACTGTAGGTTGATATAGTGTCATGTACCTGTCTGGTTGCATGCAAAAGGTGATGTCACCATAGATATAGATTTGGTTAAAGCCACCATTGCAGAACCCCTTCCGGCAGGCAGTTCTGCTACTATATTGGCAAGTCCTTCGACTTTCCTTCCTGCATGTTAGGTGGTCGGTCACTATGCGAGTCCACAGGTGAGTACTAGAGGCAATCTCCCCATGACACAAGGCTAGTTTTCGTGGCTATTTAGCAATTTTACAAGTTCGTGTTCATTGATGTTGTCTGAATGAAAATAAAATATTTGGCATTCTACACTAAAGTCTCTAAAACAAAATCCATTATCTCAAACATATAATATAGAAGATTACATGGCGGGGTGGTGTGACAGGGTATGATTTTGACATGCAATCGGGAATAGATCTCAAGCAAATCTTGGGCCTAACAGGCCAGCGATGAGGTTGTCAGCACTTGGAGATCTGCAATAAAGAACTGAGAGCGGCCGAGGGAGAGGGAGGAGCATGGCATAGAGGAGAGTTGTAGGAACCACTGAATAATATATCAGACCTGTAGTAGCTATCACAGTCAAAGTTCTGAATTGTTATGACCTTATTTGATATATTAGTATGCCAGGGACAGGTGTGTCTGTATCTTGTCTAGTGTATTTATGTAACACTAGGATGTGAAACTGCCATTTATATTGCCCTCCCATATGAACAGCATCATTGAATACAGTGCAAACAGTACAGAATGATAAGCCCTTGAGATCATGCAATGATCACAGCAAAATATATTTCTGATGTCTATTTGTGGCTACATGTTCTACTTGAGCTCTCCTGCAGGCCCCGAGGTATTGAAAGGGTAACTCAGAGGGTGAGACACAAAGATTGGGGGTTATCTACACTCACTGTACTGAAAGTCACCAGATGTTCTATCACAGAAGCTGCAATGGTTTTTTCAATCTCTGACATATTAGTTGTCAGTTGCTTCTGTGGATGAATGGCTGAAACTGAGACTTTAACCCCCCCTGTGGCAGCAAATGGCTGCAGGTTGGCTAGCCTAATGGCCGGCAGGTGTCTGCAATATCCCATATGTCCACTGTCACATCCGGCCTGTCTGCCTGTCCGAATCATTGCAAAGCTGTCCATGGTCACACTCCTGTCCAGATTGATTGAAAACCTACAGTATTGCCGGAGTTAGATGAGATGGGCTGGCACTAAGGCAGTGGATCTTCACAGTGCATTTGGCACGCAGAGGTATCCTTCTGTATTTCCAATATATATCGAGAATGTAGAGGAATCACAGGACTTGAAAAGAGTGTGATGAGCTTAGTGCTCTGCAATTATGATTAAATATGCCACGAAGGCAAATAATAATATTATGTATTATTATTTGAAGACCTTAGCCAGATATCTAATGGTGATCTAATATAATTTAAAGTATTCTATTATAGTTCATTACAGTCACACCTTTTCAAAAGGGGTCAGTGCAGTATTATGTGAGCCCAAAATTGCTCTGAGAAGGTCCCCAAATATAGATCATTGGACAATTTTCCCAGTATTCAGGGTTTGGTGCCTGGAGGTGACCTTCTGACGAGGTAGACTTACCTGATATAGAACATCACATTTCCTTTTATGGTATGTCTGGGCTCACATAAGTTCCAGTCAGTTACGAGAATTTCTCACAGATAGCTGCAACTCTAAAAGGACTGTTCTTGAGCACAATTTTCTCAAATTCCTCCTAAAACTCCATCACGTGTAGTGTATTTTATGTATGATTAAATAATATGTTCATATTGTAATATAATGGATTTATAATATTATCTGGACTCAGACTATTTAATTGTATTTTTAATTTAATTATAATTATAATAAATTATAATAATAATCTTGCGGAGCACTAGATGAGCTGTGTGACTGATCACCTGACTCAGTGATGTGTCACACAAGCAACGAACCCCATCCTCCCAAGCCTTCAAGTGTTTGTCTCTGTTGAAAAGTAGCACTCAAATTTCTGGAGCTCCAGAAATTGGGGAGCGCCCAAGGGCAGACAAGCCGAGGGCATGATTACAAAGAAAGACAAAGAAGGAAATTTGCTTATATAAAGTGGAGTGTCTAGAACTGTATATATACAGAAATCTATTTTAGGACGCGCAATTACGCGCCCCAACGCATCTTGACCCGCCATCACTACCTTCCTATTTGAGAACTAAGGCGCGATTTCTAACAGGTTATGAGCCCCGGCTCTAGCCAATAAATACTCGGATAACAACAGCCCTTATTATGGCTACAAAAATTGTTACCCCCTTACTAGTATGAGAACAAATAATGTCGACCAGCGCTAATAATACGAGCAATAGCAATGCTTACCGGATCCCGCTCCTGAAGGAAGACAATTGGCTCCCGTGGAAGCACCGTGTCGAGGCCATCCTTAATGATAAGGGTCTCAGGAGTATGTGACCAAAAAGACACTGAAGCCGCAGCCGAGTAATGACCCCGGCCAATAGGGCAGCGAGAAAGGCAGAGATTAGCGCCTGAGGAGAGAAGGACCTCAAGGCCCAGAATGTAATTGTGCTATCGCTGGGAGATTCCCAGATGGTGCACATCACTGGAGCCGAGACGGCACGGGCCATGTGGGAGCAGCTTCGCACAGTCAAGGAACAGCGTGGACAGCATGGGATTCTTGCGTTGTGCTGGCATTTTTACCGGATGCAAGCCAAGGAAGAAGATAATATCTCCAGTCACATCACACAGCTACGACAGATCCAGAAACAACTCCACCTAATGGGGAAGGTTGTTTCTGATGAGGATTTCCGACTCATTCTGGCTACCTCATTACCGGAGAGCTGGGACTCTTTCCTCAGCTCTTACTTTGGCGCCGAAGGCGCTGACAACGTGCGCCCTCAGCTTACATCACAAGAATTGATTGCCATCATTCTTGATGAAAATAGGCGAAGGCATGAGCGTGGTGAGCGCGGTCAATCCTCGGACCAAGTCATGATTGCCAAAGGAAAGAAGCGCCCCTTCGGGGAATACAAAAAATGTTCGATCTGCGGAAAGCTGGGACATCTTGGTAACGAGTGTCGGCACCGCGACAAGGTCAAATGTATGAATTGCAGAAAATTCGGGCATAAGGCCACGGATTGTTGGGCCAAAGGCGGTGGCAAAGCTGGACAGGGCCCACCGATGAAGCGGTAAAAGATGGAACATGCTTACAAAGCATGCGAGGTCGAACTGAAAGAGGATGAGGCAAAAATAGCCTACGATAATGATAGCGACACTGTATCTCTCAGATCTGATGGTGAAATCGCTTCTTTCTATGAGTGGTTTGCCGACTCTGGAACAACTTCGCACATTACAAATCGTCGTGAAGTCTTCGCGACCTATCAGGTGCTTGAAGATCACGCGATCACGGACATCGGACCACAACCAACGCAGGCATTGGGCCGCGGTACGGTCGATGTCAAAAGTGAAGTAGGAGACCGGAAAGTGAAATTCCGTCTCCACGGTGTACTATATGCACTGACAGCACCCAATAGCCTCCTCTCCACCATGCGTTTAGATGACGCGGGAGGAAGAGTACTTATGGGAAATAGTCGCGCAATACTAATAGATAAAAATAAACACTCCCTTGCTATAGGCAAGAAAAATGGATGACTATATTTATTGAAATTGCATCCAATAGTTCTGCAACCTGCGCGAACCTATACTGCTAAGGAATACGGCCCGCATACCTGGGAAGAGTGGCACAAGATCTATGGCCATATCGGGAAATTAGCGCTTATGCGATTATATCGCGAAGGGCTTGTAGATGGCCTAGAAATCTCGCCAAGCCCAGATGAAATTATTGCGAGGCGTGCATCCAAGCAAAGGCGACGCGAAAGCCATTTTCCAAAGAGACGGATGAATGCAGCAAGGTACCCAGAGAATTAACACACACGGATGTGTGGGGACCTGCGCAGACAGCCGCTCTACAAGGGTGGAAATATTTTATTACATTTACCGATGATTACAGTTGTCGAAGTACAGTACTATTTATGAGGCATAAAGATGAAGTAACTGAAAAGGTAAAGAATTATATTACCTATATCGAGCACAAGTTTGGAAACAAACCCTTGCAACTCAGGCTCGACAACGTTCGAGAATACATGAACACCGAATTAATTAACTGGTGTCAAATGAAAGGGATCAAGATGGGTCCGACTGCGCCATACTCACCATCCCAGAATGGAGTCTCTGAGAGATTGAATCGCACACTGCTTGGACTAACGCGCGCGATGATCTATGCAAGAGATCTACCTCGTTATCTTTGGGCTGAAGTGATTGCTCACGCAGTCTATATTAAAAATAGATCGCCTACCCAGGCGTTAAATGGGGCAACTCTCGAAGAAAAATGGAATGGGACGAAACCAAATATCTCGTACTTACAAGAATTCAGTTCCCCCGTACGGGTCCTCACGGAGGATGCAACACTATCAAAGCTAGCGCCCCATGCCAACAAGTATATTTTTGTTGGATACATGGACGGACCCAAAGCCATCAAATATTATGATGCGCATATGCGCCAGATTAAAATCTCGCGTAATTTTCAATTTTCTTCGAATTTCCCGGACCATTTGCCCGGCAACGTGCCTCATGTGCCACAAGAGCAAATAGGATCCGACGTACCTATCCTCATAGCACAGTGTGAGGGTGAGCGAAATATATTTCTGGGCACTTTACCTAGCAATGCGTCAGACGTGTTGCATGCGGAAAGGAGACCTGAAGTCCCAAACCTCACAACGACCACAGACGTGCAGCGCGAGGGGGAGTTAGGAACTTCCGCGCCACAGTCACCTGCCAAAAATCCGCGAAAGCGCAGATGGGATGATGATTCTGATCAACGTGAGGAAAGCGGGACGGACGCACCAAGCCAGCCCAGACAAACCAGAAGAAAGACAGTTCGGCATGATTACCGTCTAATGCACGACCCAGAGGCAGACAAAGATCTGGATAATGATCCAGATAAATCAAATGCCGAATTAGTCTATATTGTGATGAGCGCCCATGAAAATGCGGATGCGGATGAGCCAAAGACACTCAGTGATGCCAAGAGATTACTTGAGTGGCCCAAATGGGAACAGGCAGTCCAGACGGAACTCAATCAACTACAGGGTATGGAGACTTGGGAGTTAGTGGAACCTCCCGAAGATCGAAAACCCGTAGGAAATAAATGGGTTCTAGTCAAGAAAACAAACAAAGAGGGTGAAATAATTAAATACAAAGCCCGCCTGGTTGCGAAGGGATATTCTCAAACCCCAGACATGGACTATACCGAGACATTTGCGCCCGTAGTCTGCCTCGAAACCATTCGAGCTATCCTCGGGCTAGCCGCAATCTTAGATTGGGAGATTGGACAGATGGACGTGAAAGGCACCTATCTTAATGGAACTCTCAAAGAAGAAGTGTACATGCGGCAACCCGAAGGATACAGCGATGGAACATACCGCGTATGTAAATTAAAGAAAACCCTCTATGGGCTAAAGCAGTCTGGCCGAGAATGGAATATCATGCTGAACCGCAAGTTACTAGATGCGAGATTCAAGCACCTATTCTCAGATCCATGTGCGTACATTCAGATCAAAGGTGATAAGATAGAAATCGTCACCATTTGGGTAGATAACCTATTAATATTCACCAATGATTGCGCACTGATGGACCAATTGAAGAGGGAACTCCGAAATATGTTCGAAGTTACTGACCTTGGCGAATCCCGAAAAATTGTGGGGATAGAAATCGAGAGAGACCATTCAAAGGGAACGATCAAAATCTCTCAGACAAAATATATTAAGTCTATCCTACACAAGAATGGACTTACGAACGCCAACACAGTCGAGATGCCTCTTGATCCAAATACAGTGCTCGAAAAACAAGAACCCGAAACTGATAATGAATGCAACCGAGACAATGGATACGCATCGCTCGTCGGATCACTGATGTATGTGGCAATTGCCACGAGGCCAGACATTGCTCACGCTGTGCAATGGCTTAGCTCATTTACTGCCAATCCTGGAATGGCTCATTGGACTGCTGCCAAACGCGTCCTCCGCTATCTATCCGGAACACGAGAACTTGGAATAATCTATGGGCCAATTGCAGATGTCAAGCCTGAAGATCAAGCCAAATTCGTGGGCTACTCAGATGCAGACTATGCGAACGATATCCGAGATCACAAATCAATCTTGGGATATTTATTTAAATTAGAAAATGGCACGATCACGTGGAGCTCAAAGAAGCAAACCACGGTCACATCATCCACCACGGAAGCCGAATACATGGCATCCGCCGAAGCGGCAAAAGAAGCTGTGTGGCTCCGAACACTATTCAAAGAAATAGGTTTCGAGCAACAAGATCCTACAATTTTATTCGAGGATAATACGGTGGCGATCTCAATTGCACGTGATCCCCAATTCCACGCGAAATCAAAACATTTTAATGTAAAGCATCATTATATGCGCGAGAAATTGAGGGATAAATATATTGATATCCATTACTGTCCCACGGAGGACATGATAGCGGATATCCTAACAAAGTCACTCCCTAAGCCGAGGCACGAGAAGCTCACAAAAAAGCTCGGAATGCCCATCGGCTTGAGGGGGAGTGTTGGAAAGTAGCGCCCAAATTTCTGGAGCTCCAGAAATTGGAGAGCGCCCAAGGGCAGACAAGCTGAGGGCATGATTACAAAGAAAGACAAAGAAGGAAATTTGCTTATATAAAGTGGAGCGTCTAGAACTGTATATATACAGAAATCTATTTTAGGATGCGCAATCATGCGTCCCGACGCATCTTGACCCGCTATCACTACCTTCCTATTTGGGAACTAAGACGCGATTTCTAACAGTCTCTGACTGCACTTATCGATAAAGATTCACCCTGGCAAAACTTCATGGAAAAATGTGTCAATACTGAACCATGCAAGTGCATACATATCTTGTTTCTGTAATACAATTAACAATTGACAAAAGACAATGTCCACAACAGGAATTGAACCCTGAACCTTGCAGAGTTTTGACAATTTATTACAATGACTGATGCTTTAAATCACTGAGCCATATGTCCTTGTAATACTACATCTTACAATCAGATATAAGTGCTTCTTCTTATATTATATATAAATTAAAGTACCCTATATTAAGTCTTTAACTAAACAATAATATAAGTGGTTTTTATAATAGAGTTATAACTGTTTAATTTGTAAATAGTGTATAAAACTTTTAAATTAGCTGTTTAAAATTAGTTAAATAATTGTAGAGAGCTTTGACTTATTAAAAGTAAGTTGAATATGTGGAAGGTTATAGTATAGTCACAGAATATTTATAACAAAGTTCTAAATTTATAAAAAGAATTATACAATTATTTAACTAATTTTAAACAGCTAATTTAAAAGTTCTATACACTATTTACAAATTTAAACAGTTATAACTCTATTATAAAAACCACTTATATTATTGTTTAGTTAAAGACTTAATATAGGGTACTTTAATTTATATATAATATAAGAAGAAGCACTTATATCTGATTGTAAGATGTAGTGTTACAAGGACATATGGCTCAGTGGTTTAAAGCATCAGTCATTGTAATAAATTGTCAAAACTCCACAAGGTTTAAGGTTTAATTCCTACTGTGAACACTGTCTTTTGTCAATTGTTAATTGTATTACAATAAATTACAAGGAATTACAAGGTGGTCACATTATACACAACACTTTGGACTCCTTGTGGAGGCATTGTATTACAAGAAGAGGCACCACTGGTGGATAAGCCACTATCACAGGTTGAGCCGCCATCATAGGCAGCTTTCTCCTTTATGACTGATGCAGGGCCATACGTCAACATTACTCGCCTGGTCTTTACAGCCCATGCATTCATCTGCACAGAGTCAGCCAGTTTCTCCTCACGTTCCCAAGCCTGTCGACACTAGATATGTCTGAGTTGTCACTGTCCGCTAAGCTCCAGGCTCCTCGTCGCAGCCCCCCTTTGGATCTCTTTCAAAGCTAACCTGGACATGTCACTATCAGAAAAATAGACTCTCTTTCTTCAAACCTAAGGTTCCTTCTGGATGGCCTGTGCAACTGAATCTCTCCTATTTATCGATGCTTGAGGTGCTATTTGAGGAAGAGCAATCTGGCAGATGCTGTGTAAGTTCCTGCAGACCAGCGGAGCTCCACTGTGCCATTTTGTGCTGTCTCTCTTGAACGGTCTGCACTGTGCTGAGCCAGCTTACATGCCTGTTACCTTGGAGTGACACCGGAGGGCAATGTTATTTGCATGTTCACCTTCAAGGCTGGAAGTTGTGACAGAAAGAAGAGTCGCAAATAGGCCTGTGACTACGAATATGTGGGACACTCTTGATCTTGCTCGGATCCTGGACTGCCATGCTGCATCCCCACCTGGCATGCCAACTAGTACATCACGATGTTCATACACAATATACCTGAGGTAATGCGTGTAGGGCATGTGGGCATGAATCAGAAAGGACAGATCACGGTGGTGCCATTGCGAGCTTACGTATTTTCATCTGTTCCTTGGGCTGTTGAAATAGGTGAAGGATGTGCCGAGCTCATCCCAATCAAGGTCCTGTGGGATATTCGAGATCGTGTGCTTGTCTGGGCCACATAGTTCAAGAATGATGCTATGTAGTTGGACATGAGAGTACCTATGACCGTCACCACCGCTGTCTCTTGAGAGCAATAGCACAAGCTGCCTCAAGATAGTGCAGACCAAGTGTAGGGGATATTTGAAGTTCTGTAAGACGTCCTTGATATGCAGCTCCTCAAGATTCACATTATATGACAGGTTAATGCTCCCTAGACAACGGTCGTACCAGGTGCTATCATTCACAATAGACAGCACTAAACACTATATCACGGACTTGCTCATGTGTAGGAGCCTATGCAATGTCGGCCAGACACTATACCCGCACACTCACACTTCAAGCATGGAGAGGGAGGTGGAGTCCAGCGGCCCTCCATCTGTTGGCTATGCAAGAGGTTTATCATTTATTACAAATAATGTCTCAACCAAATTTACATCCTGTCAGTTGTGAGTCAATGCCAGCATGGAGATTTGTGGTCTCTGGGCAGTTGTGAGAAACAATGTACTGCCAGAAGGACCTTGCATCCAAGCTAGCTCAAAATTTTGTGAGGACAGGGAGAGGTTGGATACATGCAGTGTGGAGAGATGGGGGAAGAATACAAGAAACAGAAAGAGATCACTGTGGTTGAAGGTGCAGCTGTGGTCGATGATGAGACATATAATGCCAATGCATGGTCCCGCCTCCTAAGGTCAAATAACCTGTGCATCTTCCTCTAAGGTTTTCCAAATGTCGATCAACCGCGTGCAGGCGAGCTAGTAGCCGCAACAGCCTGCTGTACAACAGCGATGCATGCTTATCATTCACATACACCATCAGAGCGTGTACATGGTGAACTAATGCAATGGAGGCCTCCATGATGTGCAAATTGGTTGGATGTCAGTGATTGATACACAGACTGCAAAAAAGGTGGTGTCATGCAAGAGCCATGCGCGGCAAGTGAGGCTGCAGGATTTAAGCATGGCACAATCAAACTGGAGGTAGTGCAGTATGTGATCACACGTCTCAGGTGGAAATTGTGACAGATGTGGCAGAGTGCTTTTGGTATCTGTGAATGATGAAGCAACCATCAGAGGAATGTCGGCCAGATATCAATGTCTGATGGTCAGTTATGCACTAGTTGCAGGCCGATAATTCTATCATAACAATAAGATACAGAGACGAAGTGTTCACTGTTCAGGATGACAAATCGACTCACGGCAATGTCAGGAGCAATGTCGAGTACTGCAAACTATCTTTCTTAAATGTAGTTTACACACAAACCACATCAAAGACCACAGCAGAGTATGCATATAGTAGACAGTGGATTGCTGTGAATGTAGGCGATATAGTCATTGAGGCTTAAAACAGAGGCCACCGGAAGCAACGTGCAATGAGACCGATCGGGCCTAAATCTCGATTATTGTGTGTGCCTTTGTGGTCACCAGGAACTTGAGTTTGCACACATATTAACTTTGCATGTCGACCTTCGAGGAATAATAAAAAGGTTCCTGATGGAAGCATTCTCGATTATGATGCACATTGCAGAGTCACAGTTGTTGACATCATTCTTTGCTGATGAGAAATACTTATGCCACATGGCCTGCACGATAATCATACATTCTCGACCAGACTCGGAATCATCTATCTCACGCCTGTACCTGACGAACATCGTGTTTGACTACATCGGCCACTGTTGGTGAACACCAGTGATTGATGGCTTTGCCATGGGCTCTAGCGATCACTTCATCTGTATATGGATACACATTCTCAAGTGCAGGGAGGGGTACTTTCACGATCAAGCATATTCAAGCTTCAGGCTCCTCATTAGCGCCCTCTGAACCTGGCTCCTCACCGTCAATGTCCTCGCCCAGAAATCAAAGTGGATGCCAACTGGTCAGCAACTCATCATACTCTCTGCCGCATCCTGCACTGGAACAGCGGATGACATGTCCAGAGCTCGGGTGAGGCATGCGATCCTCAAGTACCTTAATCATGAATTCCTTGCTGTTCCATATGGACATCGATCAGCATATGCTTTGTCATCCCCATGCTGGCTGAAGAGCGCGTACCTGTGCACACCATTTTGCAGCGCATTGTGCACAATATCGTCGAGGCCAGTGTGCTTCCCACAGTTCTTGCACTGCATCTCGAGCTTGCTGAGGAGCATGCCCTTGATGCAGAGCCAGCTGAAATTGGTGCCAAGTATGTCACTCAGGTGGTGGCTCTCAGTGTTATCAATGTACCATAGGTATTCATCGCCATAGCATGCATCAATCGTGCCTGCAATGAATATTCCAAGTCAAGCGAAACCTGGTGAGAGGACACTACATGCGGTTGAGCTCTGGCTCAGTGGTGAGTGCTGCTACAGGCTGAGATGAGCTGAAGGAGGTACATCCTAGAAAATTGCATGGCTGAGGGGCCCATGATTGCACTGAGATAGCCCTGAATGCACGCCCTCTTTATGCTTTAACTGAGAGCCACAAATGAGTATCTCAGTTATGAGATGGCAAGGAGATAGCTCATTGAACCTATTATCGAGGCGATAGTGCGTGTTTCAGTGACAGCTTCACAGCAGCTGGTGTCCCTTCAGTGGCAAAGAAGCATTCACACTGGAGCACACAGATGTAAAGGATGAGCTTCAGTGTCTGTCTGCCAATTAAAATGTTCGTACTCTGTTATACTTATCTCTGACATTACGAGGCACTTTATGGAGCACAAAACTCATGCTTCACCAGAGCCGACTCAAGGGTCGCCGCCCCCACATTCTGAAGAAAACCTTCTGTCAAATGCAGGTGGTGCCACAGTCACAAAGGCATCTTCACTCATCTGCATAATAGTCAGGGTGTCAGTAATTCAGAAGTCAGATCCCTTTGCACAATAATGTTGACACTGGTTACTGCAGTGAGTAAACTTGCACAGCGAGAGAAAATGAGAATTGGCAGACAAGTGTGAGTCCAATAAAGCTCAGCTGCACGATCGCGAGAAGATACAGAGGATTTGAAAGAAACACTACATTGAGTATTCGGAGAAACACACCCATCAACTCTTTTAGACTCAGGCCATTCGATTATGAAACCTGCACAAGTCAAAGTGGCATGCACAGCAAAACCAGATCCAACGAGGCAAGAAAGGCGATGGCAAAGAACAAAGAATCACCATCATATGTGATGTACCAATTCATGATTCTTCGTTCCCCTGCCAGCTGCTCCCATGGTACTGAGCATCCCACATCCAGTGCCTCCTTGCTGACATCCTTCCATGGGCAGTCACCAGAGTGCAGCTGACCAATCATCATGATCTCGACACAATCACCCACCCATCGACCTTGGTGCAGGGGCCCCCTGTATAGTGTCGATAAAGAAGGATCACTAGACCAACAGATCAGGGACACCAGCACCTCACTGAGGCCCACTTTCATGTTCATAAAGAGATCCGATAGGGCAGTGATATTTGAAAGTGCTGTAGTGGCATCTGCGCGCACGTACTCATGCTACATGATACTGCAGAGCACCCACGCAGTGTTGGGGTCAGCAGAATTGGGTGTAATGTATGCCTCATGTGTGAGATCGATGAGCTTTGCACACATCTTGGCTGAGATTTTGTGCCAGAACTTCAGCATGGGTACATACCACGCAGTGTCATACCCTTCATAGAAATGCTGACTTGCATAGCAGAAGAGGTTCTAGTAGTCATCCTCTGAGTCACTCTGGTCATCCTCTGAATCATTCGGATCATCATTGGACATGCAGCAGTGGCCCGTGCACTTGAAGATGTGCATCTCCAGCTCCTTAGCCACAGTGAGGAAACCCTCAGGGAGATTGTCATCGTGAATGTACTCACTGATGCATATGATGCAGCAGCCAGCCCATTGGCGAGGTGGCCGAGCATGCGGATGTCTGGGGTATGCACACCTGGCTGCAGAAGATGATCAATGAGTGTTGCATTTTATGGTGCTGGCAAGTGATATGCTCACACTGCTATTGGCAGGAAGAGGAAGAGGTATAGTGAGCAGGTGTACCAGCACCTTCACTAGGTCAGTGTAGAAGAGCCAGATACCCAGCTTTCCACCATCATCGCCAAGTTTCTCCCACGTGTTGAAATTGAATCTGAAGGTGTCCAGAGCATCATTATTACTATAAGCATCTTCAGACAATGAATTACAAGGAATTACAAGGTGGTCACATTATACACAACACTTTGGACTTCTTGTGAGGGCATTGTATTACAAGAGGAGACACCACTGGTGGCTTTCAGAACTATTGTTGGTCAATCATTGATAAAAGTTCATGTGCTAGCAGAATGCAAATTGAGCCGGTGCTAGATGCAAGAAAGTCGTGATAATTATTCCAGCAAATACACTTTAATATCTCACTAGAAATTTCCACACCACCGAGACCTAGTTTGGTAGGTTGAAAGTCAAAGAGACCAAGAAAGATGGTAGTTGATGTTATGAGGGTCGACACCAGTATCAGTGACTGTTATATCTGAGACCTCAGCCTAGCTGTGCACAAACACTACATGTTGTGCCAAGTTGTGTCCAAGAGAGGCCTGATGCATACAAGTTTGTATCCTTCGGGTGCCTTGTGTTCTCTAGAAAGTATTGCCTTCTCAAGGATTATGGATGACAACTGAAAAGAGACTGAGTTTCCTGAAATAGCATATAGTAGTCTGGTGAAACAGCCCATATTGATTGCATTTGAGTGACACTGGCAGCTGAAGGCAAAAGGCTCAGAGGTTCAACATGAAAACTCCCCATGGAACTGTCCCATTGACACAGAGCTTGCGCAATAATCACACATAATGCAACCCTTGAAGAGAATTAAATATTGAGCTGGGTGGACTAACATGGAACCACAGTACCTGATGCCTAGATGCCTCTTGGACATCATAGGGGGACAGGAAAATTTAAAAATTGCCACTTGGTTTTGGCCACAAGTGTGACAAATTTAATTTAATTTATTTGATTTCCGGCCAACCCTATCACTAAGATATGCCCACTTCATCTTCAACTATTATCATGTGATCATTTTGTCACACTTGGCGGGTGAAACCCTAAATGCTCCACACACAGGATGTGCACCAAAAATCTGCTTCTGTAACTTTGTAGAAGATGATTTTTGGGAATTACTTACTGAAGCTGATAATTTATTTTAAGGGAGGCACGAAGGTTTTGAGCCTCCAGTGCTCCAAATTTGCTGCTTCCCCTGCCAATCTTGCACCACCGTGACAGACTTTGGCTGAGGCACCTGACATGTCACGCTGTGACAGTCGAGGATGAAGTGGCTCTATCTTATAAGGAGACTGCCACAGGCGCGTACGTTTCAATAAAATCATCAAGTTTCGGGACAGCTGCTTGGTGCCTCTTCCTTCCTCCATCTCAGGAGCAAATGCGGAACTTGCTTCAGAGACCGTTGGTGTTAATCGCTCGGATATACAGACGCTTCCGGAGACAATGTGCCGCGGACGCCTCGATAACAGGCATAAACGACTTTCCCACTGAGCTCCTGTTCGAAATCATTATCTACCTCCCTCTTCCAGCGCTCATCGCAGCCCGCACGGTGAACAAAAGGTGGCGAGAACTTATCGCCGTCGCTCCCATTTCCCCTTCCCGCCGCAGACTCCTCGATCTCTACATATATGCCATCGCTTCGCCTTCCTTCCTCGCAACGCGCGCCCAGATCATTCCCAATCTCGGCCCCTTTGATAGAAAAGCATACGTTGCCCGCCTCGAGCAGCAGACAGGGCAGCATCTACCAGAGGACTTTCGCACCTGGGTGCTCGAATGGCCTGCGCGGGCGGTGATCAATTGGTTATGGCCAGGGCTGTCTTCAAGGAGGAGGTGGTCGCGAGCCAGGGTCGGTAACTCTCTAAAAGAAGGAAAGGTAGAGATGTGTACGCTGCAAGAAGGACTGCCGTTCTATCCCTCCAGGCCGATCTATTACGTCCGAAAATGTGATAGTGATGGCGCACCTCAGACCAAACACTGGGTATATCGGATGTACGTCCGTTCTCGGACCTACTCATTGGATGACTTGGACATCCCGGATACAGTGGATATATATCTTGCTGGCAGAGGTGCGGGCGAAAACATGATTGGGCATGTCCATTTGGTCGCGCCACTCTATCCACGATGAGCCCATAACCTTGGGTTGGGTTGAATTCCTGAGAAGGGAACTCGGGCATTAAAGTGAGATTTGTCTCATAGATGTGGACACTAATCAATGCAGTGATAGTTTAGCTCTAGTATGTTCTTCATTTGTTCATCCCGACTCCTTAGACTGAGTGTTGTACGTTGATAGGGTATATTACGATGTCTCACATAGCAGTGTTGAACGTTGAAGTCTCATATACCATGAATCTCAGTCAGTTCATTCACCTTTCAGGTTGTCTTAGGAAGGCGGGACGTATTATGAAAACCCTTTATCACCTGGCCAACACCAGTGTACACACCGCGAACAAAGGACTGTTGACGTTTGGCATTGATCTCCCAGCACAAATAGCTCACCATGACGAAGATTTGCCCCCGTAACGCTCAAGTGCTGTCAGGCCATCAAAAAGTGTGAATCAAGATTGCGAAGTTGAAAGAGCGGCTGGACCGGGGTGCTTACCACTATTTTGCATGCCCTTCTCTGACCATATCATCACAGACCTCGATTCGGTGGATGTGGACGCGGAAGAGTGTACTTGTGACATCAGCAACACAACAAGGTGCAGCTTCGAGAGCTACCGAAGCCCCACCTCACTTACAGCCTCTGTAAGGGTTTCCTAGATGCTGCGGGTAAGTTAATTTACCGCTTTGTGTGGTCCATCCATCGACGCTGTGCAGGGAACGAGAACGAGCAATTACAGCGCATACATGAGCGTGTCAATGATCTGCCCAATCCGAACTATGCCACACTCTAAGTATTCTATGGGCCTTCATAAATTCGTTCACCTTGGTCCTTTTATGTCTACGCGCGTGCTTCCGATAGATTTTGCCAGAATGGCCCAACACAAGTCTGAGAATGCCATGCTCATACAAATCTTGCCATTGATGCATTCTGTCGGACCCTATTCGTGCAAAGCCAGACTGGCGCGAACGACTAAATAAATGGACGGCGGGCCCTCCATGGCGGACGCGCCCAGCCAGAACAAGCTGCCTCTAGACCATTGTGCCCACATTTTCGTGGTCGATGAGATGACACCACGATATCGCTTCACAGTGCTGCTCTGTAGAACACAGTTCCTTCCTCAAGTACTTCCGTTGACTGTGCTGTTACTCTTGGGTTTTCCGATTCTGCGATGGTTCGACGAAACGAATGCTCACAGTACCGGGTGCGCTCAGTGTTCAAACATTCATGCCGTGCAGTGAGACTCGGTACTGTCATACTGCATACAGTCTCCAAAAGACTCGCGCTGGGCAGTGCTGAGTTCCTGTTCTTATCGCACAGGGCCACCATCTCACCGTTCGAGGCACACATGTGCCTCGACAAGCGTGGCCGAATATTAATCCAAGGCTTAGGTCGGGTTGGAAGAGGCTCGTAGCTAGAGCTATACTTGTCTACGACCGTCTAGGACACAAGCTGGGAAACAAGCTGTGGACTGACAGCTTGCCGCATGTATATTTTTGCAGAAGAAAGGTTACTAGACGCGAACGAGTTGTTCGGGAGGTTAATCGATTGCGAGCATGTCGGCTCGCGGACATTGATTGCATTAATGTGGCGAAACACGAGAAGAACGACGGCGGAGATGCGTTTTAGCCTGGAAGTATTCCGTCGTAGTACTGGGTTCTCCATGGCCATCGCGAGGTCGCCACATTTCTGGTGGCTGAAACGCCGTTGGAAACGAGTTCCTGCGACGCTGAAGTCTGGCATGCAAGACCGTTCAGCCTGCAACGGATATAAAATCGGAAAAGAAAACCCTGTTCAGAGAATCTGGCCTCTTCTAAGTACGCAGGGCAGAGCTCAACGCAGTCGTGCAGGTCATGCATTGGCTAAGTAAACAAGCGCCCGCTGACGTCGCTTGAGAGTTGGCTCCCTGACGTTATACTTCTCTCGGTACTTTATAGTGTAATTTAAATATTCGCACCGTATTGCATATGCATGTCCTTGTCTTCATACCGTTGCATTGTCGAGATTCTGGCCAACTTGTACTCAGTTAGACGATTTCTATATGGCTCGTCGACTCACTAGTAGTGCGGCAAATTTCAGCATGCAACCACTAGGCGATGCTTCGGATGGTTCCCATCGGCACCGAAATGGAAGAGAAGCATGAGTACTAGTGCATGAGTCATTGGAGGTCATACGAACGTGGGATCGACAAGCTTTCTGTAGAATTCAAGTAATGTATTCTGGCAGTTCAGCCCTGCTGGATAGTCTCGAGATGGGTCTGCTAGACAACTATCAAGGTTGTGGATCGACCAGATACGGGGGCTGCGGCCGATTTGGGCAAGTGAAGTGGAATGAGAGATCGCCCGTTTGGGCCAACAAGAGACAAGTGACGCCGGCACGATGACTCGTCGCTGCTCCTGTTTACTGACCACAACGCACACACCAGCCAACATCTCGCGCACAACCCGGTCTTGCATTAACTTACACGACCCGGAAGCCTCTCTGCTGTATCTTGTACTACTCTCCACCCATCATCGCTACTCCAATCTTGTTTAATGCCCTCTCAGAACATTCGCAATGTCCTTCCATCTTCCAGCCCTCGCTACCCACATACCCATTCTCTCGTTGACGACGACCTGTCCCCAGAATCTCCGTACCTCGGCGAGCCTTCTTCTTTCGGTTCACAGCACCCTCATCCTGGCTCAGAGCCAGACGAGCCCTTGCGAATAGTCGAGCCGCACAGGCCGTATCTCATCCCTGTCGACGATCGAGCTCCTGGTTCCGATCTAGACGAGGGTTTCGCATCCGATGGTATGCCAGCCTCACCGCTCGTCTTGCCTGCGGACAAGTGCGAGCTTGCTACGCCAGAACGCCAGGGGCGCACTGTGGGGCATGTTAGGGCGCCAGTGCTTGCACGGTACGCGTCCCCTCCTCTCTCACGTTCGGTTCGTTTGTTTTCCTGTTCGTGTTTACCGCGTACGAGCCCCTTCCTTCATGAGATCGGCGCTGAGCATGCACGTCTCGCCATTCTAGCGCATGTCAGAACCCGCCAATTCGTGTCGTCGTTTCCATTGCAACCTTGTTACCTCTTTAGAGGGCCAGTGATTATCGAATGTCGGTCGCCCAGTCCGCTCTACTACATGTACGACGCGTTTCAGAGTCCATGCACTTGGACCTGCGAAGATCGCAGCAGTTGTGTGCTGTGGTCGCTGTGCGTTCTAGGCCTCAATGACCATGCATTGTACAGTCTCTGTGTGGGCAGCTCCTGCGATCACCTTACCGCGCGATATTTGGGGACGGACCTGAAATGAAGTTCGAACGGTTTGCACGTGTGTCTCTGCGCACGGCTTCCGCTGTAGTCGCACCTCATATTCTTCGCTGCTTCGTCCCTCGCTCTTGCTTTGCAAGCCTTGCTATCGTTTCTCTTTCCTCCTTCATTTTGTTTGATACCTGATTTGATACCGAATGTTCAATTTCGCTCCTTTGATACACAGCGAACCGACGACGCTTGAATCGTTCTCGCGCACAATCCGCAACTACGTCCCGTCTTCGATCCCCATCCCGTCTGCGGGGCCGATCCCACCTCGGATATCTCGCCCGGAGTCCTTTGGGAGCTTCCTGAGCCCGTCGAGGCTGAACCGCGCATCTTCCCAGCACGCCCACGAGAGCAGGGGTAAGCGGCGTGGCAGCGAGGCTTCGCACCCGAGCTGGGAGCGAGAGTACACGCCGGTGTTCAACCTTGACGAGGAAGTTCCCGAGGGCAGTACGCGGTACCCTGGGTTGGCTCCGGACGAGACTCGCGCGGAGGAGGTTCTCTGGGCGGGGTGGGACAGCCTGGTTGAGGACGACGCAGAGAAGCCCAGGTGAGCATTATCGTACCTGCCTATATGCGTCGGGAACCAATGAGCCTGCAGGCGCCTCCTCATCCTCGGGTACCCATCGGGATTGCAAATTTGGGACTGTACTGACCTCGGCGCCGTCTCCGAGTTGCTGAACCTGTCTAGGGACTGGGGCGCAGTGATGTCTGCGGGTGTCCTTCCCAACCCCCGCTTGTCGTCGAAGGACGATCCGATGCGGGAGAAGCGACCAGTTTTAGGTGTCGTGTGCGTTTTGTAGTATCAACTATTGGGCGTTTGCTAATATTTGTTTTCTCAGGTCGGAGGCGCGCGACAACATCGAGTTCGTCGTGTACTCGCTGCGCACGCACGAGGTCGTCAAGCGGCTGCCCACCCCTAGCCTGCGGGCATTTTCAGCGTCCGATAATTTTATCATTTTGGTGTGTATGAGACTCGGACGGGCTCTTTCTCGCTCGCTCACGTGTTAGCCGCAGAGTACTTCGAATCCTGTAAACCTACACATTCTTTCCTCCAGCACGTTTGGCGTTTTGTACACTATACCCTCCGCATCTCTCGTTCCCTTCGCATCGGCGTCGCCATCTCGTACCGGAAGCAGTAACATTAATCTCAAGAAGAGCAGTAACAATCCAAATTCGAATGTATCGCATATAGATCTAGACGACAACGGCGTCATCGGCGCGGACCGTCGCCCGCAACATCATCACCAACACCATCATCATTATCAACATCACATCGACACCCCACGTGCGGTGTACGCGCACTCGCGCCGCCTGCTAGCGTTCGCCTCCCCCCTGACCCCCGCCCCCGCCGTCGCTCCAGGCGCCCATCCCAATCTCCACTCGGCTCCAGCGATGCTCACGGAGTCCTCGCCCAAGTTTGCACTGGGCATGTCACAGGCCGAGCTGGGGAGCGCCGCGATCAAGCTCGGCGGGACGGTCCTCAGCGGGATGAAGTCCCTCGGCGGGCTTGCGATTTCGGCTGCCCGCGCTGGGGTGTCTGCGGCCGTGGCCGCCGACGGCTCGGGGTCAGGGACGGGGAGCGAGGGCCCGAGCGGGTTGAGCAAGATGTTCTTCTCACGGAGTGCGCCGTCTGCGGGCGCAGGCGTGGGCGGGGCACACCAGCGGCGCGTGTCTCAACCTTCGTCTGAGGGCGGGAGGCCGGACGTGCCCGAGATCGAACGGGAACGGCGCGCGTACATTGCGCCCGCGCCCCTGTCTGGCGGGTGTAATGTCACCGTCGTGGACTTGCAGCCGCTGCTGTCATCGTTGTCCTCTGCAGAAGCACCCCCGAAACGGCCGGTGGTCGTCGCGGAGTTCGTGGCGTCCAAGTATCAGCCCGTGAGCTGCTTGCGGTTCTCGGCGGACGGGACGCGGCTCGTGGTGTCGCTGAAGGACGGGCATAGCGCCAAGATCTACCAGCTGAGGCCTGCACCGCGCGTTCTGCGCTCGCCGCTCTCTGTGCCGCAGGTGGACGAGGCGGATAGCCGGCAGCGGCACCAGCGCGACGAGAGTGCGGTATTCGACGTGCCGGAGGGTGCGCTGGAGCCGCCGAGGCATGTGTACACGCTCCAGAGAGGGCGCACGTCGGCGGTTGTGGAAGGACTGGCATGTGCGGGGGACGGGCGGTGGGTCGCGTTGGCGACGCGGAAGCGCACGGTACATGTATTTGCGACGAACCCGTATGGAGGGCGGACGGACGACGTGAGCCATCTGGCGGGGAAGGTCGTGAATGCCTCTGAGCTGGTGAGTGGTTCAGCTTTTCAGCTTGCGCGGATTTTTATGCTGATGGTGAATTTGTCGTAGCAACCGTACCCCACGGAGCTCACGCCGATTGTGAGGCTTCGCACGTCCAAGACGCCGCCGCCGGAGAGCTGCCCTGCGCCGCTGGCTTTTATGTTCCTCCGCTCGTCGCCGTCCACGCTGCCGTCCAACCTCCTCCCATCCATCCCTCCGCATTATTCGACGTCCTCTTCGCCCTCGTCCGTGCACTCGGCGAGCCACGCGAACCCGCTCGCACTGCGTACGCCGCGCAACCTTCAGGACGTTCTCGTCTTCGATCCGTATGACGGCACGCTCTCACTCTGCCGCATCGTCGTTGAGCGCAGCGCCGCCTCGTCAGATCACACTGTGGGATCTGTGCCAGTGGTGGGCACCACGAGTACGTCTCTCCCAGGTGTGAGTTCTCTTGGGAGATTGAGCACGTCGCCTGCGAGCTCGGGCAGTCCACGACGAGCCTCGGGGTTGTCGCAGATGATGGAACGGCCCGCGGAGTTGGTTGCTAAGGAGAGCAGGGTTGGGACGTGGGTTCTGAGGAGGGGGAGCTTGAAGGATTGGCCTGAGGTGCGGACGGCTTGGGCGGGAGAGCGGAAGGTTGGACGTCTTGCTAGCGCTGAGTGCGTATTCGTTGATCGGTTCGTGTTTTGTTGCGTGTTTCTGACGTGTGTCTGTGTTTATAGCTGGTTGTCCCGCGCGGAGCTGTCGACGTGCTCCTCGTCACCGCGCATCCTCCCTCGTTCCATCTACCTCTCGCACCAATTCTCGTTCTACGTCTTCGGGGAGGACTACCACGCGCTCATCAGGAGCTACCGCTTTGACGTGCCCGCGAAGAAGATCGAAGTGCGCAAAGAAGTCGAGGTGAGCGCGTACGCCATCGACTCGGGCGAGGCGTTCGTCCAGGGCTTTCAAGGAACGCGCGACATGAACCCCGTCTCGTCGTCCTTTGACGAGCCACTCGCGTCTGCGATCCAGGGCGACCTGCCGCATCTCAAACCGTCGCCGCCCGTGCTGCCAATGTACCCCAACGGCACGTCCGGGTCGGGGGCGCGCTCGCTCCGGAACGCGATCCCGATCCGCACCGTCGCGGGTATCGGGGATACGATGTCGGAGGGCCTGGGACGGCTGCGCCGCGAAATCGGCAAGGTGCGCTCGCCCCGGCTCTCAGCACGCGAGGGGCACGGCCTGCCCGAGTCGGTGCCGCTGGAGTTTGCGGAGGAGGATGAGGACTTTTTTGTGGATGCGCGCGCGCTCCAGTCAGGGAACATGCAGTGCGCCGCGATCGACATGATGCGATCGACCTCGCGTGGGCGTGGAGGGGACTCGGGCGAGTCCCTCAGCCTCTCGACGCCGTCGCCGAATCTCGAGCCGCTCGCAGCTGAGGACGGCATGGAGGGCGTGTGGCAGGGCTGGGAGCCAGAGGACCAGCAGGCGGTCGAGGATGCAGAGCGCTTCAACGATATCACGATCGGGTTCATGGATGAGGAGCAGGAGACGATGCGCGAGGTCGCGCGGAGTAGGCAGGCGCTGGGGTTTGGTGGAGGGAAGAAGCCACGCAAGTCGCGGAAGAGGTGAGCCGTGCTCGACAGTCGATCGCTCGTTTGCTCGAACAGATGTCCTCTCGCATTGCTTGGACCTTTGTTTCGTCGTGCTGTTTCGTAGGCATGTGGCATGAAAGTATCATGAATGAAGAAGTTGCAAGTGCAGCCCATTGTTGTGAGATATAGTAAGAATTGTCATCACCAAGGTGTTTGCGGTTTCGCAAAAGTCCTACGCCCCTGCACGCCCTCGCGCAAGCTGGTCGGGCACCGTACATACCCATCGCGGCGACGTGAGCGATGCAGCGTAGAAGTGTAGCCGTGCGAGGTTCACTTTCAGATTCACCCAGTGGACATATGGGTTTTGGGAGATGATTCCTTACTCGCCGTCTCAAGATAAAGATTTGCGCAGATATTAAAATTGATGTCACATACAAAAATTCCAACATCGCAATTTTCACATTCTGAATCTACAGGACGCCATCAATTGTCAATTGAAAGAAGCTTGAATGATACAGGGGTGACGTACCCGATTACGCCGAGACCACATATAACTTGTCGTGGCCAGTACAACCCGATCACGGCACACGCAGGCCATTCAAGAAGCCAAGTATCATTCATCCCAAGCTTATACATCAGTCTGTCCCTCCTTCCTCTCATAGGACTGATTTTGTAGTCTGCCTCATGAAAATTATCCAAAGCTTCATTCGCCTTCATGCTTGCAACAGCTCGCCCTTAGAAGGAAAGCTTCAGCCGCTGAAAATCTTTCCAACGGATATTTCGTTTGAGGTTCCCGGAAAGAGCGACATACCTAGTAAATAATGAACGTGTGGCCCCAGGTTCACTTTCTGTAAACGTACAACACAGTCGGAGTCAGTCCATAGTATAACCGAAGGACTAATGCATCCCCAATTTATCGTGACCAGTAGCTATGTAATCAATGATCGCAGCGCTGGATTCTTTCTCTCAGGGATTCAATCCAGCTTCAGCTAACAGCGACTACGTTTGATGTAGCAGAAGTCAGAGCTGCGATCCAACCTCGGAAGGAAGACATATCAACAATGTAATGGACGGAAAGCGTCATGCTCGCGACGTCAGCTCAAGAATGCAACCGTTGGGAAGAAACAGGCGTACATGTCATATTGTTGCATAATATACCTAGGACTGTAAGCCGAGTGTGATGCACACTCACCTGTAGTCATAGTACAGTCTGCACATGCATTAGATTGTGCATTCAGGATGCATATTCATGTATAGCGGATGCATCACAGTATGCATTGGAGGATGCGCGCCCCCTTTCCTCTTTTGAAATGCTATTATTAGTCCCATCTGCTTTAGGTCGTCCTCCCGCCGGCTACTTGGCGCTCAACCCGCCCTCCAGCACCGCCACCTGCCTCCTTCCTGCTTCAGCGGTATTCGGTCCCTTATTATTCGATCTTATATCTCTGTGGGATCTTCTTTTACATCTTCCCTGTCCTTCCATGTCTTTGGTCGATCCCTATTCACGTGACTGGATGCGCGAACATCTCGGGGAGCTTTTACTCAATGCACAGTACTCCGTGTCCATGCAGGCACGACAGACAGGAGCTGAGTATTTTTTTCTTACCACTCCTTTTTTGCAGTCTGTTGATGGTCCCATGTCACTGGGTGCACTGCCGCCCTCGGCGATGCCAGGTGCGCGCAGCGATGCCAGGTGCGCGCGGCGATACCAGGGTGCGTGCTCAACACAAGTGCATGAGCAAGCCAGATGGGCAGGAATTCAGAGACAGGTAGAGACTCGCAGGGCTAGTTTCTCCCATCAGGATTGAAGGACGAGTAACACAGATCTCGACCATTATCTCACCAGGCAAGGACAGTTTCGATAGAGTCCTTACTTTGTCGACTACAGTATCAATTCATCAAGGTGTTTTATCCTAACATGTGGCAGAATTTAAGGCTGAAAACAAATAATATATTTGTTCACAACCGTGCTACTAAAGTATTTTTCTATCAAGATAGTTCACTATGGAAGCGGAAATGACTGAACACAATGCGCACAAGATATCACGATCAAGAATACAAGAAGTACAAGAAATGGTATGCTGTGGCCGCAACGGCACCAAGATCACTATATGAGACTCACCAGAGCATTCATCGCCTCCTTCTCTTCACCCCATCGTTGCCCTCACCCATTTCCGCCTTGTTCTCCTTCGCAGACTTCCTTTTCGGCTTCGCAGAATCACTCTCCATCGTTGAAATGCCGAGCCTCCTGGCTTGAGCTGCTGTGGGCTCCCATATTGAGTCTGCAGTCGGAGGAAGCTTACGCGTGCGAGAAGGCTGAGCTAAGGAGGAGCAAGAGTTCGAGGCGGATGGTGCTGCGGACGTAGCTGTACCATCCAGATCGATAGGTGAGGAGGAGCATGAGGTTGACGCGGAAGTCTTGCTTGGTGCTGTGGATGTAGCAGTACCATCCAGATCGACAGAGGGGGGGGAGAATGTGTTAATAGAGTGCACGGGCGCGACATGGTCAGCTGGCTGAACAATAGTTGGCATGGCAGACGCCAGAACAGGCTGAATGACGGGTGCACTATGCACTTCAGAATGTCGGAGAGCATCGCGTTCGGCAGATGCGTCAATGCCGGACTGCACAATGTCAGCGGGCACCGAGACTGCATCACTGGAAGTCCGAGAGCTGGTATTGATGGCGGCGGCGGTGAGGGCATGCATGGGAATCACATATGCAGGGGGTGGTACCGGGAATCTGAACATTGAACTGCTGGCCATATCGGATGTGGCAGGGAGAACGATAGGCCGATCTTGCACAACGGAGAGCATACCAAGGTTGGCAATGTCGGTTGGACTGGTTGCAATGTGAGGTCCAGGCTCGTGCGCACCAGATACCATATTGCCAGTATCAGAGGCATCGCCCAAATGAGAACCCTGATTTGGCTGCAACGGGACTCCGTCAATGTGACCCCACACTCCTGAAATTGCTGCCAGGGCAGCAGAGTCCATGAGGTCAAGAGGTCCCGCACCAAGCTCGTTGATAACCCAGTTGGTAGTGTTGGGCATCCACGTTCTGACATCGAAGTCTGGCCATGGTATTTGCTCGCCTCCGAGACCCGATGGCAACAGTCATGCAGTGCTGTTACGCGGCAGCGAAACACGAGCGTCTAGTCGAGTCGTCACGAGACAAGGTCTTAGTCTAAGACACAAGTCCGTTCAAGTGACACTTCTGGCAATGTCCTCGCACTGAAGGTCGATCAGAGTTCGTTCTTATGACTCGTAGTAGCTGTCTGCTACCGATGGTCGATCTCAGTCGAAGACAAGTGAAAAGCTGGTTTAATGGTAACCAGGTCGAGATGGGGATCCAGCTCGACAAGGTCGTCTACTTATACAAAAGGTATCCGCAGTACTACGCAGTAATGCGGGATCGTTCATTGGCTAGATAAGGTGAAACAATATCTGAGCAGGGTAACAGCGAGAAAGTAATATGTATGAGAAAGCTGAGTAAGGTCGTGAGAGATAATCAGTACTAATGGGGATAACGAGTCGTGTATCAGAGCGAGGTAAAGATGAGGCATACATGCACGTCTTGCATGTGCGATAAGAAGAAGGTCCGGAGTTGGATCCGGTGTAACTCTAGACTAGGGGTTCTGGGCATCTGGATAAAGAATCAGAGGTTGTGCTCCGATGAGTCACGTGTTGGATCACGTGGTCTGGTAACGTAAAGGGAACAAGGAAAAGAAAAAGGAAAGATGCGCCACAAGTGAGGAACGTTGTAACATCAGCTCCCGTCTAACGTTTCTTGTCCCACAAGAAATATTGTGATCTTCATCGTCGTCGAGGGCAGTCGCGGACATAATGATCTCCTCCACATCTGTAGCATGTCCGCCGGCTGGTTCATGATCCTTGTTCAGGGATACGTCCATCCCTGTAGGGATGACTGCGATGCGAAGAAGTGGATGCAGTTGAGAAAGATGGTTGGGATAATGGAGATCGTCCACTGGGTACATGCGAACGAGGAGGGCGAGGTCAAACGGGAATTGGTTCTGGCGACGAGCGAGGAGTGGATGCGGGTATTCCATTAGTGGTGTATCCAAGGATGTGTCCGATGTCCTCATCCCCATGCTCCCTCCAAATCTCCTGTGCTGTACGAGTGACCATACTGCGCATCAACGACCAGACTTGGTCGACTCTGGTTCGGGCTCTACTCGTCCTTTCTTCTGCAGCAATGAGCTCTTGTCTGGCCGTCTGCATCCACTCGACCATTTCTAATGCTTGTTGCATGGAAACCACCGCTTGTCGATCTTGTGGGCGATTTCGTAAGGCGACAAGGATATCTGTGAAGTCGACAGGAACACGGATAGCCGAGACCAGACGTGTGGCAAATTCTTGTTCGTCCAATGCGTGACTAAGTTCGATAGAAGGTGAGGGCGATGAGGTGCGGATAAAGGGTGTCTGTGCTCGAGAGGGTACTCCATTGACAAGCGTAGGCGATGCGGGTATGCTCATAATTGTGGAGGCGACTTCAGCGAGTATATTGTGAACAAGGTCGTCTATAGCGGAAGTGGGCATTGATGATATGTCGTTTTCTCCTCCTTTTATACCTTTCGGTCGTTAAGGGGATCATGGTTATCTGTGATGTGAAATAGAATGTTGTGGATCCGGGTAATAATCAAATAGATGAAAATCCATTAGACGATAAAGAGTATTCCCACAGAGATAAGAGCTGCCTGATCAGTTCCAGGCATCGTTCTGATCACCCCAGCCGTTAGCGTGCGGGCTGTCTCGCATGAAGAGTGTGTGTTCGACAAGTCGTCTGATAAGGATTCAGTGGATGATCCAAAGAAAAGTGAGGGTTGTGCAGTGGAGGACGATTAGGAAGATGACGAGGAAAACCGTCGTGGTAGTCATTCCAGGTTTCTTCTCCTCTACTGGATTCCCCTGGTCCTTTTATATGCATCGAGGATTCGCTTGGCATTCCATAAATTGTGGGTAGGTTCCCACGAGTTTTCTGCTGAAGAATATCCCTTCCACTTGACTAAGTACCTCAAATGACCTCGGTACATCTTGTGATTCAGGATGGCTTCGACTTCGTACTCCTGCGATATAGGATATAACTAGATCGTCATCATCGAGCTGATCCATCGGGGGTTCTGATGGTGGGTCATCTGGTTCGGTATCATTCCGCACTGCGGGTAACTCGCCACGCTCAGTGTTATCGGCCATGATTTCTCTGATAGATTCTGAATGCCCAAATGAGGTAGGGGAAGTTTCGGTGGTGATTAACTCTGGGAGTCCATCTTCCTTGAAAATCGAAACTTCTTCATCTGGTGCATCTTCGACAGTGGGTTTCAGTGGCCATTTAACGTCTTTACCAAACCAAAAGTCACCAGTTTCCCAGTTGATCATCGGGTTGAGGCGTTTAAGCCACGGCATGCCGAGAAGTATGTTTTCTTTGTCAATGCCGGTCAAGAGGAAGCGAGTAAGTGTCTTCCTTCCTCCGATTTTCATCATCTTCCAGGTACAATGAGTAATGGTGCCCATTTGATTTGGTGTGCCATCTGCATTCATGACTTTAATTGGTTTCGGTAATTCCCATCTGATGAAATTGTTTTCTTCCGCAAAACGAATGTTCATGAACGTTTCAGCTGCACCAGAATCGATCAAGGCTTCTGTTGTAATGTCTTCCTTCTCTCCCAACGAAATATTCACAGTGATTGAATTTCCACTAGTGTTACAAATAACGAGGGGAGATACGGTAAGATGCGACGGTCCGTGCATTACTAGTGGCCGTCGTCTCAAAAACCCAATTGGGTTCGTTCTTCATCAGTCATGTCATTGAAGATGTTTCGCACATAGGCGATCTGTTCCTCTCTGGTTTCTTCCTTCGACATCTCCTTCTTCTGTGCGAGGTCTTCTCGCATCTTCTTGATCCATGTGATCGTGTCTGTATCTAACCCGGGCTGTATCGTTCTAGCACGGGTGAAACTTCCAGACTGGGGGTGGAATTGTCTGTCGTTGGCTATATGGCCCTTCTTTCCGCATAGGAAACATAATCCTTCTTTCATTCTCTTCTGTCGCTCGTCTGGGGACAAGCGCGAGATGTTGACATGATCAACATCCATCGCATTTGGATCCTTTGCAGAAGCCGAGTAGTAGGGACGATGGACAGGTCAGCCTTTTCCTCGTGTTGTCGTAGTGGCTCCTCGCTTGAAGATCTGAGCAAATCTCCATTGGTTGTCAAACCGTGAGGCGTATTCGTACCACTTGTCAAGTGTCTTGGGCATGCTTTCCATCCCATATATCCTTTGTCGGAGTGGGTCGTTAAGCCCCCACTTGAAATACTCGATATTTCCGGCATCTTCTAGTTTCGCCTTGGATTCAAGCGATCGGAATTCGGCAATGTAGTCGTCCGCAGTACGAGTTCCTTGCTTGATGTTACACAGCAAGGTACGAGCGGTTTCTTCAATATTTTCATCACCAAATGCTTTGTTCACACTCGCAATGAAGTCTCTCCAACTCCCATAAGAAAGGAAGTCGTCATTGGTGAGTTCCGTTTCCATGAAGCTCTGCGCCCATGATCCTGCTGTCCCTCCTTGCATGTGCGATAGCAGAAATGCAATTTTCTGATTGTCCTCCTGGTAGACATGGCTATTTCCGGCCATGTAATTCTTGCATTGGTTTATAAATTCCCTAAGCTTCGAACGGTCTGAACCGTTGAAGATCTCGGGTTTTCTAAAACCAAGTTCCTTCTGGCTAACATGGTGACGTCCTTCATCCATGGTAACTGTAGCCATCGGTGGTATGTAATCAGGTACGATTGGTGCAAGAGTCGGTTGGGGTACAGGATTCTGGGCAGGGGGGTTCCAAGGGGCGTCTGGTCTTTCTCCTGGATAGGAGGTCATTATACCGCTGTCTGCGATGTGCTGGAGCACTTTTCCACCAAGATTATGGGGAAGTGTCCTTTCAAATTCCTCTGGGGAGTAGTCGAAGTTGTGATTGTCTGGCCTGATGAACACAGGCCTTCCTCCTATGAAATGTGCGTTTCGTTCTGTGCTCCACTCCGCTTGGGATGGGAGGTGCTCACGGTACTGCTCCAGAAGAGCGGTCGGGTTGATGTAGTTAAAATCCAGTGTGGATAAATTCTTCTGTGTGGCCTATGTCTACACGTAGACTGCACACCGTCCTTAACTAAGTGGGTTCGATCGTCGTCGGCTAACAAGCCCATAGAGTGTCTTCTATCTTCAAACTGGTACACCTATTTGCTGATTGCTCGAGTGATTACCTCAGCCTCCTCGGCCTATTGGTCTCTCGGACAGACCCCTCTCCGAAGATGAGTGATCAGTCTATCCCTTCAGCTACCTCGATTACAGAGTAATCTCAAACGGTGCTTTAGCAATCGAATCAGGTGTATCGTTTAGTCTTCAAGGTTCGGTCCGGTCGGTAGTTCATTGTTAGACTTTAGGAAGTCACAGAGAGTAATAAGATCTCGACCTAATGTTACGCGGCAGCAAAACATGAGCATCTAGTCGAGTCGTCACGAGACAAGGTCTTAGTCTAAGACACAAGTCCGTTCAAGTGACACTTCTGGCAATGTCCTCGCACTGAAGGTCGATCAGAGTTCGTTCTTATGACTCGTAGTAGCTGTCTGCTACCGATGGTCGATCTCAGTCGAAGACAAGTGAAAAGCTGGTTTAATGGTAACCAGGTCGAGATGGGGATCCAGCTCGACAAGGTCGTCTACTTATACAAAAGGTATCCGCAGTACTACGCAGTAATGCGGGATCGTTCATTGGCTAGATAAGGTGAAACAATATCTGAGCAGGGTAACAGCGAGAAAGTAATATGTATGAGAAAGCTGAGTAAGGTCGTGAGAGATAATCAGTACTAATGGGGATAACGAGTCGTGTATCAGAGCGAGGTAAAGATGAGGCATACATGCACGTCTTGCATGTGCGATAAGAAGAAGGTCCGGAGTTGGATCCGGTGTAACTCTAGACTAGGGGTTCTGGGCATCTGGATAAAGAATCAGAGGTTGTGCTCCGATGAGTCACGTGTTGGATCACGTGGTCTGGTAACGTAAAGGGAACAAGGAAAAGAAAAAGGAAAGACGCGCCACAAGTGAGGAACGTTGTAACAGGTGCCCCACCCGTTCAGTGGCACTTGCAGAAGCACGTCATTTTTGACAGACGTGGTAGACGCGTGACCCGTCAGATCAAAATTGGAAGATGCATATCCTGAGGTGTTCATCACGTTTGATAGCGAAGGACGAGGTATCTGCGGCATGGGAATTAGGGATTGTGGCGGCCCTGTCAACGAAGCCACAAACTCTGAAGAAGATGGCAAGGACAAAGAGGGCAGCAACGGTGATGGGGATCGTGAGAGTGCGGGCGATGATGGCGGAAATGGCGACGCATGCTCCGACGGGCATGGTGGAACGGCAGGAGTCTCGGAAAAGTTGTCCCCGCTGGCACGTCTTGAATCCTCAGTGCTCATGCCATGCAGTGGGTGGAGTTCCGGTGTAGCTACCCTTCCTGTACCAGCAGACGATGGACCTGCCGTGGATGGAAGACTGTCTGCAGCACTTTCATCTGATAGATCAAGTGCATGGTGCCGTCGAACATCTGAAGCTATAATACATTCTTGGTATCAGACCGAACAACGTATGTATCTGATTGTGACTTATGATATACGGCCTTCAAATGCTCAATGAAGGCATCCATCACGTTGGTCATGACGCCTGGGTGGATGTCACCGAAGGTGTGACCAGTTTCTGTTGTTCTGAAATGCGACCTGTGGGATTTTATGCATAAAGTATGCATACATTATGCATTAGCCAATGAGAGCACTGAGATAAAGGGGAGTACATATGCAATGGTGATGATGTCGCCTCCTTCATCTGGACATGGTCCTCCCACTATGACTGTGATGTCCCAACCTGAGTCCGCCACCAGCTCGCTGAATACCTGCTTCAGGATAATCGGCATGTCGTTGATTGCCCTGTGAGTACTGTTAAAAATGTAGGCTCCCACCGAACAAAAAATTAGCACTCACTGTTGGTACTGGCGGGGAGACCTCTCGGTATCACCACCACAGCTCTTCTCATCTGACTGCTTCTTGCTGGCCTCAATCGCATCCAAAACCTGCTTCCTCACCCAATCTTCCTCCTGCTTGAACCGTTCATCTGTGACATGGTTAACGACGTTAAGGGATTCGTGACGTGTCGGTTTTTCACGCTCGAGTGCCACCTTAACGTGAGACTCTATTCTATCCTTGTAGAACTGTCTTGAATACTCCTCCCACTCCTTGAGAACTCGGTGCTTGGGCTTCACACCTAAGCTCTCCATCGTGATTGGGGTGATGCGAGCGACCTTCCGAGCATTGTTAGGGCGGCGCCAATTGAACCATGTTTTCAATTGCTGCGAAGACTTTAGCATATATTGTCGTCGGACTGAGATATTACAGTATTACTTACGCTCTGCCACTTTTTGATTGCTTCCCCGAGCGCGGTCCGTTGCTCCTCAGATAACATGCTATCCGAGATGTCGGGGCCAAAGAGCTTAACACGCTCAGGAAATCGCTGGAAAAATTCGGTGTTCAGGGAGGCCCAGAATTTGGTGAGGGTGCGACACTTTTGGTGCTCGAGAAATGACGGTCGCAGGGAGGTGAGGAGCACCGTCTCAGCCTCAGTGGCCCAAGACTTCTGTGGCATGACTGGGAACTTCGAAGAGCACGGGACAGTTGAGAACAAGCTCCCGACCTATTAATGATTATTTGAGTGAGTGCTCGGGAGTCCATCGCCCAATTGAAGCACGTACCTAGTACCATGTTGAGCGGGTGGGTTCTCTTGCAGGTCATGTTAAGAAGCACCCTGTCAGTATGCGTCAGCAGTTTGATGAGTCCCGTGGCACGATGTCTGTTGCCTCATACTCCATATAAGAGGCACTGAAGCTTGCCTGATCCACCCAAGCTCATTCTCATCTCCTTCCATTGTTCTCATCCATCTAAGCAGTATGACCGCTCGTCAGAACATGTGTGGCGGAGCCCCCCCCCGCAGGTTCCGCCCCTCACATTCTCGCTGGAGGATCTGTTCCAGGCACTTACTCTCATCACTGGCCACGACTTTGATGAGTCTTCGCATCGCAAATACAGTCCTCAAAACTTACCAGTTCATTTGCAGATGAAGCGTGGCATATGGTCATCCAGCAGCTCATTGCCAATGAGGCTGTAGAGGATGTGTGAGCCAGTAAGTCCTCAGCCCCCAGAATGTGAGGAGACTGACTGACATCACTATGCAGATAGTAAGTACTATGCCCGACAGACACAGCAACTGATGAACCTTGCTAAAATAGGAGTTCATGCTGATGTAGCTGGTGCAGGTGCGAAAGGCCCTGACGGGCCTCCTCCTGCCATCGCCGGTGGCCTTGGTGCTACTCATGCTATTGACAGCCCTGCAGCTATTGCTACCGCAGTTGCCGCTGTGACCGCGACTCCTGTTGCTGCCATAATTGCTGCTGCTGGCCCCCTTGTCATCACCGCTGCTCCTACTGCCGCCATTGTTCCTGCTGTTGCTGCCCCCACTGCCACCATGGCTGGCCCCACAGCTGGTCCAGCCGGAGCTCCTGTTCCTGGGTTGGGTCAACCCAACATACCTGAGCCCCTTAATGACCCAGAGGCACTTCAGGTAGCCATTGAGGGTGCCCTGGCGATGGCCAACCAGCCGCTGCCAGTGCTCCCAGGTAGATGGTATGTTGTTACTCGCAGATGGGAAGTTGGTGTCTTTCAAGGCTGGTCAGTTGCATGTCACGTTACACAATGCTCTTGAGACTCACCGAGACATTGTGTACCTATAGGGCCAGTGTCTCGCCGCTCGTCTCCGCAGTGCCGAACACGTGCCATGAGTGCGTCTCCTCCCGGGAGAATGGCTTCCAGATCTTCCACGCGGCCATCGCTGCGAGGACCATCGCACTGTTACCATGAGATCACCACCGTCGGGGTTGGGTGGGCTCTTGGCGCTGTATCTGATGTATCATCGTATTTCTTGGTAGACCACTATGTCTTTGTATGGGCCAGATTTGGCCCGCGGTGTCTTGTCTGCTGGTGTTGCGTGTAATAAATCTCATGTTTCGCAAATCCCTGCGGTGTTAACGAAGTGATTAAGACAGCGCGCAGTGTGCGCCCATACTTACTGTCTTCTCTTCTCCCCTCTACTTCATCGTAGATGTCATGGGTCATTGCGCAATATATCTCACAGCAGCTGCCCAAAGCGAAGGACGTCGAGCTGCCAGAGCCAGATATAACGCGAAGAAGCTGTAAGATAATCAATCAGTCGCGTACACACAACATTAACTCATAATGCAGAGAAGAAAGAGTGCGGAGTGAACAGAATCAGCGAGCATATACACGACAAAATGGAGATCATCCTAGCCCCTTTTTTCCAGCACCTGGGATTTCTCTCCCACCCGACCTCCTCGAACATGCACACAAGCCTTCCATCGTTGGAGGTAGACAGCAGACTGCCATTGACCTCGGTTTGTGGGCCCCACCCTACACCTTCAATCCCACTGGCCTTCAGAAGGAGTCGAAGGGTAGTCCCTCGACTGAGCATGAACATCCGAATGTCTCAGAGGAGGCTCACCTCAAGTTGGGCCAGGTCAGCGAGCTTGAACGTAGATGCTTGACAAGAGCACTCGGCAGTCGACAGTTTACACTGTTGGTAGAGGCAGGGAGACAGAGGTTGGAAATCTGGGATGAGAAGGAGAACATACAAGATCAGATACTGGCTATGAAGAGAGAATTGACTGTGCGCACGAGAGCATGGGTAGACCTGCATGGTGCGAGTTGGGAGGACGGCAGAGTCACTACTGGACACGATGTCGCATTGGACTGGGGGCGAAAATAATTTGTACCCTGGCAAGGGAGCTCGAGATCGTTCAGAAGGGTGAGGTCGAGTATATGAGAAGCCTAGAAGCGGGCAAGTTACCGTGGCAGCATATGAACACTGTACATTGATGCCGCCTTAGTACGAACTGAGCGTAGTACACTGTACAGTAACTTGAAGTTCACCCACGCTCAACTCAATGCCATGCGCATAACTCTTCGACAGCACTCCACCACGACATTTTGGTGCAATATATATGTTGCTGTATGCTCGCCCTACTAGCTTTGTATGTATACTTAGGCTTCCCTTGCATATTTCAGGCGCTGATGACATGTTTGCACTACCTCCCAGTCACTCAGCAGGACACTTATCCACAGGCTGATTGGCTCCTCACTCAAACGCCAGGAGTCAGGTTGTCCCGGAGCACCTTGATCCGATGGCGGAGTCTCAATTATCCCAGGTGTGTATATAAGACTGGCCTGTTTCGTCCTTCTCTCCTCCAGAGTTATCTTTTCGTCATTCCTCTGGTTGCCCCATCGTCATTCTTTACCCTCTTCATCGTCATTCTGGCCCAGCTTGCCATCGTCCCTGCTCACCTCGTCATCACTCTTCCCCTCTGCCATCATCACTCTTCCCCTCCGCTGTCGTCATTCTTACCCTCCGTCGTCGTCGTTCTTACCCTCCGTCGTCATCATTCTTACCTTCCGTTGTCGTCGTTCTTTCTGTCATCGTCGTCACTCTTACTGTCCGTCATCATCATTCTAACTGCCTATCGTCGTTCTTACCTCTCCCTCGTCCTTACCCTCCATTGTCGTCCTTACCCTCCGTCATCGTCATTCTTACCCTTCGTTCTTGCCCTCAATCGTCGTCATGCTTGCCCTCAATTCTTGCCCTCCGTCGTCATCGTGCTTGCCCTCCATCATCATTCTTTACCCTCCATCATCATTCTTTGCCCTCCGTTTCCCTCTGCCATCGTTCTTTGCCCTCCGTCGTTGTTCTCATTTCTCTTATGGTCGGCGTAGCTTCCTGTCCTGTCATCTACCTCGTCGTTGCCATATCTTCCTATTCCTGATGTCGCCGCACCTTCCTCTTACGTAGTTGGCATACTGCTGTGTTCATCATGGTACATTTCCCCTCTATCCTGCCCATCATTATTGTTTCTTCCATCGTCGTCGCTCCGTCCTTCTTATTGTCACTTTCATTAGACTTTGCAATGTATCGTTGTGGGTGAGTCTCACTGTTAAGAAATGTAATGTTTGCTTATCTTATGTCTGTCCAGATGTGTGTGGTGTTATTTGATGGGATTTCGTTGGTGGCTACGTGTTTTAGATGTACATGTATGTTTCTCTGTATTGTAATGTATTTTGTTCATACGCTCTTCCAATGCAATTGTCTCATGATGTCCACATTTGTGCTTGTCACTGTGAGTTGCTGCTGTGATTCATGGTTGTAAGATGTCAGTATTTTCTGACAGTTATGAAGGGTGCTGATTGAGCAGGGACTGGCCGCACTGCCTTCTTCGTTAACTGACATTGACAGGAAAAAAAATTATCGAATGTGTGCTCCAAGAGCCCGCTGCGCTCCACTGGTGATTTCGCACGTGGACTTCGTGCGAGAAAGTCCATCCTTTCCATTGGCTTCGTGTCAGATATGTCCGCCGATTTGTGCATGAATTTCAAACGAAGGATTAGTGGTGCCCAGATGCACCGCCGAAGAAATTCTGTTATTTTATGTGCATTTCCTGCTCCTGCATGAGAGATTGATGCACCCACTTCAGTCTGCAATCACGACGAATTAGGAGCGTGCGCAAATTCTACATGAATTCCTGATGGTGTTATTCAGCGGGCACATCACAGTTATCCGTGCAGCCGTCCTGCATTGCCATTGTTGCTGTTCCACCATTGCGACCGATTGGAGCCCATGCAATTGAGCCCGTGCAATTCCCTCTCCAGTGATGTTTCACTCATCCAAGCGTGCCAGACGCGGTGGTGCCCGCATCAAGGTCTACAGGTCATCTCGCCCCAGCCAGGATGAAGATTTGCCTCGTCGCACTGCGCAGCCGTCTGTTTTTCAGCGCCATATCACATACTCATTCCTGGGAAATGGCAAAGTCACTACTCGCACATCCTTCCTAGACACTGTTGATGATCACAGTCGTGCCTCCGCTGTCTCAGGTTCAGTCGAACATGGAGACATGTCAAATGTGGACTCCATCGTGGACAGCAGTACATGGCGAGATCGATACTCGGACCTTGACGTCAAATACATCCACAACATTGAGCTTGATGAAGTTGAAGGCCAAGCTCGGAAGCGCACTGCTGCTGTGAGTATTTCTCACTGCACGTCTAGCGTGGATTAAATGATGATGTAGGATAACCCTCTGCTGCAATGGGTACCCAAGATTGATAATTGGCTAGCAGAACTCATCTGTCTTGAAGGAAGATGCAGCTACACGGACGAGCTTCGCCCTGCTTGCCAAACTAATCAAGCCACTATACGTTGTGAAGACTGTCAAGATTTGCGGCTCTACTGTACGACGTGTACTGTGAATAGGCATGCTCAAAGCCCCTTCCACCGACTGAAGGTACACAGTTATGCAGTTGCTTGTTCGATAGATACTTTTCACTCATCCGGATATTTTGATAGGCTTGGACTGACACTCATTTTCGCCGCGAGACACTCAAGAATTTAGGCTTGCGCCTGCAACTTGGACATGCACCCGGGGATCAATGCCCAAATCCCATTCGAGCTTTCAGCGATGACTTCGTTGTTGTGGACATTTCCGGTATTCATGAAATCGGACTGGACTTCTGTGGATGCGAGATCACGCAGTTCCACCCGACTCAATTACTTCGCAATCGTATGCTCCCTGCCACTTCAGTGGATCCGAAGACTGCAGCCACGTTCCACCTTCTGGAAACATTCCATCTCATCTCTGCACAGTTCAAGATATCAGGTTATGAATTTTATACTGCTCTAGCTCGACGTACAGACAACACCGGTGTAAATCCGCCGAAGGTATGGCTTATTCCTGGGTGTATGTGTTTTGAATTTTGAATTGATGTGCTATCCTACGTAGGATCGTTATCCTGCTTTCATGAGGATGATGTGCGAATGGCGACATCTGAAGATGCTCAAATGTTCAGGACGTGGACATGACCCTGGCGGTGTTGCGGCCACGCTTCCTGGTAGCTATGCGGTACTGTGCCCTGCATGTCCGCACCCTGGCAAGAATTTGCCCGTGGATTGGGCTGACGTGCCGAAGGATAAGAGGTAAGCCACATTTGTACAGTGGTAGAGCATGAATTCACAGTTATGAAGCTAGCTCTACAGATTATTCCTATCTATTGATGCCAACTTCCGGCTTAAATGCAAAAAAGTATCCTCTGATCAGGTCGACCCTGGCCTCAACCACGGATATGCGTATTTCGTTGAGGAGAAGGCATACAAGGAGCATCTTCGTACATACGACAAGGCATTCTCAGACGAAATCAGCACATGCAATAACCACGATGCTCTGAAGCTTGCGAGCATGAAAGGTGCCCATCAAAGTACCGCTGCCAGTGGCATTGGGACAGTCGATTGCGCATGACATGATATGAAGAGACCGTGCTCGGTCAGCGATCTACAGAAGGGGGAGCGGTATGTCTTGGTATGCCAAAAGTCAACGCTGAACTGACCCAGGTTTCATAGATATGTCAACATGGATTATATATTTTGGTCTACTGTTCGCCAGCACAGCCCGTTCGAGATGATTGACATTGTCGCATCCTACGACATTGCATGTCAGTGGTCAAAGAATATTTGGACCCGGTTCAAGCACTACAGGATGTCTTCCAACCTCCTCAATCGCAGTTTTACGTTCATCATTCCTAAGTTCCATCTTCCTGCTCATCAAGAATCGTGCCACGTTGCATACTCTTTTAACCTTCTGCCATGGGTTGCTCAGACGGATGGCGAAGGGGTTGAGTGGGGACATGCCACACACAACCCGTATGCCTCCAGCACAAAGGAAATGGGACCGGGTTCCCGCCGTGATATCTTGAATGATGCATTTGGCAACAGCAACTGGCGCAAAGTAAGCAACCTTGGTGAGTAATCGCATATTTTCTCAAAGCACAACTTGCTTATATCATATCGTTAGCATCTACATTTTTAGCGAAGGTCAAGACGGCGGTTCAAGAGCGCTGTGAACACGTCTGCACTTTTCATGACTTCAATGCCGTTATGACCGCAGAATCCTCGGCAGAAGGATAGAAGGACATGGTGGAAGCTTGGGAGAATGATTTGGCCTCCCCAAATCCATTCGTCATCACTCGGCCTAGTCATATCATTGCTTTACATTGTACAGCTACTGACTGTCATTGTGTCATCTCCTCCAGCTGTCACTCTGGCCGGCGTTCACCTTCAGCTTGCCGAGGAAGAAGCTGCAAATTTAAGTGAGGGACGAGACATCGCCATGCATGAACAGGTGTCAGCGAGTATGATGATCAATAACGGCCTTGATCTTGAAGAACAACAGTAAGTTTTACCTTTCAATGTAATGAATAGTGCAATTCTACTACAAGGAGCTTCAGATGACGTCTTCAAGTCGATGCCGCGGCTCTAGGTCAACACACAACTGAGCTCCAGCGAGCTAAGATCCAGGAGAGATGCAATGTCCTGCAGCGGAAGATTGAGGCTTGGTACGAGATACAGAGGTTGTACATGCCAAGTGTCGACGTGCTGCGTGCGCGCGCAGCTGCCTCCCGAGAGACTCCTTTTTCTGTGCAAGAAATGCCACTACTTCTGCCAAGTGCCATTCAAGGCACGATGGCTTGTAGTCCTGCTCTGATGGAAGTCGAATGGCGACTTCGCTATGTGCTCGCAAATGACATCCTGAATAACCTTCAGTGACATCTGCAGCTCTGCTCCCACATGTACATTTACAAGGATCGCTTCATGTGTGGACAGCGACAGAACACCTGTGCAAGGACCACCATCCAAACTGTCGAGGACAAGGTGAACGCGGATGCCACGTGATACCGGACAACCTTCTCGGCCCTTGTAGCTCTTGCTCAGTCTCTCAACAAGGTCGGCTGGCAATCTGAGCTGCGACTGCTCAATACTACGGACGTACGCAGGATGACTGAACCATTATCTCAGGAGAGCGAAGGTAGACGAACATTGGCTTAGATTTGGATGGCTCCTGGAGCCGGTGAAGGCAGTGTAGGAGACACGCAAGACAGTAAGTGATGCAGATTGTCAATTAATGGATTCTCCTAATACTGCAACTCTTAGGTCTTTGAATAGAGTGGTGTAAGGCAAGAGTGCGAGCCCATAGGTGGACAGAAGAATGTCAGTTGCTGGAAGAGGAGATGCACCGTATCCTCGAATTCCAAGAGTGGATAGCGTCTTGGTGGCTTGACCAAGCAGAAAGGAATGTCGGAAGGTCACCCGAACATGAAGAGGGCCACCAGTGGTGGCCAGTATTGTATAACAATACTGCAGGTAGCTGGAAAAGGTGTTGTTCACTACTCACCAGTTCTTGTCAATTGTCAAAGTTATTGTTAACAACAGTCTGAGAGGATTGTAATACAATAACAACTTGTACAAAACAAGTTGCACTCAGCCAGGCTTGAACCCTAGTCTTTCGGACACATAATTACATAAGCACATGCCGCACACACAATCTACCAACTGCTCCATTGGGCCATGCATTTTTTTCAGCCTCAATTCTATATAAGGCTACTGCCTTCTCTAATATACATATTAGAATCTTTTGTAATAACTACTATATCCTGTTGTTACTGTGGCTTCTAACAGTGATTGATGTCCCTGTTAATAAGTCTTTGAATGCCTAATATTAAGCATTTCTTTTTTAGTTCAGTAAATATTTAAATAAGATTAAAACTGTAATATCAAAATTTATAGATGTAATAAAGCTATTAGAAGAGTGAAATAAATAGAAAAATGTAGGCAAATAACTCTTAGAAGCCACAGTAACAACAGGATATAGTAGTTATTACAAAAGATTCTAATATGTATATTAGAGAAGGCAGTAGCCTTATATAGAATTGAGGCTGAAAAAAATGCATGGCCCAATGGAGCAGTTGGTAGATTGTGTGTGCGGCATGTGCTTATGTAATTATGTGTCCGAAAGACTAGGGTTCAAGCCTGGCTGAGTGCAACTTGTTTTGTACAAGTTGTTATTGTATTACAATCCTCTCAGACTGTTGTTAACAATAACTTTGACAATTGACAAGAACTGGTGAGTAGTGAACAACACCTTGCCCAGCTACCTGGGCCATTGTTATACAAAAGTGGGAACCACAGCTGAGAGGGCTCCGTCGCATATGCATATTGCCAGGCTGAAATACGCCGAGCCATGAGCAGCATTTGTGAACGAGCGTGGAAGGATGTGCCGGAATGGCTGGAGGTAGAAGATGAGGTGGATTAGTATATAGTACAAAGCACTAATGCTATGACAGTTTGAATGGGAATCGCAAATTTCGGGGCACATAATACATGCTCGTGCCTGACCGCGCACGATACACAAGTATGCATACAGTATACTATGCTCAGCGCACAATGAAGAATGCATATAGGAGAGTGCATAATGCACGCTTGTATGCATAAAAGCTGATGTGATGCATCATGGACCGTCCATAATGCATAGCAGGCGTGATGCATACAACGACAATGATGACCAACAAATATTTGAATAGTAGATTTAATATGCATACAGGAGGGTACGTGCGGGCAATACATGTTACACGATGATGCATAGAGTATACCGTGGTGTAAGGGGGCATGCGGAAGCAGGGCGGACGTGCTACAGCTACAGGGTACTGTATTAAGAAAGGAACCTGCAAACCGATGGCTGGTCAGCCAATAGTATACAAGTTTCCCTCGCCCACCTGCACGTGAAGACCGACTCTGGCATGATGGAGAGTGTACCTGCAAGCGAGAAGTGAGCCGAGAAATTGCTAATAATGGTGATGACTGGCGGGGGCAACACACCAATGCGGCAGCGAAGGAAGGCCGACACAGGGCCAGCAACGAAGAGCTCAGACAGATACTGTGCTGATGCGGAGGGGTAAGGAAGGGTAATAGGACCTATTCATGGGATTCACGCACATTGCTATATTTTATGCGGTGCGGCACTGCAAGGACGAGAGTTGGTGTTGCCAGCCATGAAAGAGACAATAGTTCTGAAAGACAGGAAGACACCACTCTCCCCCTTAATAGGCCACGCTGCAGCCAACCAAGAATGATGGGATAAGGGCGGGAGTGGAGCTGTGTAGGCACAGAGGCAGTGATCCAGGGGCAATTTGAAATCTGAAGATTGACGTGCCAGGAACAATGAAAAGAAGCGTCGAAGAGGTTGCTCAATGCTTCAACAGCAGGGCCGTGAGATCTACATGAGGGAGGGGGATCTACCCAAGCCTCGGAAAATTAGGGAATAATCTGGAGGGTGCACAAGAGGCGCGGTCGTCCAAAAACAAACCATAGGGTGGGAAAGAGAGGGATGCATAATTGTTCATCTCTATGCATAACAGGATGCATAACCAAGGTGTCCAAAACAGGATGGACCTATGTGAGGGACATGCATAAACACCGTACTACAGTTACAGGGATGTATGCAACACGACCGGCCTACAGTTATAGAGGTTTATGCATTGTTCTGCCAGCTACTGGTGATCCTGAGGAGCCCAAAATGTCTGTTAGCAGAAGCCAATTTCTGGCCTGAAATGTCCACAAAAAACCAGGCCTCCGGCCCTCGGAGGTCAAATTTGTCCGGGTTTTGGACCAGGCATCCATTCATCACAGAAATGTCTGGGCTCCCAGATCAGGCCTCAGGAGGCTCCAAATTTCAGAACCGCTTTCCGAGCTGCGAGAATGAAGGAATGAGCATGCTCCTTTGTGTAACACATTCTGTCTATTACTTGAGACATAATTCAAGGCTACTACGATAGTGACATCATAAGGTAAGCACCTTCTACTGTTCTTAGCGAGTTTCCATCTTCAGGAAGGCACTTATGTGAGGCTGCTGAGATGTCAACTACAAACTTCAAAGCGGCGTGTCTGTGCGACCAGACAGCACCTAGAGAGCCTTTGAAGGCAGTAGCAAGTCCGAGCCCCCTTCCGCCCCAGTGCCGGCCTCATACGTAGATAGGTTCGGCCGGGGTCGAACTTTGTCCAGAGGGGGATCAGACATCCATGATGTCTGGTACGTCTGTCCATGAAAAACCTCAGGCCATCCACGGGTTGACCCCCTGATTTGTCCGTGAAAAATCAGGGATGGCGCTCTCAAAAGTCCAAAATTTGTCCAAAATCAGCTCAGGGATCCTCCCCAATTGTCGGGGGTCCTTCAAAGGTGTGGCATAATCATCGGCTGAAACCTGAATGTGCCAGTCGCTAGAGCCCTCCTTTTTGTACAGCTCATACCTCTCTACCATTCATTTTATCAGGGGGTAATAACCCCCCACCAGCGACCCTCCACCCCTTGATGAGTACGGTAGCCCGGGCCAGAACCAACTGATCACCACCCATGCAGGCCATTCGAGGACCCACGTGCAGAAGTCCTCTGATAGACGCTGTCCTGTCTGCCGCTCGAGGCAGGCAACATATGCCTCTCTATCGAAGGGGCTGAGATTGGGAATGATCTGGGCACGCATCGCGAGGAAGGAAGGCGAGGCGATGGCTGTTGAAATCCAGAATCCGAGGAGTTGCTGAAGCACGTTCGTTGAACGTGTGTTATACCTTTGGTTCAGCTTTACTATTTTCTCTCGTAACTACTCAACGCCTCGGCTCTACCGCTAGCTAGATTAGGTAGTGTTGATTGGCTTATATACCATACGTTCGCTCGCCAGATGCCCCAGAGAATTGTACTCCTGGTGCATCCGTGTACGTACTCCCTTCCTCTTGTATTCACTCGTACTTACAGCACCTGCAGTGACCATCATGTCACTGACAGGTATGAATGAGAGAATTGTACTCCTGGTGCATCCGTTGACTGTCGCGTCACTGACAGGTATCTCTCCGGTTTGTCTGCCCCTCCGCCGTGCCCGCTGCACTTACCCGGCTTTGCCGTTTCGACCCTGAGTGGGTCGCCCCATTGCTAGTCACATTTCGATAGGTTATGAGCCCCGCCGTTATCGGCTGAGGAGTCTCCCTTACATCATGTGCACACCCTGAATTTTATGGTGAAGCACTGCTTCCATTATCAGCAAACTGTTACCGTTGAACACAGTTCTTACTCGTTCACCTCTCGTCGTCTTCTACAGCAACAGGGTCACGAAGTTTCTGACCTACGTGATCTTGTTCCATATTCTGCTCCGTTACCCTTTGCACACCTCTCGCGTATTGACAGCACACTCTTCTCCCCTGACTCCGTCAATATTCTATTGCCACTATCACCCTCTTCGTCACTGTCAAGCTCCCGTGCACCATCTCTACAGCCTATTGTGCCTATCCCTCACCATCTACCCCGTGTCATGACCACCACCATTGTCGAGGAATTTTCTGATGTCCCGAAGCTGGCCGCTGATGGATCCAATTATCGGATTTGGTTGGGCCACATCAAGCATGCCACCAGTGGTTGCGATGCTGATGAGCTTCTTGATCGTGCTGCTGACCCGATGTCTGATGCGGAGCTGAAGCTTAATAAGCAGATGCTTAACGCGATAACTGGGAAGTTCCATGACTCACTGTTCAAGAAGTACCTGAATGTCGAGAAGGTACATGAAGTCATGACTGGCTTGAAGGTTGAATTCGGAACTTCGACCGCTGCATCCGAGGCCTGGACGGAGGCAAAACTTTTCTCACTTAGGTGCTCTGATGACCGTAAGGTCCATCAGCACTTAGAACAGCTTGCCAAGCTCAAGGAGAAGCTGTCGGAGATGAATGTCAAGATCGAGGACCGTACTTACATCAATGTGATTACCACATCTATCCCTCGTTCATTCGCACCCACCGTCACTGCAATCACCACCGCCGTCGACATTTTCAATTCGACGCTTGCGCCCGGTGCCGCTCGTAAGGTCATCACATCAACGGAAATAATTACCGCTCTTCGTGCAGAGGCTGATTCCCGCTCGGTGTTAAAGTCTAGTGATAAGACCGCAACAGCTGGTGCTGCTGTCACTGGCAGTCGTGGAGGAGGCTGAGGGCGTGGCCATCATCGTTATAGAGGTCGTGGCAACAGCTCAAGCAAAGGAAATGTGCCGAAATCAGACGATGATCTTACCTGCTACAAGTGTGGCAGGAAGGGGCATCGTGCACCCGACTGCCCATCGAAGAAGCAGTATTATCAGTGCTCAAAGAGAAAATCGGAGGCTGCTGCGAGCAGCTCTGGTTCCGCTGATACAAAGCCCAAGGCAGATGGGAAGCCGAAGGACAATGCAAAGGATACTTCTGCATCGACTGTCGCTGCACAGTCCATCTCGTCCGCGCATATTGAGGAAGCCTGGAGTGCTTCCATGGTGTTCTCTGCTCCTTTCGAGGAGATTGTGATTGACTGCGCTGACCTCGCAGCCCAAGATGAAGTCCAGATCTCGGAGACTTACCATGCCTTCGCCGGAGTGGCCAAATCCGGTCATCGAGTCGACATTTTTGACACTGGTGCATCGCGCCACATGACGTCGCATCTTGATCGGCTGTCGAACTTCCGCACCACTGTGCCACATCGGATTCGTGCTGCAAACTCGGAGATCTTCCACTCGCATGGTGTGGGTGACCTGCTAATGCATCTTCCTGCCATAAATGGTGGCAGGCATATTCGGCTAAAAGGGGTTCTGCACGCACCTGCTATGCACGCCACACTTATCTCATTAGGCCTTCTTGATGAGGCCAGGTTTGCCTGGCTAGGCCATGAAGGCACATTGACGATTTCAAACAGGGAAAATGATGTCATTGCGAGCATTCCACGCGAGGACAATCTTTATCGCATTTTTTATGACTCTACATCCCTGGCGTCAGCTGTCGAGTTATCGCTTTTCGAAATTCATAAGTGGCTCGGCCATGTCAACTATGCATACCTCAAAGCCATGCTTCATCATGATCGCATCGCTGACATCACTCTTGATCCTCAACGTGCCGATGAGACCGAATGTAGGACATGCCTTGTTGCAAAGGCACACCGCGCCCCCATTGCCGCGGTACGTCAATCACCGTTGGCAGAGAAGTTCAGCGAACATCTTCATATGGATGTGTGGGGGCCCGCGTCAGTGTTTACCATTGATCGCTGCAAGTATTGTCTTACCCTCATAGACGATGCGACTCGCTGGCTCGAAATGCCGCTTATGCACGTGAAATCTGAAGCATTTGGAAAATATGTCAGTTTCGAAGCGCGCCTGCACACACAGCACGGTGTGCGCACCAAGATCCTGCAATCTGATCGTGGCGGCGAGTTCCTGTCTGCCAATATGGATGCGCATCTTGAGCATGTCGGTACTGTTCGAAAGTTGACTGTTCATGATACACCAGAACATAACAGTGTAGCAGAATGCACACACCTAACCGTTTTTGATGGTGTGTGCGCCGCGCTTGCTGGGTCCGGTCTTCCGAAGTGGCTATGGGGTGAAGCTCTTGCTTACATTGTTTATGTCCATAACCGCACGGCTCGCCGCACACTGCAGGGAAAATCCCCTTTTGAAGTCCGTTTTGGCCGCACTCCGGATGTCTCAAATCTGCATGAATGGGGGTCAGTTGTGTTTGTCAAGGTAGATACAAACTCGAAGCTCGATGCGCGCAGCCGCGAAGTGCACTGGATCGGTCCCGATTCTACCTCGAATGGATGCCACATTTATTGGCCCAAGGAGAAAAAGATTTCTGTTGAGAGAAATGTCATTTTCAGCACAGACTCTCCACGTGTCGAGAAGGAGCACGATATCGATATAGGACCTACCATTCAAGTTTCCGACACTGTTCCACGTCCTTCTAAACGACCTCGGCCTGATTCTGAACCTGGAAAATCCCCGTCACTCGAACCCAGCGAAATTCACAAGCCTGTTGATCCTGATATTGTCGCGGGCAAGCGTGAGCAAAAGCCGAGTGCGAAATTGTGCAAAATTGCTTCTGGCTGAGCTGAAGGTTCCCTCACGGACATCAGCATTGACAACGACAAAGAATGCGAGGTGGTCGCATACTGTGCCATTACGACCAATCCGGCCGGGGGTATGACAACGGACAGCCTTGTAACGATCCGGCCACCCGGCCGGAACAGTCGTGACAGCGGACGGTGGACACATTGCGGCCAGCCGGCCAAGCCAGCCGCTGGGGAGGGAAAACTGACGGGGTGACCGGCCAGCTGGCCAAGTCACAGTCTGGGTACCCAATCCGGCCACTACACCCGTGACATAGGACATGCCTAGGATTCCGGCCAGGCCAACCCCGTTCGGACGCGTGACTGGCCGGATTGGTCGTAATAGCACAGTACTCCATAGGCACCGCTGCATCGGATTCCCTAGGGTTTGATCCTCACTCTGTTGCTGAGGCAAAGCATCGTCCAGACTGGCCGAAATGGCAAGAGGCGATGCGTGATGAGATTCGTCGCCTAGAGTCGAGAAAGAGCTGGGTATACGTGGACACACTGCCGCGTTCATCAGGTCACAACGTCGTTGGGTCGAAATGGGTTTTTCGCACCAAGCGTGATGCACGCGGAGAGGTCACAGGTTATCGCGCGTGCTTAGTCCCCCAAGGATTCACGCAAGTCAAAGGCATCGATTATTTCTCTGATGACACCTTCGCCGCGGTATGCAAACTCGCATCCATGCGCGTTATTCTCTCTGTCGCCGCGCGCAATGGCTGGTACGCCCACCAAGTCAATGTCAAGAGCGCTTACCTCTACGGCAAGTTGCGTGATGATGAGAAAATCTATATGCGGCCGCCACCAGATATCGAACTCGACGGGATATCCCCTGGACAACTACTACTATTGCTCGTTGTGATCTACAGACTGAAGCAGTTGGGCCAACGCTGGTACATTCAACTCCGCAAAATTCTTGAAAGCTTCAAACTCATTCGCCTCGAGCACGATCATGCCGTTTTCTACCGTCGCCACCCAGATGGCGAAATCTCCATCATATTCCTTCATGTCAATAACATGACTCTTGTTTGCTCTCTCCTAGCCAACCTACTTCACCTCAAGGATATGATCCGATCGAAACTGGAAATTACCGATGGCGTAATCTCGAGAAGCACACTGTCGCGCTGTCGCAGCACGCGTATATCGAGTCGATAATTGCTCGCTACGATTTTGCTGATGCAAAGCCACTCTCCCAGCCTATGGATACCCATGCCCACCTATCTGTCGACCAGTGCCCTGTGACCACCGCGGAGTATGCCATCATGCGCGACAAGCCATACCTCGAGGCACTCGGAGCACTACAGTACGTCTGCGTCGCTACCCATCCTGACATTACTTTCACCGTCAGACAGCTCACCCAATTTGGTCAGAACCCGGGCATCGTGCACTGGAACGCTCTCAAGCGTGTTTACCAGTACCTCAAAGGTACCGCGGACCTATGGCTTGTTCTCGGCAGCTCGGAAGACAATGACATTGTTGGCTACTCTGACGCTGATGGTATGAGCACGGAGGGACGCCGCGCTGTTTCCGGCTATGTTTTCATGCTCAACGGTGGTGCCGTCTCATGGTCTTCAAAGCGTCAAGATCTCGTCACCTTGTCGACAACCGAAGCTGAGTACGTCGCACTCACGCACACCAGCAAAGAAGCACTGTGGCTTCGCTCATTCGTTATTGAATTATTCGGTGATCCTGAACACCCCATTCCTCTTCGCTCCGACAATCAGTCCGCCATCGCACTTTCAAAAGATGATCATTTTCATGCACGAACGAAACATATCGACATCCGTTTTCATTTCATTCGCTACGCCATTGCAGATGGCAAGATCAACCTCTCGTACTGTCCTACCGAGGACATGACTGCAGACATCCTGACGAAGGCCTTGCCTTCGATGAAGAGCAAACACTTTGCTTCGTCAATGGGACTCTCGAAGGTTTGAGGGGGAGTGTTGAAATCCGGAGTCCGAGGAGTTGCTGAAGCACGTTCGTTGAACGTGTGTTATACCTTTGGTTCGGCTTTACTATTTTCTCTCGTAACTACTCAACGCCTCGGCTCTACCGCTAGCTAGATTAGGTAGTGTTGATTGGCTTATATACCATACGTTCGCTCGCCGGATGCCCCAGAGAATTGTACTCCTGGTGCATCCGTGTACGTACTCCCTTCCTCTTGTATTCACTCGTACTTACAGCACCTGCAGTGACCATCGTGTCACTGACAGGTATGAATGAGAGAATTGTACTCCTGGTGCATCCGTTGACTGTCGCGTCACTGACAGGTATCTCTCCGGTTTGTCTGCCCCTCTGCCGTGCCCGCTGCGCTTACCCGGCTTTGCCGTTTCGACCCTGAGTGGGTCGCCCCGTTGCTAGTCGCATTTCGATAATGGCATCTATGTAGAGATCGAGGAGTCTGCGGCGGGAAGGGGAAACGGGGGTGACGGCAATGAGCTCTCGCCATCTCTTGTTTACCGTACGGGCTGCGATGAGTGCTGAAAGAGGGAGGTGGGTGAAGACGTCGAACAGGAGCTCGTTGGGAAAGTCGTCTACAGTGGACATAGAGGTCGACGGTGAGCGTCTGAACTACCGAAGCAACGTTGCATTGAAGACCTGGGTAACCTACTCGGGCCAACACTTATTGCGGTCCGAGATACTCAAATTAGCCGCCGTCCTGCCGCGGAGCTTTCGAAGTCACTCGTTAGTTAATTCTGTCGCTGAGAATATCCGTATCCAGAGAACGATGACCACGACCAATCCGGTTCTACTCAGCGGTGATTTGGATGCAATTCGCGAGTTTCAGCGAGCAGAGGAAAGCTACTACTCCCTCAGCGATGAAGAGCTCGCTTTCTTCAAGTCGCAGACGGATATCCAGGATGAAGGTATGCTAAAGGCACATATTATCCTGGTCCAAGCACTGGCATTTGCGGTATGTGGTCATTCGGAGCGATCGTCGTGCTTCCACTCTAATCTTGCGGTGGAACGCAACATTGAACATTGAACATTTGAATAAGCGCAGGTCTTCCCGTATGCATGCATCCGTCGCTTCACGTTTCTCAAGTATGTGGTATTTCCCCAAGACAATAGTCTAGAACGTGGCACGATCCATGTCTCTGCAGGCTCAAGATCTCGCGCATGCCCAAGTATGAACATCTGTTGAAGCTCGGGCGGGAACGCAAGGACGCGATCTTCCTCGACATCGGGTGCTGTTGTGAGTGCCAACTTACCAAGGAATTGGGAAGCACTTAAGAGAATTTGTTCCTCGACGACGAAGTCGGGAACGACGTGAGGAAAGCTGTGGCCGACGGTTTTCCCATTGAGAATGTGATTGCATCTGATCTTGAGCAAGGTTAGACAATGGTCTCTCTCTGCTCCACACCTATCTCATATAGGTCACGGCAGAATTCTGGAACCTTGGTCACTCATTATTTAACTCTACGCAAGAAAAATTCCCTGTGCCCTTCCTCCGCGGCGACGCCTTGGACGAAGCATTCCTTCCTGTATCACCCCCACTGCGAACCCCTGCAGAAACTCCTGCTCCAGCGCTCTCCTCCCTCACTTCTCTTGCACCCCTGCACGGACGCGTGTCCGCGATCCACGCCTCCTCGTTCTTCCACCTCTTCGGCGAGTCTCAGCAGGCGCAGCTCGCACACTCACTCGGGGCTCTCCTCTCGCCCGTTCCCGGCTCCGTCATCTTCGGCGCGCACGCGGGGATGCCGACCCCATGCGCACTGGATGAGGAGAGCTCTCGAAAGAAACAGTATTTCTGCCACTCTCCGCAGAGCTGGGTGGAGCTGTGGGAAGGAGTTTTTGGGGAGGGGATGGTACAAGTGGACGCCCGATTAGATCCAGCGAGTGGGACGAATATCTTACCGACAGCGGATAATAGGCCTGGAAAATACACGCTGGTCTGGTCCGTTATGCGAGTATGAGGGAGGAGTGGCAATATCACAGGAGATGTAGTTCATCGTTAGTATTAAATTCGCTTTCTCTCCGGACGTGTACTGACCCAACACGAAATAGATCTGTACATTAGATTCCGATCTCTGAAAGAGAGGGTTGACATTGCATGACCTGGTTACCAATGTAGCTTGGGACAGATTATACCTGTCTCTTCACTGTCTGGCGCAATATATACTCTGAACCTGAGCTTGCAATTGTCGGAGGTCAGCTGGACGTTCGGTGCGAGTTCTTCGAGGCCACTGTAACGTGTACGGCACGTGGAACGTATGTTTTCTGCTTTCACCGGATCGCAGTACTTGTGCGCACCTTTTGTGCATCAACTCACCAGGTTGAAACTTTGCCGCAAATCCACAAGCTCGTCATGACCTGGCAATGCGCCACGAAATCATACGCCATCTCACCGGATTCGATAGAGGTGCGTACGTCGCCACGCTCGAGTCCAAGGCTCGACGAACCCTTCCAGACGCTTTTCGCACCTGGCTTCTTGAATGGCCTGCGCGTGCCGTGGTAGGGTTGTACTGGGCTGGGCTACCTGTCAAGTACAGACGCGAGAGGTCGCCGCGATACAGTGCTGTCGGTCGCTATTTCCTCGGGAATGTATCGCAGGCGATTGGAATGATAGGTATATGGGTCGGTGATTCTATCGATCCACGCGATCCGGTGTACATGTTGGAGTTGTACCGGAACCCCAATACAAAGGCGAGCTTGCGGTACGTCTTTGCTGGGCGGGGCGCAGGCGAGAGGTTGGTAGGGCAAGTGCATTCAGCGGAACCGATACATCTGGTTCTTTTCCATGATGAGAATCGCGCTGCCGTTGCGAAGGACTGGATTGGCTTCCTGAGGGGAGAACTTATACACTAGAAAATCAGCGTAGGCACCGGTCTGGATGATATCGGGCAAGACAAGTTATGTGGTATTGGCATGTATGTCACTGCCCAATGTCGGTTGGTTTTGAAGTCATCTGTACCTAGGCTTTGGTTAACGACTCGTCATTCTTGAGAATACATCAATGGGATCCAAATTTGGAGCACGCCGACATACCTTCACTCGCTCGACTTGAACCTGATGGACGAATCGCTCAAGCAGTCTGACCTTTTCACTGAGTAGTAAAAGCAGTAGTAAGCGCAAGAATAACCACAAGTCAAAATGCGCCCAAAGTGGGAAGACGTTGCCCATGTACCCACTCGATCCCTCGTGCATCGGCAGTCTCGTGCTCAGCCAGTAGTCCTCGAAGTGGCTCCAATGGACTTGAGACCGATGGCATAGCCTAGAAATGTCTATGCGGGTACAGCGATACATAATATAGACTTGCGTTGTGGTCGCCTGCGTGCTACTCGAGTCCTTCATCTACTTCAATGGGGTATATTCTCCGCACAGTGGCAATCAAAATCTGCAGCATTGAGACGATGCATTCACTCATTGGATGCACATCGGTATTCAGAGATGATTCCTTACTCACCGGCTCTAGATAAAGATTAAGGCAGATACTCAAGCTCATCACTGAATCCGGGAAGATTCCATAACACAGTTATAACGAGTGTATTCTACATAACGCCTGTAACTGTTACAGCCAGCGCTACGATGGGTTATATGGCTGAGCAATTGCCCAACGACATAATCCAATATAACAACAGCATTAGTCGCAGGGCATTATAAACACAGTCAGATCTAGATGCAGAAAAATATATGTCACGGTTTCGACTGACATATAGATGGTAATTGGATTCCTCATGTTCCGGGAAGATGCACACATCTTGCACAGAAATCTTTCCAACATATGCATTCAAACCATTTACATAGTAAAACTAGACTAAGCAGTGCTAGAACATTTCACAACACTACCGACAATTCTCGATGCATCCAGAATTCTCTGCAGCCCCACATGCATGCCCTATCATGGCTCACCTGAGCGCCGCCCGTTGCACGCAAGCCTTCAAATGGCTGCAGCTGCAACTTGAGGAATTAAGCTGAACAGCAGGTTAATTAATGACGCACCCGAATTCGAATCAAGCGACACAACTCAAACGAAACACACCACATACCAATAACTGGAGCGCGCACACCTGCCTGTTTTCAATGACGCAGTGTCAGCAAGGTGACACTTCACAGTTCACGAGAGAATACAAAATACAAAACGCACCGCATAACTAACCGGACCGAGAACACCTACCTCTCTTCGACGACGCAGTGTCAGTGAGAACCCACTTCCTGATAGAGATACAAGGCTACTTGCCTCATACTTACGAGCACACTGTAGAGTACTACTAACTGGAGCGAGAACACGTACCTCTTTTCGACGCAGTGTCGGTAAGAACACACTTCCGGGTAGAGATACAGGGTTACTTGCCTCATACTTACGAGCGCACTGTAGAGTAAAATCGTCAACAGATGAAGGCCATCGCTGAAGCGGCGAAGGAAATCAGCGCAGAGTTCGCGTCTTTTATGCCGACAGCAGGACTATGCTGACAAAACAAATTTCAACGGGTAGGCTCCGAGGAACACACCTCGACTCAGCCCAGTGCGGTCGTCAGATGGAGACGTATTTAACGAAAGCAGCCCGCGAGTGAGGCTGAAGCTCCGAACATGCCTGGAAGTTGGTCGAGAGTCTCTTGAGATGAGATAGATTTGGAGCCCCGTGTCACGGCTATCACAAAATGTCACAGTGTGTCACGCAGAGTATCGCGGTGACGTGGATCCCATTCCGGCAAAATATTTTACCTCCATTGTGAGCCAGAAACAATATGGGCTGCAATTTCAATCACCTGTGTATTGCCTTACAATTTTTGGCTAGGTCATGTAAGCGTTACAAATGGTAGAAATGTTGCTGGTGCATTATGCAGTACCCAAGTCTTCCGGATGGGTTGTGACTGATGTGACGCTCTGTGATTCTTTCCCGGTTCCAGTGATGCTGGTGTTATAGACAAAATCCAATATCGAAATGTTTCACACTCTGAATCAGAACGCTGTCAATTGAAAGAACATTGAAAGAGACAGGAATGGCGTACCCGACTATGCCGATACTACCTATTTTGTCGTGCCCGATCAGCACCTATGATAACCTTCTAACTCCCCGCTCAGGAAGCCAATCCAGTCCTTCGCAGCAGCATCGAAATCTACAATATCAAAAGGAATCTCTTCTAAAGAACCCTCCGGGCGCACTTGCCCCACCAACTTCTCGCCCAAGCCCTGCCCAGCAAGGAAGTACCACAGGGTGCGCGGGTAGCTTGACCCTGCGTCTAAACACCAATGTAGCTCAACGAAGCACGCCCAGTCGCGTATATCGGCAGACTCCGCGAATTGCGCGCGTAGGTGTGCGTGGCGACCGCTTGGGCCGATCCGAATTGGAATGAAGGCGAGCTTCCCAACTGCTCTATTCGCGAGGGGATAGCGACCAACAGCACTGGACGGGGACCCTTCGTCACTATACTCGACAGGTAGCCCTGGCCAATACAACCCGATCACGGCACGCGCAGGCCATTCCAGAAGCCAGGTGCGAAAGTCGTCAGGAAGGGTTCGTCCAACCTGGGACTCGATGTCGGCGACGTATGCCTCTCTATCGAAATCAGTGAGATGGGGTATGATTTCGCCGCGCATTGCAAGGAAGGTAGGAGAATCTATAGCGTCTTTATAGAGCTCGAGGAGCCGACGGCGAGACGGGGTAATGCGGGCGACGGCAATGAGCTCGCGCCATCTCTGGCTAACCTTGCGCGCCGCGATGAGTGCTGCTACGGGGAGTTGCGTGATTACCTTGAAAATGAGTTCGTTTGGAAAATCATTAATGGTGGCCAGCGATGCCATCCTGACGTTTGTGGCTGGAGAAAGGTGCGATCCAGAGAAGACCTCAGGCTTCTCGTGTACAGTACACGTGGCCTTCCGTTCAAGTTGAAGCGCTCAGAGTCGCAGAACGCTGCCCAACTTCAAGTGAGTCCATCTAGGTAATCATCGACAGGCTCAGCTGGAGGTTCAGAGCATTCACCATCTCGTTAGAACATCTTGATCAGATTGCAAGCGTCGGGAGCTCGTCGGCCAGAGTCGTGATAACCTTATCTACGATATGCTGTATAGGTCACTGAGATTTCTGATGCCCCCGACCGACGTGTCAAATACTAAATGCGATGAGGTTGTTCGTCGTAAACTGCTTGCTCTGACACGTGTGCCAGATAATGAAGAGACAGCGAACACCTGTTCAAAGTTATGGCACATTTGTCAAGTGCGGACGGCTCACCTCAACCTGCTGGCCCTGGAGCAGGCGAGTATCTTGCACTAGTATTGCACCCGATATGATTCAGCGAGGTTGAAAGTCACGATATGCCAAGGAACACAAATAGAGGGTACCTCTGTAGGTAGGACCTTGAATGTGTGACGGCGTTTCATGATACAATCTATGAATATACAACACTCAGTGTAGAACAGTACACGATTTGGAATAGGCTGTCCAATCAGCCGCTCCTAGTTTGCGACGTACGCCTCTGTCGAACGCGATGAGAATGCGAATAATGTCGTTGTGCATCCGGTGAAACACGGGGTAATCAATGACATCAATGTAGAGGTGAAACAGTAGGCGGGAGAAGGAAGATATATTGGTGGCGGCGACGAGCTCGCGCCATCTCTTGTTCACCGCGCGGTTGCGAGGAGTGCTCGGAGAGGGAGATGCGGACGAATGCCTGGAGTAGTGTCTCGTTCAACAAGTTGTCCATGCCTGTCGTCGCCAATCATGGGCCTCTATATATCCGAACGATAAACGGAAATGCGGTTTGGAGAAAGTTCAGCATGTTTCTCCTGAGATAGAGAAAGATGTACGCTCCTGGACGCCAGGCCAGCTAGTGAATACGCTATCTTCAGTGTACCTAATGATGGATTATTCACTACCAGGCTTGGCATGCAGTGCACACAGTATCAGCATGAAGGTGGAAAACCTTCGCAAAAGCATCAGTTTTCTTAAATGCCGACACGGCACTGCCGTCCAAACTCGAGGTGCAAGGCCTCGGCCAGCGCACATGTCTTGCGTATATAGAACATCACGTCTGTTGCCAGCTAATATCGCCCAACTGATACGCTCTCGGTGAGATTTAGTATTCGTACAAGTACTCTTGAACTTCCCTTGGACTTACTGTATACATGACTGCCGGTCGCAAAGCTGTAGAGGAACGATCGAGATCTACAGCAATAGCGCGAGCGATACGGCGACCAATCCGGCGGCCCGGCTACTCCGCAACTCTGCCTCTCAACTCAAATCAGCAACGATTCTATCGCCGAAGTACTGCTAGTCACTAGGGACGCTCTGTCCAGCTATATCGTCGCCTACTAGTACTAGGTCTCGATCATCTTTACCTTCGGTGTGGAGCTGTTTCTCGAAGACATTTACTTTGAAGTGCGGGAATATACGATCTCATAAAGTTAGATCACCGGCAGAAGGTGAGTCGGTTCGCCGTCCTCAACACGCCAGTGCTCCTAGATCTTATCATGGGCTGTAGGGAAACCTTGATCATAAATTCGGCTCTCCTGGTGTCCGTACAAAGTTTGTCGGCTCAATCCGTGTCACAACCCCGCCGTCCCACCGATGGCTACTCCACCGTCCATGGACGACTCCACGAATGGTCACCCCCTCTTTCCCCCGGAGATGCAGGACCACATTCTTGACCACCTCTGGTCGGATCGTTCGGCACTGAAAGCTTGCAGCCTCACCTGCCGCGCATGGGTTCCCACTGTGCGACACCACCTCTTCCACTCCATCTCTCTCAGAAATATCGACATTCCGTCCCTACTACACGTACTCAATGAGTCCATCGGTCTCGTACACCATGTCCACAAGCTCAGCATGCGCGGGACAGGCCAACGGATGTCATTACTGGACACTGGGATGCTGCGGCTCCTGGAGCGCCTGGGTGCGCTCGGTTGTGTGACGGTACAGTGGTGGAGGACAGACGTCGGACACTCATGGCAGGGAGAGGGCAATGAGCCACCGTTGCAGGCTATTCCTCCTAGGCTGAGGGACGCAGGGCCCTACTTCAGCGTCACCCGCCTCAACTTCATGGCCGACTGCGAGTTCGATCGCATAGAATTCGACACGTTCCTCTTGGCGTTCCCGAGATTGTCGACGCTGAACATGTCTAATCTCTCGCTGTTTCCAAACAATACGCCCCAGCCTCGGATTCCCGCTAGCATCCGTCCATTAGTATCTGAAGTATCCTGGGCGCACAATGGAGGCAGGTTTTCTCCCTTCGGGAGCGAGCTCCCCCCTCTTGGGTGGCATATGAACCGTGGTCCCTTGGACCTCTCCCGGTTATCCACTCTCAAAGTGCAGCTGTGGGGGGGCGTAGTCTGGTCGATGCTGCGTGACCTCATGCACACCTGCGGAGGTGCACTGCGACATCTCGTACTGTCCCTCGATGACGATATCGCTCGGTTCGAATGCAAGCCGGGGAGCATCGACTTGTCGCGCAACGTGAATCTGGAGATCCTGCATATCAAAGATATCTTACTGAACTGCTGCATGCCCCTGCGCTGCGTCTGTGCCGTTCTGTGCCAGCTCACATACCCATTACCTGACGACGGTAATGGAGAGCAGCGGCACTCACACGCACACTTGCGCAACGTCGTAATCGACCTGTGCAACCCATATGCTTTCACAACTTCGACTATTCCGGAAGATCTCGACTGGGATACTCTTGACGGGCATCTCGCCCGGATTTTGCAGTACAGTGCGGCAGCGGTCGTCACTCTCAGGGTCCCCGCCCCGCTCTTCGAGCCGCACACATCCATACTGGCGATTTTACGCAGTCTGCCTGAGGCAACCAAGGTGGGGCGTCGGGATCGGGCTGGCAAGCACAAGGGACGAGTGAGGATCATCCCTGTGTATATGCACCGGTATTCCTCGGGTCCTTGGGAGGTTGGGACAGACGAGGCGCCCGAGGTGTGGGTCGTGTGATGCTGCCGTGCGAGTATAGGACCCAATTCAAAGACTGGTAGAAATCGGCCTTCGTCGAGTCCATGGACCCGGATTTTTTTATTGTCTTCGCACTGTGAGCAGCGAAGTTGATTTTGAACTAGTTCGTGCATGGTCTCTACTTTTCTGGTGATTGACATATTTTATTGGGAACTCTATGTTGCGTTTTCCGGAGATTTGAAACGCTGGGTTTACTGGCGAAATTATCTGTAGTTTATGACATATGTCTGCTCACGTTGTCCATAAAGGGCATTGTATTTATTCGGCGCTGCGGAATGCTGAGGTATTCACACTGTTTCGTTAGTCTTCCGAAGGTCCTCGTTGCTTTTGTCTTCCTTTCAGAGTAGTGCCGGTTACAGTACCCTTGTCGCGGTTTCATTACGTCTGGCATTCGGTTGCAGTCCAATGCGTAATATCCGATAATCGATGACAAAATGCAACTTTGCCTAGTAGCCTTTCTTCATGGGTTGAGACGTCACCTCGAGCCTCATATCATTCTCCAAAGTATACAGTACAGGGGCTGACTACTGACAACAAAAACTGCTTTACCGCTCTACAGAATATATTCGTTCTCATAGAATTTCGGCGCGTAGTTCTCTAGGGTGTCCGGAATGATATCAGGGTACAACTCGCGGGAATCCAGGTAACCCAACGCCTTCGCATTCTCCAAGCTATTTTCACCGAGGACATGGATGCTGTATTGGTATTGGTAACCCGTCTTGGTCGCAAAAGAGACGAAAGAATGAGTCTTCGCATACTCTTCCTTAGCGGCCGCAATTCGTTCGAGAAGCTCGTTCGCGGATACCTAGATAACGAAATCCCTTTACAGTCGGAAAGAAAAGCCATGCAACGAACTTACGTGCGCGACATTCTCTATCAAGGCTGAACCCTCTCCGCTCACTTTGGCGCCGATCTCCATGGCTTGCAATGCAGTTACTTGGTCCTCCCAGATGAGCACGGAATGGTTGAGCGTGCGCTCATCTGCGATGACGTGTGCAACATACACGCCGACGTTGTCCAGGTTGGTGACGAGTATCTTCTTCACACCACCGTTGTAAAGTTGGCGGCTCGCATCACGCATCATGGACTTGCTAGTAGAACGGCAGGGGAGAGAGATCTGCATCCACCAGCCAATGTCGATAAAAGTATATCCAAGACCAAGACTCTTGATGTAGTCGTGTATTTCAAGTTTCTGCATGTGAAGGACGAACTCAGAACATGACGACGAGCAAAACATTTCCTACGGACCTCATCGAGCAAGTCACGGACCCCGCGCGCTCCGGGAGTCCCAAAATCGCATGGGATAACCCTCTTGACACCAACCTGCTTCGCAGCGGCGAAGAGATCGCGCTGGCTAAGGATCTTCCTCGCGGTGATCGTGCTGATCAGCACGTCTACTCCATGCAATACCTTGGCCAGCTTTTCGACGCCATCGTCGATGTCTGCTTCATGGATAATAACGTTGTTCTTCCTATACTCGACAACTACCGGCTTGGATAGAGAAGACGCGCGAACGGCCGTAGCGACGCGCTGTGACGAGGGGTTAGGTTGGATAGCACACGCAGGACACGAAGCGTACGAATGCCCCGGACTTTACGAGACCGTTGATGATTACTACCGCTGTATGACCTGTGCCACCAAAGACGAGCACCAGAGGCCGAGAATCGGTAGTGTCAGCCATGGACAAGTCGTAAACGTGAGGCTCTGAAAGTGCACGGCGTGGGGTGGTCGTTCCGAAAGCTTCGGAACCGTCGTCTTGTGCGTCGCGGTATTTATACACTTCTGTCTCCGTGGGGTGCGGAATGGCTACTCAATCTTCTGGTTCACGGGTTCATTTGGCCTGAGCAGGCCGAGAGATTTGAGCCCATGCCGGGTTGCATATACCGAGTGGCCGGGAATGCTATGTCAGCCACCCAGCCCGACTCGATGATAGAGATCTCGATCTTGCAATAGGTTCTAGCCCATTTTGGCATGAGTCGTCGTCGAACAGCCTATGAACCTACAACAGTCAGTCCACGGCACGAACGGACGGAGACATAAATATAAAACTGCCGTCATTGAACTATGTAAGTCCCAGTGTAATAACGGTTCAATGCTGCGAGATCTCCAATTCCGATTCTGTGGCGGAGGCCGTCCTTCGTAGCGGAGACTGAAGAGTACACAAGAACGTCGATGGCGATCCCTGTAGCGATTCGACGACAACTTGACAAGCGCCATCTACGAGCGCCCCGAACGTGCGGAGAGCACGATGCCGAAGTAACGCGTCATCCGAGTCCCGACCTCTCTCCATTATTAATCCTCACATTCCTCCCACGTCTCTCCACACTCGAAGTGCAAATGCGTACGTTCAATAACTGGCCGACGTTGCGTAGGCTTCTATATGCAAGCGGTCCTGCATTACGATGTGTAGCATTGTCTCTTACGTAGTACAAGGTCATCGATTACAACCGTCATCCAGCGGCACCCTTCGCACAGCGTGAACCTGGAAGAGCTATATATTAACGAGATCTTACTAAACCGCTTCCCCTGCCCTTCGCCGTTTCTGAGTCAGCTCGCACTCCCTATTACCACAGGCAGAAGTTATGACGACGGTAGAGGAGAATACACCTATTCGCCTGCACACCTGTGCCGCATCATGTTCGAGCTGTGTGGCCTAGGCGTAGACGCGCCCCCCAACATGCAGTTCGGCTTTCGAGGGGTCAAAAGTTCAAGACTTATATTAAGTAAAGGTCTGCGACGAAATGCACCCACTAGCTTGTCGTTGCGCTGCAAATTCGTTCTTTATCATCCCACGTGGCGGGCACGCGAAGGGCATCTTTCCGTTTTGACCGGGATCGTCATGATATATGTAATTTTAAGAGACGTTGGATCTTACTCCGGGAACAGCTGTGTCGACGACCTCGACGGCCACTATCAATGATATGAACTGCTGTTCGACGTCTTCGCCCATCTCTCTGTTCCAGCCCTCGTAGCCAGCATAGCGAACAAAAGGTGGCGCCAGTTCGTCGCCGTCGCCCAGATCTCACCCTTCCGCCGCAGATTCCTTGATTTACACACAGATGGTATCTACCGACAGTCATTCTTGCCACGTGCGCTGACCGAGAGGCGTACGTCTCCCGCCTCGTGGTAGTCAGGACAGTCTCTGCCAGACGACTTCCGCACCCAGGCTTTGCACGCAATCATTGGCCAGGACTCCCGCTCACGTACTGGGGGAGCGGTCCGTTTGGAGGACCTCTTCCCTTGAAGGAAGAAGGGGTGGAGGACCACCTGCAGATACCTGTGGGTATCATGACATGCCGAATGTATTCCTCCTTCTTCACGTCCCCTGCAACATGATACCTCAGACAAAGGATTGGGTGCGCTATGTATCCCTGCACTTCCACTTCGCTAAATCGACTGGCAAGGCGGTGGATTACTATCTCGCAGCTTGCGGCCTGGGCAAGAAGTTGGTCGGGCAAGCGCGTTCGTATCGGCGTCGTATCAATTTCGATGCCACTGCGTTGGACTGGAAACCTGAAGGAGCAACTCCAGCACAGGACTGTCACATTATATCATGGAATACGCGCATGGCGGCGTCCTACAAATTTTCCTGTCAACATTTCGCACACTGCTATCAATTGTATGGTTGAGCGCTAACGGCTTACGTGGCTCACGGCATTCTTTTCTTCAAGGTCTATCTACTAACGGAGGTATGTACAGTGTGTGTACAGTACTCGCCAACCCTTATGTCACTTTCGACCTGAGCGCGTAAGTCTTCGATCATATTTCTGACTCCTGCTTTGTTGGCCGTCAACTGAAGAGGAAGGCTATGAGCCCCACATGCTGCATATACATCACATTCTAACATTCATCCTCGCCCAGACAAGTATGCACGGTCAATTCCCAGCGCTTGGGTGTAGACCGGCAGTTTCTTCACCCCGTAGCTATTACAGCGGAAATACAAGGTTTTCATTCAGCTGGCCGTGGCTCTTGACTTTCCATACCAACCAGTGGTGCTTCCCGGTTCGTATCATAAAGCTCCGTGCCGCCGAACAAATATGGTTCTGCTCTTGCCGTCGAGGATGAGGTGAACGCCAAAAGAACCCCGTTGAGTGCATGTCTCCCGTGGACAGGTTGTCATATGGTGCGAACTGAACCTGAGACAAGCGTTCAGATGGGGAAGGCGAGGCGCACCTCCTGGGGCGAACTCTGATGAGCATCAGTTAAGCGTGTCGCGATTCTCGCACTCTGAGGCTCAAGGCGTTGTTTTAAACGCAGATGGACATTTGGCTGATGATGTCTTCCACCGTATTTTTCCCGTGAAGTACTCTTTTCGTGTTGATTCCGATTCAGTGACATACACTATAGGCATTGAATCAACTGAAGACGACTTTGATAGGGTAATGCATTGACAATTCAGGTGACAGGCAGACGCTCACAAATTTGTGCTTAGTTGCTGGTACTTCTGCCGCGCCCACAAGAATATCAATCACTTGACAATATTCAGCGTGTCCATCTCCTTTAGCGGACAATTGGAACGCGAAGGGTCGTTCGCAGTATCAGACGTGACATGTCCCCTCTCAGTCAAATCGTCTACAGTTCATCTGCCGGTCCGTAGCTGTGTTCTCTGCAGCGGGGTCCGCTCAGCTATCGTTTCGCCGTGTCACAATGCGGACATTGTAAGTACCTGTCGCGAGTGTCTGTCACCGTATAAGAAGCTCTTCAGAAAGATGTTAGCATGTCTGCGACGCCCTCACTGCCATGAAGTTCTCCTGGACGTACCTCTTCCAACTCATCTCTGCCTCCCTGCTCGTCGGTCGCGCAGCAGCGGCACCTACCCCTGAGCCCCAGCCCAACCGTGCGTTGCTTCTAAATTCCTTTATAGTTTAAGCTTCAGTGTTCACTCCTGTTGTGTTTCGGTTGTAGGCGCCATCGAGGCGCGCCGTGGCGACGAGTACCTATGGTACATCGACGAGGCGGAGAGCATCCACCTTAGTGAGCTGCTCGGCGTCGACTTTCACCGCCTGGGTATCACGGGGGTGCTCATTGACGGGCCGAAAATGAAGTGTGAGAATTGCGGGAAATACACAGGCCTTGACGATATCGTGCACAGCGCCCTGGAGGACGGCATCCACCGGTAAGAGCCTTACTGTGCTACGCGCGACGTAAGAGACTGATTTACGTCCACGCCATCGCAGCAAGGAGTATTTGGTGAAGGTCCTCGAAGAGCGCGAGTCTCATGCGAGTCCGCCGCACGTTGTCCGTTGCTCGACAGCGGGATGCAGCAGGGCCTATGAGGAGCCACGGGGATGGGGCTCGCGTTGGATCTCCAAAACTGAGACGGAGGAGAACGCACATGTAGAGGACGCATGAAGGACAATTAACACTACCACCGTTTTGACTTGCTGACAGCAACTTTCTTTTCGATGTACATCAAATGAAGCGTGTATGTAACACTTTTAATTCACGTTTGGTGTGGTAATGCACACAAAGGGGTCAGATGGCATCACTGGCATATCATCAGTTGAGGTTACAGTGTTTGGTACTCTAACTATAGGTGTAGTGTGCATGGCAAATAAATTCAGTGTGATGCCCCAGCACTCCTTAACCCTAACCCCAGTGGACATCAACATATCGCGCTCCATATCAACAGGACATGCTTTCTTCTTTTACACGTTTTTTCTGCCTATTTTTCCTGATGAATAACATTTCCACCAGTTTTCTCAATTTATTTCCCTGCAAAAAAGGGGGTTATGCGTCCTGTGAAGGAGTCATTCCTCAAAGAGTCGTTCCTCTGTATAGCTCCAAACCAAGCATCGCGCAGTGTGAACACCTAGTGTTGGGGGCCTTGTCTTGTGCCGCGGTGCGTGGTCATTGTTCTGTGGAGCTGATTTCTGAGCAGATAGAGCAAGTGTCACATTTCAAAAGGTGAAATCGGGAATCGTGGTTAATTGAACGAAGGCCTTGAGTTTCAGGATGGCTGCATGTAATACTTGCCAAAGGGTGCGCCCCAACAGCACTAAGAGCTGACTGCATCTGTGAACATATGCTGTAGGCTCTGTCCGCATAACACTTTAAACTGGTCCTCCGCAGAAAAAGTCTTGCACTCGTCCATTCTCATCCACACTCCCATTCTGGGAACTTTCGTACTTCAAATGGCTTGATACTCCAACGCGCGGAAATTTCGGCCTTCAGGTGCGCAGGCATTTGCAAACTCACTCCTGGGAGAAAATCACGAACGCGCTCTAGGCTAGGATTTCGCTTCTGTAGCTACTGAGCCGACGGTGGATCTCGGTGCGGCGGACTGCACCAAGCTCTTGTCGTGAGTTTTAGACCTGACAACCAAGTACCCACTTGTGAATTCGGGACGAAACATGAAGTAGGCTGTTATGCGTGCGTTCAGAATTATTGCACGAATCTGCAGTGCACGTCTGGTATTCCATAGGAATTTGTTTCTGTTACCGGGTTCAGACATGGCTGAAAACACCATAGTCCATACTTCAAAAGACACAGCCCAGACGTCTCAGCCCGTTGTTTCTTCCATTTGGGCACGTCGCTATCAACGTCTCTGTACTCCCTCCAGCATCTCCGCATATTATACCTCCCCCGCTCTGTACCTTCCAGGACTACTGGATGGCCGAGACGAATCAGAGGCACTTGTTGAACTCCATCTCTTTGCCTTTTGGATGAATGTCAGGACTCAGCGGTATAACTGGCAACTGCCAGTCTCTGAGACCCCCTCACGGTGCTCGTTCTTTATATGCGTCTACTGCAGCCGTGAAACACGCATTTGCAAGAATGTGCTCAGCCTTCCTGTTCTTACGCTCCAACCTGATGAAGGAGCAATGACTCTCCCTCTGGGAGTCGGCCTCCGCACGTTCGCTATGAGACAGCCGGACGCGAATAGATATCGCACTCCAGCTTCCACCGCTAATGGTACGTGCCTGAGCGCAGCGCCGCATCGTGACACTCTACCAAACAAACGCACCCGCTGGCGCTATAATCACGGAAAGTCAGCAAACCACCAGCGCTCTACTGGTGCGGTTGTATACCGCAATCACCGCCTGCGCAAACGCCGAGCTGATCACGAGAGCGCCAAGCATGCATCCGGTCGCAGGAGAGGAGCGGGCACTGATGAAGGAAGAGAAAATTATAGCCAACTCGCGAAGAGACCAACGCAGAAATAATGGTCACAGGCACCCTGACATCACTCATAATAAGCCGATTCTCATTACTTACATATGCGAAGATGGGGGCAAAGGGAGTGGTAACGTAAAATCTTGCGCGTCGCGCGGCACGCGCCGCGGAACAGGGACGTAGACCAATGTACGAGAAACAAGAGATGTATGCAGTCATTGTAATAGAAGATGGTAGGAGACAGACAGGCAGGCAAGGTCACGTCAACGTCAACGCAAAGAGAGGGCAAATAGTACGCGGTACGCGTGGGGGTATCACGGCGGTAGCGGCCGTGGGCATGGCGCACGGCGCGCGCCTACAAGACCACGCAGTGATGCTTCTTCCCGCCCTTCGGCCTGCTGAGGAGCGCGGCGCGGGTGGCATACTGGAAGACCTCGCGCACGCCCTCGCCAGTCTTGGCGGAGCACTCGAGATAGTGTCTGGCACCGATCTTCTGCGCAACCGCCATACCCTAAATGAACAGCGCGGTCAGCTTCATGCCACGCGGGTGGAGAGCATGCTGCGGGCACGTGCTGAGGCGTGCGTGACGTACCTCCTCTGGGGTAACTGGCCGCTGGTTCGTCTTCCGGAGCTCCTCAATCACTCTTGGGTCGCGTCTGAGATCCTTCTTACAACCAACGAGAATGATGGGCAGGCCCGCGCAGAAGTGCATAACCTCAGAAATCCACTGTAGAGTACAAGCGCGCATAATGCATCACGGCGGAACACGTCAGTAAAAGACTGAGGAAGCCAAGAAGAACAGCGTACCTTCTCCTGCACGTTGTCCAAGGAGTCGGGAGAGTCCACCGCGAAGCAGATGAGGATGACGTGGGAGTCGGGGTAGGACAGCGGGCGGAGACGATCGTAATCTTCCTGGCCGGCGGTATCCCAGAGCGCTAGTTCGACGTGCTTGCCGTCGACCTCCACATCGGCGACGTAATTCTCGAAGACAGTAGGGACGTAAACCTGAAACATGCGGCTCGCGAATTAGCGCCAGCGACGCAGACTGACGACGGGGAGTGGGCCCGCACGCCTGGCAGTAAACAAGTACGATGCGCACCTCTGGGAACGTTCCTTTCGAGAAAACGATGAGCAAGCAGGTCTGTAGGGAAACGGTGTCAGCACAGGGGTGGTACGAGGTTACACAACATGTATTGCGATGACAAGGACGAAAACGTACCTTTCCGCAAGCACCATCACCAACAATGACGAGTTTTCTGCGGATATCAGACATGGCGACGGCAGAAGGTGCTGATGGAGTTGTGCTGGTGGTGTGGACGACAACGACGGCGATGTGGAGGTTGTCGCTGAGGTGTTGATACGGATGCGGGCTTTTCAGCGGGCTTTCAAGTTACTGCCAAACACAGCAATCTCTTCGTTACATAATTTTCTAGGTCTGTGCGTGTGACTCCCAGTCCTTTCCTCCCGCCAGCGGCACCGCCATCACCACCGCCTTGTGCGCAGTCCTTCTCCTCTTTCAAAGGCCATACGCATCATGGATTAGTACGCCATTCTAGCCTTACACCGCCCTACGTTGTGCACTCTGCCCCACCAAGGACCGCCGCCGCCGCCGCCACCCGCGTCGGATAAACACAATCAAGCTGTTGACCCTGCCACGTACTACGCGACTGTACAGGGTGAAAGATATCACCCGGGATCCGGCTGACTTACAGCGCCTAGCTGGAATTTCTAAGACGCGCTGGGCACATACGTCGGGCCAAGGTGTCGTGAGTTTACACGTCAGAGTGTCATCACTCTCTTTGATTGGAATAGACAACCAAAAATGTGCTTGACAGCAGACACCTTGTCAACGGACGGGCCAGCCGTCCCCAACTACCTCTCCCGTTCCGAGTGAGTGCTCTCGTACACGATGGATATTCGGCGGTAAACCTTCGCGCGTCGGGCAGCCCTGTCGCTTGAACAGGCGAATGAGTGCCTGTGTGTTTAGAAATAATCCTTGTAGACCATGCTGGCATCGTGGCGGCAACTTCGACGTTCCCAAATTATCCCTGCACAGTAATAAACCCTTTTTGATATCAGCGGCAAGTGAGTTTCATATCTAGAAAAGAAGCTCACCATATGTCAGATGCACGACGAGAAAGTGAATACATAAGATAGTCGATGAAGGTCACCCAATGTAGGTTTCAGTGGGTACACCAGCTACAGGAACGAACTAACTAAGCAGCCCGCTGCATCTCGAGCTATAAAATCTCGAGTTTGAGCTTGGACGAACGACTGGACGTAGGAGTAGATCTACCTGCGCGCACGGGGGTCACTAAGGAAGTGCTTTGATCGGACAACGTACAGTGTCTTTCCGGCATCCGCGTGCATATGGTTCAGGTCGGAACTATCCCATCCCCAAAGGACGCATTCGCCGTAGATCAAACAACGCCCAGTTGATGCTCGAGCAAAAGACCAAGAGACAAGGGAGAGAGCAATGTAGTGTGCCAAGAATATCAGAATAGCAGTTGTGCGAGACCAAAGCACAGGTAGAAGTGTACTCTGAGCGTATTACTGCGCAACATCTTCGACCAGGCAAACATTAGTATACTGCATCGCGCGTAAGTAGTGGCTGGGATGTCAGGATGATGGTCATTTTCCAAGAAAGACCTGGAAATTATGAATGAGTCTGGTAGCATGTTCTTGGAAGTTCTCCCTATATAGACCAGATTTGGACGGAGTTTTGTGACATACCAACGGCGTACAGTCAACTTATTGTACATTCGAGCGGTTACAAATACGTACGTACCTTCATGTTAGATATCGACCATGTAAGGGAGACCGTTGTCAGCCGCTTTGGCTCCCCTCGGCTACTCCCATGTTCCCACTGTCACCAGCTGCAAGTATGGAAATCGGCCTCCAGCAAGGATTTGCGTAATTTCTTCCCAGACATGTGGTTCCACCGGAGGAATGCGCAGCTGGAGTTCCCGCAGCTGGTTGCCAGACGGTATTTGCTTAAGTAACAGGGTGATATTACTCAAGACGCAAGAGGAATCCCGGAGTTGGAGACTGAGCGAGGATAGGCGACTGCATGAACCTAAATTTATTTCCTTAAAAAATCACCACTAATAGCACTCACCTGTAAGTTTCGACGAGAAGAATATTCTCAACGATAAGCGTTCGACGACGCCCTCAATCGCGCGTATCACTGCACCTGCAGCAGTGCTGTCCGGGAATTTCGCCATGACCGAATCTAACGATCGTAACGACCTCTCCGAGAGCGTACGCACGATCCTTTCAAGTACCTTTCCAAAGGATTCGGCGCTCTCCCCACAACTGATAGGCAGGGAGCGTAAATACCGCTTCGAACTTTCCTCGCTTCCGACGAGGGTATCCAACTCACTTGTGAACATAGCGCCCCAGAGCTCGAGATCGTGTAGCTGCGGGTGAGTGCGCAGTTGTAGAGTGATGGCTGATCATCCCAAAGATAGTCGATGATACGGTAGTCAGCTCTCCATGGAGATTCGTCATCACGTAGGGCCGACTGGATATATGACGTATGGCGTTAAACTATAGGTAGATGCTACTACTAAAACGCACCTCTAAACCTGGGGCTTCGCGCTTCAGATCTCAGAGTTGCAAACAAGTTGCACAGGAAATCAACATTTGCAGTCGCCTATGATAATGATCAGCATGACAGAGTCTAAGAATAGGTAAGCACGCGATTCAAACATCGGCGCGGCGTTGGTGCAGCTGAGAGTCTGTAGTGTAAATCCACCCTGCAAAGCGTGTAGGGTTTAACAAAAGACAAAGGGACGACAAAAAGAGAATATGGGAGAGAACAGGCACATCTTGTAGTGATATGTCTCATCGTATTTCAACAGAGAATATTGTAGTCCGCGACTGTGGCACAGACTGAAGATATCCGCCTCACTCGACTACGAGGACACGTAGCCACCGATGTTTAGAGTATAGTATATTCGCAGCCGATAATCTGCCGGGGAATGGTAGTACAAGAAAAGAGGCTTCACGAGAGCTTCGGGTAATGCTTCACTTCCTTGCCAGTCAAAGAAGTATCCAGAAGTCCTATGCAAAACTTTGATGGAAGAGCCATATGAATTTACTAAGATTAACGAGAATGGAGATCAGAAATGCCTTCATAAACAGCAAACGAACCCGGTTCGAATCCACCAACCCTTAGGCACGCCCTTTTCTCCACCGTTGGCACTCCGCATGCCGAAGCGCACGATCCTGGCGAGATAGAAGTAAATGAAGGGAATCCAACCACTCCATGCTCCTGGTTGCTCGGCCTTCCACCTTGGTGTGACCGCCGTAAACAGTTGCTACTCCCCCGACTAACGTCTCGCCCTTGCCCTTCCCCGACAAGAGGAGATACATACGCCACATCACCTTTTGGTCCTGCTCGTAGTACATTGGTATACCACATACCCAATCATTGCCATCGTCCCAATCGGCGACTTCGAAGTGAAGGGCATATTTGTTGTCTTCCAACTTTAAGCTGAACTTCTGGAGCTCAAGGTCGGGCTGAGGGAAGAGGCATACTCCGCCAAATCTGACGATATTTTTGCACACCGAAGGAAGTCCCGGCCACAATCGCTTGATCACCGCGTGCGCTGGCCACTCGAGGAGCCACATATGGAACGCCTCAGGGAGAGGCCGGCGAGTGAGGGCTTCAATGGAAGAGGCATACGCCTCCCCGTCAAATTCTGCAGCGTATGAAATGACCTCGGGTTGTGTGTCGAGCAGAACGGGAGATGTTATGGCTTTGAGGTAGAGCTTGAGCAGTGCGCGCCGTACGGGATCGATAGGTGTGGCGGCGACAAGACCGCACCATTTTTTGCTGACAGCGCGAACTTGGAAGATTGAGTAAACTGGAAGGTAAGTGAATATCTCGATGATCAGCTCGTTGGGTAGGTCGTTCAAGCCCATGGTCGTCGTGGTGAGGAAGAAAGAAGCTCAGCGCTCAGGGCTCGTGACAAAAGTTGCTCAGGCCACGTGGGAGCGTATGTTTTCCGCTTTGACCGGGATCACCCATGTCACGCCCTGAGGCTTCTGTCCACTCTTCCAGTAAGCCGTTTTCGCATTGACATCTGCCTCGGCAGTCAGTACTCATCCCAAAATATTGTCTGAACGTAGGGCTATTACCGGAGCAGAATTCCATCAATTATATGTGCAGTCTTCTCTTCCCTTTCCCTCGACTGCAATGGCTACAATCAGCGACTTGCCTATCGAGCTCCTGTTAGATGTATTCATCCTTCTTCCACTCCCGGCCCTTATCGTATCCCGGACGGTAAGCAAGAGATGGCGAGAGCTCGTCGCCATCGCCCCCATCTTTCCGTCACGTCGCAGACTCCTCGAGCTCTACACATACGCCATCGACTCCCCTGGGTTTCTGAAATCCCGCGCCGAGATTATCTCTGCGCTCACCGATTTGAACAGAGAGAAGTATATCACCACCTTGGAGTCGCGAATCGGAGCACCACTACCAGATGACTTTCGCATTTGGCTGCTGGAATGGCCAGCGCGTGCGGTGATTGGGTGGTTCTGACCGGGACTCTCTAATGAAATCGAATTCGTCGATACTCTTGCCAGGCGTCGGGGCGATTATGGTCTGCAAGATCAGCGCGTCCTCAGATGCGCACTGCTACCGGAGCTGAACGCCCATGGCATAGTGACCTCATATCAACGATGGGACGTTGATGATGACGACGAAGATAATCCCCCCGCAGACACTCCCGATTGGTTGTGGATGGTCGAATTGCACGCCACTGTTCTCCATCATCCTGGCTGGAATACCGTGACGTCTCTTGTTATTACTGCGAAGGGCGTCGGTGAGCCCCTGGTGGGGCAGGTTCTGGCTCTTGGTGATGACCGTATTTATCTTAAGAGTGTTAAACATTGGAATTGGATTGACTTTCTGAAAGGTGAACTCGAGGGACGGATCGTACCGTAGTATACACGCTGTGCAGCGATGATTTCCATCAGGGCCGTGTTGATAATAACCCTTTTGGGACCACATGATATCAGGCTGCCGGATACGAGGTCTTGGGCAATGGAAATAGTATAATCTATGGGTGGGCGAGATCCATACCGATACGGCAAGTATCTACACGGACCTGCGCTCGTCGATCTTTCGAGTATTTGCATATTGCATACGTGGCCTGTATGCAGAGAGGTACGAACTGATTGAGATTCAATGTCTTCGGATGTCCTTGTTGGAGCGAGTCCAAATAGTGCAGCATAGGATGCAGAGGCGGCCGAGATGCCCACGCCCCACACAAATTCAGACTCCAATGTGAATTCACAAGTCATGTGGGATACGACGAATGGTAGGCCGTCGTAATATAGACGTACCACCAAGATCTCCCTGGATTGTGGGCAGGGTGGCAGAATGCTCAGCGTCGGTGGCACAGGCAACCAAAGTCGGAGTCTCCAGCGAGTATAGCATTCGGAAATATCAACCCACACGGAGCTACACCTAGGTCGCAGCAAGTCAAAATCTACAGGATCAACAAACAGACAGGAGGCTTACCAATTATTCGCTTAAGTGAAAAGGCCCCACAGTAACAATTACCCCGCGGGAGCGTAAATTAACAAATGCTGCCGACATACTCCGGTCCCTCATACGGTTTTGCGCCGACTGCTGAACATCGTAGCTTGTCACCACGATCTCAACACGCTCGACTTTGTGAAGTGCTCTCGGCAGAGAATTACCCCAAGCATTCGCCAGTCATGCTGCTCGATTCTACTGACCTGTAGCCGGAGCTTACGGATGCGGCTTTGGGGAGAAATTTTGATAAGGAAATAGTTCAGATCGTATTTAGGATCCGTCCCTGCGCCGTCTATTAGGGTGATGGTAAGGGTATGAAGACGTGAGCAGCGCTGCAGGGCGGTATCTATTCCTGTCATTCCAGCCACTGGAACACAAAGTACAAAATATCAGACAGTGAGCACGACTCGACTGATTGTTATGAGGCTGACCTTTGAGCCACCGCGGGTTGAAGGACAGTAGCAAATCTCCAAGAATGGGTCCGACAATGCGAAGAAACTTTGCGCATAATACCATGTCGCTGCGTTGGGAAAGCACGAGGGCTACAGATCGCAAGGAATGCACACAAGGGGTCTGCACCAGCCATGTCAACGTCCTCCTGAATGACTTGGACCGCTGAGCTGATATGGCATGTAGCACAGTGAGGGACAATTTCGCAGTGTATCCCACGGAATCAAATGAATAACCCCACTCCACGTTGTCCAAACTCAGATCGTACAATAGCGGGAACATGCTCATGAAGCGTACGAGCATCCAGAAAAAGCCAAATTGGCAATCTTTCTGAACAACTTTGCGGACATTGGGCAGTGAAGGGATGGTAGCTATCGATATAAGGGGATAAAAGGATGCAACACTCCTAGCGCCACAGATATGGAGAGTGTCGAGCTGTGGCAGAGGTCGTCGGAGAAGGTGCAGAAATTCGACCGGGGGGGGGAGTTCTGCGTCGTCTGCGGGCACACCGAAATGCAATGAACGAACGAGGTCGAAGGGTAAAGTCAAGTCTGATGTCAGCGACTGCGCGATCCAATCCCAGCTCCTTGGGGATTTAATATGCATACTGCTATACAGGTGGAATCGGCTCGCTGGGTACCAGGTACGGCATGTCAGGGCACAATTATACAGTGCCGACAGGTTGTCCCACAGGAAGTCGATGGTACGATCGGTGAGCTCAGCAGGGAGTGCTTCAATCATCAGTAGATAAAGCAGAGGTAAAGAGAATGCCCAGACGATACTGTCAACTGTATACGTTGGCATGATGCACAACCCACGATCAGAAAGTAGACGTACCACTGTAGCAGAAGTTGAAAGCTTGCCAGCAAGGGCCTCAATTGAAATGTCAAGCAACTGGGTCACACCCGAGTCACCATCAAAAGATGAAAGAAAATCGTGGTTTAGCCGCCAATGACGAGGTCGCAGCTTGACCAAGCGCCTGAACGATGCCTACCGTTCGTTCTAGTTACTCAACAGCTGTATACTTGCGTTATGGATGGTAACAACCCAATTATACACTGAGACCAATTGCACTTACTCTTATAAATTCCAAGCGCTCCCTGTGCGCAGGAGACTACTGTAGCATTTCGACCAACCCGGCCAGGGGTGTGACCTGTGACCACAAAGTTTCGATCCGGCCAGGCGGCCAACCTTGGTGTGACAGCGGACAGGACGGACAAACCGGCCAAGCCGGCCAAGTGACCTCGCAGCCGTGACCCACCACCACTGGCTGAGCAGTCAATTGGACCTCAGGTAGAACCAGAAAACTCAAGATATTACCCCGCAGACACCCTGGCGCCGCAGGCCGCCAAACACTGGTTGTTGTGGACATTGGTCACACCCGGCCAGCATGGCTGTGACCCATGACACCAGGTCAAAAACCGGAAACGTGGAAACGTATGAAATTAGCTGACTACGCCAACTATGTGGCTCAGGTACAGAAAGGCACCTCGTCAGCTACAGCTAAAGTATGTATGGTAAAGTAAAGTAAAGTAATGCAATAGTAAAGTCCTTCTGCAGCTCTGCTGAAGCTCGCTATGCACCTGTTGTCCTTGAAGTACCTGTAAGCATTCCGAAGTCCCGCAGCCATGAAGTCCATCATTCTTCCCAGTCATCCATGGCACAAATCGCATGAATACAAATGCAGCCCTCACAAACTCACTGGCTCCAACTTCAATCCTTCATGATCCATAATCCATGTCCTCCCAATAATGGCCAGTCATCAGATGGTCACCAATCAAGGTGCACAACAGATGATGTTGTACTGCAAGAGGGCTTGCGAAGGTGATTGCTTCCAATGCAACTGGGGTCGATGGAAAGTTGAATGACGAAAAATCGATAGGGGAGGAGAGAACGGCACTGAGAGGCATCGCACGAGAATGGTGTGTATCAGTCGGAGCCCCTATTGAGACAGAGTCTCCTGGATGCAGAGGACATGGCACTGAGTTGACAGTGCACTGAGGAAGAGAAAAGAATAAAGCAAAAGCATCAGATGGTGAACGTCAAAATGTCGAATAATAGGGGCTGATGTGGTTTTAATATTTTCTGGCACCGGCAGTCCCTGCGTCGAACCCCACCATGAGCGGGACAAGTCACGGCAGGATTGCCACTGTGAACAGACTGTAGTGTCGGCGCGGTAACGGTAACAGTAACGGTGGTGGTGGTCTATGAGGCGCCGGCCAAGGTGCCTGTGACCTGTGACTGGCCGGGTTGGTCGAAATGCTACAGTACTCGAAATGCTCGTTGGAGTTTGTGATACTGTCACATCTGTGACGCGACACAATCTCGAGCTTGTGTCACGGTCACGGTAAAAAGGCCGCCAGGCGGCGGCGGAACTTGCTCGGAGGGAGCGGACAGAATTGCCACAAAACAAATAACGCACAACAACTGTGTAAAAAGGACACTTTCACTTTTGGGTCGGGAGAGCTTGCTCTCCGAGCAAGAACTTATGTGATACTGTCACATCTGTGACGCGACACAATCTCGAGCTTGTGTCACGGTCACGGTGAAGAGTCTCACCAAAAACGCCTTGTTCAGTCTCTAACTAAAGCTTGCATCGCAAGTGGTGTCTGGTGAGTGCAGTGTTCTACAGCCTGGATTGTGTTCCGCGTGATCTAAGAATATTCTCTCTTTGAGTCGCAGCCGCTCGATTTTGCGTGAGGTCATTCTACATCTGAAATGGTTCAACTCTCATATCTCTAATTCATCAGTACCATTGTCTCACCTAGACGGATCAATGCTATCCTGCCTTCCCGGAGAATTGATAGATCGGGTCATGGATTTCCTGTGGGACGACCAACTGGCGCTCTACTCGTGCGCTCTCACATGTCGTGCTTTTTACCCGGCAAGTCAATACCATCTGCGCGGCAACATTCTCATAGAATCGCGCTGGAGTTCCAACCGCATTATTCAAGCCCTAAGGTCCAATCTGATACCGCCTGATCATCTCCATTCGTTACAAATCCATGCGTCAGGAGGAGGCCCACCCTTCGTCGATGGGCTTCTATTGTCGCTCTCTGGCCATCTCGGTTCTCTGAAACGGCTCGAAATATCATATATGGAGTGGAGCGTCTCACCCATGCATCCTCTTGTGCTGACGGTGGCCCTCCCCTCCTGCGCAAGTCTGATTTCGTTGAAGTTGGGTATCTGCGAGTTTCTTGACCTACGGCAGCTGCAATACTTTGTGGGTGCCTTTCCCCAGTTGCAGCACCTCGACATAGAAGAGGTGTCAGTCGCGTCGCGAATTTCGTCCCTTGTCACCAGTGCGCTGCCCAGGCCGGAGCTCATCTCACTACGTGTACACTGTCCGATGAAGTACAGCGCCGACGGATCTGATTGCTACGGTGATCTGCTATCCTGGCTGGAGTATACGCCATCCATTCGCTCTCTGCGGGACGTGTCTCTTGTTTTGCACAGCCCCGGAGAACTTGTATGTTCGACAATCCTCCTCAGAAAGCTTGGCAGGAACCTCGAATGTCTCACTCTGCGTCTTGCACGCCAAACGCGGTTTTGCCGCTCATCCTCAGCATTCTTGACGCATTATCACACAGGGGATGGACAGTTTAGCATCGAGTACTGTACAGGCCTGCGTATGCTCTGTTTCGAAGAGTACGCAGAATCTAGCACGTCTGCGGATGACGCTGCGGCGGACCTCGTCGTGCTGCTCACGCAGTTACCAGTCCCCGGCCGCCTACGTGAGCTACGCGTGCTCTTAAACCCCCTCAAGGTGTCGCGCTGGGAGCGTATCTGCGCAGCACTTCCTCGCAAGAAGTTCTGCTCGCTTGAGCTTATTTCCGTGCGGTATTGGTGGATCAAGAAGGCGGCCAGCAGCATGCAATGGGAACGTGAGGTCGCAGAGGTGTTGAGTTCATGTTGCCCGGGCGTGCGGGTCCGGTTTCAGGGATTGACGTGGTTTGCGTCGTGATCAGTGCTGTTGTGAGTATCCCATACTGCAGGCTGCTGGGCAATGCAAGTGCTTTCGGCACCCTCTGGGAAAGTTAGAGCCGGCGAGTCTATTGTCCTATGAACAATTAAATTATCCACCAACTCGCTTTCCAGTTCATGTTTTTACTACATATGCACCACACGCACTGTCTTTATACGACGCTCGCATCAGGAGTTGCCTATGGTACATTTTTATTCTCCAGACGATCCAACACTACTTAAACATCCTGAAGTATTGTATGTTTGTCTAATCACTCGTCAATTCGATTCACTGAACTCTTTGTCTCTGGACAGCTCACTCACAAAGCTTCAGTCGATATTCATTACGGTCTAAGCAAGATTTATCAAACGCTTCCATCGTCGCGACAGTACGTCTTTTCACCGATAATTCACATTGACGGTGAAGTCAACTGAAATGTCAGCTCGAACTTCATGGATGCTTCTAGGAGAACTCACCGATCACATTATCGATTGGGCAGTTGTGCACTTATATGTCGTGAATGGCATGCAGCGAGCCGTTTCCAGCCGTGTCGCGAAATGTGGATTCAGTCCACTAGGAGCTTCGCTTAGATGTTCAACTATCTGAAGATGCCAGAATCAAAACCGCCGTTCGATCTTGTTCAATCCCTGCACCTCTGCGAGTCCTCAGAGACCTCAGAGAATACGATCTCCCTTGCATTCCAAGTCTTGTTCGAGCTGAATGGGTTCACGCGGTTGGAAGTACTCCACATCCAGAATGCGTCGACTGCCGCGTCATTCCCAGCAGTTTCCTTATCTACTGTCGCATCTTTGGCGAGTGTCCACACCCTCGTGCTGACGGACTGCCAATTCAACACCTTCATGTCTTTCGCACTTTTAGTGGGTGCGCTACCGCAGCTACGCCATCTCTCCGCCAGCAATGTGTAGTGGGGACCGTCCTCCAATTTTGATGCATACCTTCCGGAGACTATGTCGAGCATGTCCCTCATTGTCCTACGCGTCTGTTCCTCTTGACTCTCCTTTCCTCAAGTGTTACGTTGGATTACACACACACCCTCCTCTCGGTCCCTGCGATCTCTGACGGTTGCGCTTGCACGGCGTGAATACGTAGAAGATTGTAGCCGATTTCTAGGCCCACTCTTGAGTCCCTATGTCTATCCTTGAAACCATATAAAGGTCTGTCATTGTAGTTCGAATACGGTGCTGTCTGCTGATATGAATCATCGAATGCTATGATGACCGGATTGACAAAGGAAAGCTTGTCGCTTTCTCGCTGTACACGTCTGAAGACCCTTACGATCGTAACGTGCTCTTACGGTCTATGCACGACGTTGCAAATTCCTGTCAGATTTATCTGCCGAATGCCGATTGCGCGAGCTCTGCCTCCACCTTGGCTATAACTTGTACTGCGACTGGAGAGAGATTGGCGAGAGCCTCCGTCTGGAGTGCTTCTGCGATCTTAGACGCGTCGAGATCGTACTTCCGAATCCTGACCTGCCACCGCTCCCACAGCCACCAGCCTCCATACTAGAAGATATGGGAGCGGTCTCCCGATGGTTTGTGGAGACACTGCTGCGGAATCGCTTGCAGTTTCAGGACATGAGATCCGTGCTGGACGATCTGTGTACTCGTGGTATATTGGCGGAAATGACTCTATTTAAGGCCGATGTCTGATTATCGGGCTTGTGTCCTTTGGTGCGCGATATTCTTCATTGTCAAAAGCTTTACGGTTTCAAACCTGATCATGACGATATCCCTTGCCTCCTAGTGATGCAGTTCCTGTCTTCTCACGTTTACATAACGTCGTGTAGATACATTCCTATATTCTCATGATTTGTAGTCCCTTCATACAGAGACATTTGACACAACCTTGGTACCTATTTTAGTTGCATTCAATTTCCGATGTTGACTGTATGTTCACAGTCACGCTAATTGGTCCTCTCTGGAGGAGCTACGAACAGCGGCACGCCGCTGTTATTCGCAATGTCTGCATCGTCTCTCCGATCACGCCCATGTTCAATGCATTCATTGCATCGATCACATATGTTCATGAAACCACCACCAGACATTGATACACTGCCTTCGTACACGTACACTATCCGAGCAATTGGCGAGTACACAGATGCCGTAAAACGCGACAAATGGACGTTCACGCTGCGTCAGACAATCCAAGTGCGTGTAGAAGTGTCTCTTCGCATGGGCCCAAAAAAAGGAAGTCAGCGTCATCGTCGCCCTTCGACTGGTTGAGGTTGAAGATGGCGACCTTTCCTCCCCGATTTTTCACCATCTTCGCAAACCCGGCTGCGGGATGCACCTATGTAACACGCAGGTATCACTGATGCGTTCGTTATGGCATAGCAGAGGCATACCAACGACGACGTCCCGACTACGATGAGGATATCCGTCCAGTTCAATGCGCGGGCAATGTCGCCCATCCCTTCGGGCACCTCGCCGAACCACACAATTCCTGGCCTCAACAACCCTCCGCAGCGCGCATATCTGTTTGACCCATTCCACTCGGGACCCCCGCACCGCGGGAGGTCTTCGATCGGAATCTCACGCTGGAGCTCGGACTCTTCAGCTTCCGCATGCGCGTGTGCAAGTGCGGGACAAAGTGGGGAGACGTAGGAGAAGTTGACATGTTTGCACTGAGTGCAGATAGTCCTGAAGGCCGAGCCGTGCATCTCGATCAGCCGGTCTTGAGCGGTCTTGAACTCGTCAGGTGTGAGCTGTTCCGAGACCGCTTCCAGTGCGCGAGGAGAGAGCGAGTCGAAGTTTTGTGTAACGTAAAGAGGGGGCTGGTCCGGCCTCAGAGCGGGCAAGGGCCGCTTTCGAGCTGCGGGGAGGGAAAGTGAAGCAAGCGCACGGTGAGCGGCGTTGGGCTGGGCTTTGAGACATCTTTAAGTGAAATTTTTGAGTAAGAGCATGGCATAGAATTACTGATACGTACTTGGCGCGGCGAGCATGGTAGAATTGCCAGATAGCGCCAGCATCCTGCTTGAACCCGTCCAGAGTAGCATACTTCTGTGGATCCTGAAAGACGGGAATGTCTCTGGTTCTGTGATAATTTACTGGAGCAACGACTTACTCGCGCACCTGTTTCGTCCACAGGCCGCCCGAGCCTCGATAGGTTGGTATTCCTATGTGGCGTAACCTCATCCCGCAGACTTGTGAGGGATAACACCTATGACATACCTGAGCCAGCTGACAACCCAGCCCCCGCAACAATTGCGACACTCTTTGCTGACCCTAGGACGTCGCGGAATGCTTGTATGTCGGAGGATGGTGCCATGAAGATTGCAGGCTGAAAACTAACTAAAATGTCACTCAAGCTCGATTCGTTCCGTGAGGGTAGAGCTAATTATATCGGAGGTTAACATTCTCTGCAGAGAGAAGTATCTATATATAACTGGTCGTTGGACTTACTGTCCTTGTATGTGAGATGTGATTGCGGTGGACTGTACAGAGCCGAGGAACGAACTGTCACGTTTGTGACACGACGTGTTGATCTCAGATGATCGACTCCGACTCCGATCAACGCCATCTGACTCCCTCTTATGCACTCAACGATTGTCGGCGAGAGTACCTACGCACGTCAGTTTATAGTGTGTAATATTCTTGAATATCATACAGGCAATTATCCGACCGAATCATAACCTTTAGAAACACGTAGGTAAGTTCATGGTAAGAAGGAAAAGAGGGACGTACGTCTCCGACGCAGAGACAAACCTCTCCTTCAATTGCTTCAACACCGACATCCAGATCCACCATCAGGCTCTTCTGAAAGCTGAGCTCTCCTCTTTGAAAGTCCAGCCAACTTTTTCCTGAAATAGCATCGTAGTCAATAAAATAGAATCAACCCGCCCGACCAGCTCCTCGCCCACACCCTCCCCAGCAAAGAAGTAAAACGTGGTCACCGGTACGTGCATCACTCCATCAACTCCCTAGTGCAAGTCAATAACCCAAACACTGTCATGTGGATCGGGAACCTGATTATAACTCAGTCGCTGGTACAATGTCGTCGTGCCGGTCCAGTGGGGCAGCGCGTCCTGGTAGCAGCGGCGCTGTTGAAGGAGGTACTTCCCGGTACCTCTAACGACAGACGTCTGAAAACTAGAGGCGTCTGTGAGACCTGGCCAGTACCACCCGATGACTGCGCGTGCAGGCCATTCGAGGAGCCAGGTGCGGAACCGTCCGGCAGTGGACGCTCAGCCGCAGATTCCAGCGAAGCAACGTATTTCTCTCTGTTAGCACAATGGAGGCTGGGTATTATTTCAGCTCGTGTCGCGAGGAAGGCGGAGGAGGCGATAGCGTCTGCGTAGAGTTGAAGGAGTCTGCGACGGGCAGGTGGAAGATCACCACGGCAACAAGCTGACGCCATCTTTTGTTTGCTGCGCGTGCTGCGATGAATACTGGAAGAGGAAGATGGGGAGAGATGTCAAGCAGGAGCTCGTTTGGAAGATCGTCGATGGAGGTCATCCAGCTTTCCACCCGCCAGCTGCATGCAGCGACCGAAGATCGAGATCCACGGGGAAGTTTTCCACGGTATGTACAGCATGTACAGTGGTAACACGCATCGTGTGCAGTCGAACTCAAGCCCTACATCAGACTCTCCTGGTAGCGTAGTTCCCCCCTCAGAAAGTCGAGCCAGCATGGTGCACCATGCTCGCTTTGGATTAAACGGCCAACGACGTTATATCGGACCTGCCCGACCACCTTCTCGCCCACGCCCTTCCCAGCAATGAACAAAGATGTCGTAATCCCGTATCTATCGCAGGGATCACAGTGCAGGTCCACAAACCACACCCAATGATCATTGAGGATCAGGTCCTCTCCTCGAAGGGGACGATGCGAGATCACACTGCCGTCCTTGTTCAACAAAATGCTCCCCAATGCGTCATCTGGTCGCTCAAGTAAATACGCCCCGGTAGCCCTGGCTAGGGTCGCTTGGAAGTTGTATGCGCTAGTGAGCCCTGGCCAGTACCACCCGATGACAGCGCGCTCGGGCCACTCGAGCAGCCACATGCGGAAGTCATCAGGCAGCGGGAGCGGCGTGGCTGCCTCAAGCGCCGCGACATACGCCTCTCTATCGAAAGGCCAGAGATGCGCAACGATCTCGTCTCGTGTCGCGTGGAAGGCAGGGGAGGCGATGGTATCTGTGTAGAGTTGGAGGAGTCTGCGGCGGGTGGGGCAGAGATCGCGAGAGGCGATAGCAACGAGCATGCGCCATTTTTTGTTGATTGCCCGAGCGGCGATGAGGGCTTGAAGAGTAAGATGAGGAATAATCTCAAGCAGGAGCTCATTTGGTAGGTCGTTGATCGTGGCCATCGATATCGGCAACTGCGAAGTCATGAGGGAAGTCCAAGTTCGTGGCGAGAGCGCCAGCGCAAGACTGCGTCACGTGCAGAGACGTCGTCGAGCGTCCACCGCGAAAATAGGCTGCAAGAACTCCCGAACTGACGGCATAAGGGCAGCAATACCTTGAAGCATCGTGCCATCATCCGAACCTGCGAAGATGTTGCCCCGTATATTGATATCCACAACAGACACGACAAGATGCACGCAGAGCAACTCGTTGGAGTGTCAGAAGTCATCACAGATGAGTAAGTTGGAATCCGCAGGCCGGGGTACACACAGAACGGTCGTACGCCAAAGGCGGTGGAAAGGCGAGTGGAAGGCATATTGCTCAGATACGGGTGGTCTTCGCATGCGTGATATAAACGTGAATTGTGCTGGTGAGACTGTAATAGATCATACACAGCCCGGAAAGCCCAAAGTATGAGACCGATATCTTGCCTAGCAATGGCCGTCTCATGTCTGCAGTGCAACGCTAGAGAAGAATGAACTTGACCTTGAACAAGTGAACCTGTTGAGATACGGAGAGAAGAAACAAAGGTCGGGTCGCGCTCGTCGTCTCAGTAATGAAGCATCACATGGTCAACTGGCAGATGTCGGAGTATGTTGGCCAGACGGATGACTCGAAACCATGGTGGACGGCTTCATTGCGGTCTCGTGAGCTTACACCGCGCATGGAGGAATCCGCTTGACGGAATATTCCACAGACACCCCGCGAAAGAAGAGATTCGACAGTACATCGTCCACCGATCGCTTCCACGACGCATGCTGCACCCATTGATCATCGTGCCAAAGGTACTTGATCGGGATCTTGCGGAGTGTGCGGAAATGTGCTCGCGATAGCAGCGCAGCCATCTCCTGCCAGCTGTGAAACTGCGGATCTCTCAGATCTAGACGCAGCTCTTGAAGACAGCTGTCACAAGAGACTTGCGAAATAACCGAGAGTATGTCCGACGAGACGGCCGTGTCTGCGCCATCTTGGTTGCTTTTTAAATTGAGAGCTTGCAGACCGGCGCTGTTCGCGAGATTCAGCTGATCTACTATCAAAAGAAAGCGTTAGTTGAGACCACAATAACCGGGAAGGGCCTCACCTGTGATCTCCTTGCCGAAGCTCAAGTTCAGCTGCAGATGTTCGAGAGAACCTCCCAGAGCGCGTAAGATGCTCCCCCAAGGCGACGGTCCTCCCACTTCTGAGACCGTGGTGTCGAGATGACGTATCGTTTGAGTCGACGGAGTAGATATAAGCCACAGCAGTATTTCAGGCTGGAAGACGAGGTCACCAGCGTCGAAAATCACAGAACGCAGGAGCAACTTGAACCACGCATTAAGATCCGCGTGAGTCCCAAGCTGCGCATCAGCAGGCAGGTGACTCCTCCAGTCCACCAGAGAAAGGTTCAGGTCTCGGAGCCGCGGAAACGCGCACAGGAACCTCTGAAACTCGCGCACATTGTAGAATGAGGTGTCACGCAGGGAAAGGCAGACGACGCTCGTCAACGACCCAACGCCCACCGTCAAGACGAGCGCGTGGCAGGAGTTGAACCCTCACAAAACATGATTGAAGCAGAGAGTTTCCACGTTTGGGACCTTGCCAGCGAGAATGAGCAAGATCTCTGCTGCCCAGCTTTTGTGGCTGGGGAGGGCGGGCCATGATCCATCCAATATTCCCATTCGCGGATATGAAGCGAGCGAGCGGACCCAAATGACAGAGTAAATCGGCGACCCTGGATAGTCTCAACGTTATGAGTTACGCTGGCGCAGGATGTGATGTGGATAGAATTTCACAGATTATGACAACTCCGGGGCTGCCAGGCATGGCATGTGAGGGAGCAGTAGAATAGCGATTGCAGATCATCCCAGAGGAAGTCGATTACATAGTCGATGAGCTCAATGGGAAGTCGGTTGATTGGGCCTTCCATCTCCCAGTGGGTTTCATAGGAAAGACGAACTGTGACCGTGTCCGAAACTTAACTACGAGCTCGATCATACGCCACGTGACCGCTTCTTTAGATTCATCGTGCATCGGACGGGCGGGCCACAGTCATGACTCCGACTGACTTTTCGCAGTGTCAGTCTTCCGAGTCGACTGCAGCTCAAGTTCTTCAACTCTATGATGAATTGTGATGGTATAATGTTCTACACTGCAGTATATTCAGCCTCTCAAAACTGCATGCTCTTGTTTGAGGTGAACCCGTGCTCACGTCGGAGATGTGTTCCAGTGACGGCTCTCTAGGCGGCCACTGCGACAATCCCTATGGTGGAGGCGCAGGATATCGGTTCGATCCCTACGCAATGTGAGAAACTGTGCTCTATGACGCGGTATGCGGAAAGCTAAGCCCCCGGCTATGATCAGTGAGCGGATACTAACCTTATACAACTCGATCGCGATTGTGCTCCCTTAGCATTACGCGCAATGTGCTGAGATGGCTCGCCATCAATGATTCCAGAACGCATTGCCACCGCGGATGGTTGTCAGTGTTCTGGAGCCGAGATCCCAGCGGAAGGTGCCTTAGGCGAATCCACGCGATTGACACCATTATCCGCTTCTGTATCCCATTCCGACCCCAGTCCGGACGTGCCTTCGACGTCGGGAGCTCCAGTAACGCTACGGGCCTATGGCCTTGAGCAGGGCAGAACGACGTCAGCGCATCATGAGGTATATAAATGCGTAGAAAGAAACTCTGACGGCACATTTACTCCGGAGTCAAACCTCCTACTCTCTATTCACACTTATAAGATATGCTTTCCGACAGCAAGAAGTTCGCGATCGTTGCGCTTACCCTCGCGGCGTCCTTTGGCAGCGTGGCTGCAGTTCCAGGTGGGCTTTGTTGCCTCGCGAGCATCCACCCTCTTAACTGAAGTTTGCATACAGTGGACGCGGTGACGACGACGTTTACTCACACCTTTTTCGTCGACGTCTTCACGACATCTACGGTCCCAGTCACCGTCACGTCCACGTCCACCGATGTGGTGTCGACTACGACTATAACAACTAACGCGGATCCCACGACCACAACGACACAATCTACATCGACGTCGACTTCCACCTCTAGTACAACTACCTCCAGCACTCCGGGCGCGTACCCTCCCTACCCTACATACCCAGGATTTCCCTCACCTTGAGCAATAGTGGATTAATATTTACTTCATTACACGCTATCAGACTAAGCGAACGCGTAGCACATGTAATTCAATAGTATATCACTTGATGTAGTAGTATTCGAATTATAATCTTCTGCAAATGAGCTGTGGTGAAGCTAGCTAAGAGATGAATGCCAGACTTTCCAAAATGGGAAAGAGAACCAAATCAATGAGGTAATATCGACATTGCCGAAGGGTCGAGCGCGGCTCGACCAACATGCCTCTCACCAAACGTGCCTAACATATTAGCTCTGGGTTATTTTGTATACGCACTGAATACCAAGTCTTCTGTCTGTGATTACCCCGACCGGCCGTCGTCCGACTCGACCTATCCCGGATACCCAGCGACTCTGACATTGTCTCCAATAATCGCGACTTTAGTTTGATGACCATCTGCTCGTGTTGCTCGTGCGTGACGTTGTGGTCTTATAGCTTGTTCTGTGATCCGCTCGCTTCCATTTAGTATGGGTTGACGATATGTTCATCAGACACTTACTCCGGACTTCGGATTTTCCGAGCATAAAGCCCTCGTTTTACGACGTAGATGAGCAGACGAGAATTCCGGAGAATCAGTGGACACTCAAGGAAACACAACGCCTATCTTCGCGTGATGGCGGTATACCGGCACACACGGAGTTTATCAGATAGCTGCAGCTTAGTCTCGGCACTGACTGGGTCACTAGTGGACTACGTGTGTCACGGCTCGCAGAAGGGCGAACTTCGAAAGCACCTATTACCACCTCCGTGAGTCTTGCCGGTATATTACAGATACCACGTTGGGCAGCCGAGCTCTGAGACGCAGTCTCCCATCTCACCTTCAGAACAGAATAATCCCAGTTTGTACACCGTCTTCACGTACCGCTGATTTTTCCTTTTTCACGGACCTTCGTATGCTCGGTATCTAGAACATATGCTCCATGCAAGAGTCGACACTCACCGAGAAATACTGGAACTCTAAGCTTGACGAGCTGTGGAGAAGATGGCGACCTCGTTGCCAAATTGCTTACCGATCAAGTCGAATGAAATCATTTTAACACTGATTGTCTGTTTTTTTCTATGTAGGTATAAAGTTCACCAACGTGCTTTCCCCCTCTGTGAGATTACCACTGCTTCTATGGCAGTCAGTGTTGAAGAGCCCGCACTACGCGTTGATTTCAACGTACAGAGGGTGCGGCGCATAATCTTCGTGTTTAATGTCACTTCATTCCGCCGGCGAATCATCAGCAACGGCCTTCTGTAAAAACCAGACTGTCTTTAACGAAAACCTTCTTTCCGTTTAGCGTGGTCTGTGTCTGGTAGGTAGGGTCGACGCATAGCCGCTGCTGGCGGAAAATGCCGGTTCTCTCACAGGTAAGTTTCTACTTGCAGTCTCACGTCTGCTGTCCCTCTACTGTCTCACGGAGTCCGTCGCGGTAAACGTCGTGGACACATGTGCTCCCGAGTGGCACGCGGAAGCTAATTTGTACCGGTGCAGATCTTTACTCTTTGGTTCTCTCTGTGTCATCTTGATCTTTGGCATGAAGTACACTATTCTCCCGCACTTATAGTGACTATCTGAATTGGTGGATTCCAATCACAAAGTTTTTCGCAAACACATCTTGTCATCATTATCATAACAGTGGAGAAACCAATGTTTTTAACTGGGCTGTTCTGACGCAATGACGCTATATCCGACATGCGTAGGGAGGAAGCCCTCATTTGGACGTTCCAGCAAATGCCGCCGAAGCGGGTCGGCTTGCGGATGGCCCGAGTTCCCACCTGTCCGCGGTGAAGGCAGAATAGGACGTGAGCCAGGAGATTCAAGTATAAAGTGCAGTTCGACGACGAACAAAAACCATCAACTCGACTTCTCATCGTCCACATATCCTCACATAACAGCCACTATCAACTCAATTTAAACAAAATGATGTTCCCCAGCACTCTCTCGATCGCTGCTGTCCTTGCCGCCTGCTCTGTGGCGTTTAGTACGCACCCACTTCCTTGTTTTCCATTCATACTTTGACTGTTTCGTCGCGAGCCCTGCCGGCGTGACGTCCACTACGACGGTCACGTTTGTCAACCACGTCAACACCGTGGAATACGACACCACCACTACGCGCACCGCGACTTCTTATTCAATGTATACCGTCCCAAGCACCACAACGTTCACTAGTCACAACGACTACGACTGTGACACCGACCACAACTACGACTTTCGTGCCTTTATAGGCGCACAATCAGTTGTCTGGAGACCTGTTCTTCTACTATTGTATCGTTACGCACATAGACTTTGCATGTATTGGTTAAACGACTATTTTCTTTACTTATTTCGCTGGAGCTAAAAGATACACATGTAAATTTGAGCACTGACCAGAATCTCACCTCAGAACATTCAACAAGCTGAAACATAACTCTCCTTCTAAACCAAAATTTTCGCTTGTAAGTCTTGTTCAGGATTTCATTACAAATGTCTCATTTACACCTAGCTAAGTTGAAGAAGATGTTTCATGTGAAGATTGGGAGGCTAATCACTACAGTTAAACTTTTTATTCACCCATTCAGCGACGGACAGTTGACTTTCATTAAGACAATTCCATCCCTGCAATCCACTTGCATTGATGGATGGTCCGAGTCCATTACCCATCATGTAAAGTGAAGTCATTGAAACAACAACTAGATTCTATTGAACGTACTCCGACTCGAGGAAGCTATATTCCTCTGCTGCCCTACGTATGGAACCAGACTGCCAGTTAAATCGATACTGCGTAATGATTTCGCTCTTCCGGAGAAGTGGGGATGCGTTCTAGTAGGAACAATCGGGGGCGCACGTCTCGAAATTCATGCTGTAAAGCATGCTCGTTAAGGCAATTTATCCTGTGTTTGATTGGATCTTTTGTATGTCTCTTCACCAGCGGTGTTGGTCGTGCCTTGTCGTGCACAGACCCTCCTTCAATACCGGCGCATTGACTCTCATGAAAGGCCCTTTTATGCTCCGCTCGTGTACGGCAACTTAATGGGTATGGACCCGTCAGAACTGCTAGTTCTTGAGCACTTGCGTGTGATCACTCTCAAGCTGCGTGTGAATTCCTGGTCGACGTTTCAACGTCACTTCCCATACTCGAAAGGCCGCCAGGCGGCGGCGGAACTTGCTCGGAGACGAGGGTGGACAGTGCCACAAAACAAATAGCGCACAACAACTGTGTAAAAACGACACTTTCACTTTTGGGTCGAGAGAGCTTAGGGATCTAGACCAAATTCCCACGCCTCCAGAGATCCGGTCCTGGCAGCGAGCGACCCACACCAGTCGTCCTCTTATCGCCGCTCCTGTCTTGTTTAAACGACTCGCGCTCCACTAGCCAGCTCAGCCATGCATAACGAATTGGCATGTTCCCCGCATTGCGAGCGCACTCCGACAGGTGTTGGCCGGCCAGGCCGAGTGGAGGTAATCTACGTATGAAGTCTGTCTCAGTCATGCAGCCTTCGAAGGACGAAGCAACTTCCTCGCAGGTCTAGGTCATTAAAGCCGCAATATAGGCCAGAAAGCTTCTGTGGTTCGGTGCGTTCCATATGGAGTGAAATCAGGTTCTTTATTAATCCTCATCCCGTCTCACCCGTAGCTGCGTTAACATTATGCTCTCACAAACCGTCCGTCTTCACAATGGCTGATGTTGCTATATCTGTTGACTTGAGAATAGAACGTCTGCCATCGTGAAGCTCTCTCGGCAGCCAGAGACTGCGAGCTCAATGCGAGTTTACCTGCAAATCTCAGCCGCTCCTTTCCCCTGTTGAAGCCTGGCCGTAATCCAGACGTATCAGACCCGAACACTGCCTCAAAAGTGCTCGGCGGTCTCAGCTAAAAATAAGAATATCTATCAACGCCCTGTCAGCTCAATCCAATCTTTTCTCACTGGCAGATCTTCCTTAATTTTATGTCCTCAAACTTTGCCTCTCGACATGTACTATCTCAGTCTGAGGTCTAAAGATGCAGACATGCAGAACCTCATCCTCGTCATGCCAGTCATGGTGTCGTTCCTTCGTGGGCGCTGAATGCGCGGTCAGCGCCTGGATGTAAGTCCCGCTCTTCGTCCGACTCACATCCCTTCCTTCCAGTGCCTGGATAGATTACGGCATTGACAGTCAATTCCCAGCGTACATCCTTGTGGAGTCCTAAGCGCTGTCATACTGTAAAGCTCCCCTTCATTATATCCGCGCGTACGCCGCCGCAGACACCCGGACACGTCTCGCTTCCATGTGTTGGGCATGGGTGCCCTGGCGAAACGATCGCCGTTCTCTTGCTAATGAAAACGCAATCGAATTGCAGGCCAATCACGGCCTGACTCTGCGTGCTACATGGTCTCCACCGCTCTCAAGACTCTCCACCAGTGGAATGGAATCTGATTTCATTCGCATTCTGCTGATGACGTCTGTTATGTCCACTAATCCTTCTCCCGTTCTCCACACATGATTCACTATATACCCTGAAACATGAAGAAGCAGATCGTACCTCGATTCTCCTAGTGGCATTTGTAGTGTGAGTGCTCATAGAGCGCGCCTACCAGCACTTGAGCGTGCAGTGCTGAAGCTGGGTATAAATGGTATCGTTATCCTCTCTCCTGCAGATCTCTTCCGTGAGCTTGAACCTACCACTTTACTCTCCTCTCTCGGGCGTTGCAGTACGTGAACGCCACACCGCAGCCCTTATGCAGAGTCTCTCCGGAAAGACAGATCCCTCTACACTGTCGGCGGTTTTTAGCCTCGTGCTCCCGTACCAGCCGCCACGCAACAAGCTCGCGGCCTACGTGTGGCGCAAGCGCATGCTCTTCGAGAGCACCACTGGTCTCGTTTACCTCGAGCCATGGGAGAAGCTCTTCATATGTGCGTGAGCGTTTTCTCTCATCTTCCATTATGACGTGCGATTTCCGCTTCGCCGTCGCCGAGGTGCAAGCACCTTAAGTGTTCGAGTTGGTCTGCATTTCTCGGTGATTATACTGAGGTCCTGACCTATGCTTTGATAGTCTCGGTCGCTCTCATCCCCTCGGCATGCCTTCTTTTCGTCTTCGTTCTCGCTCTCACCCCCATGCTCGAAATGGCATCGTTGTACATCCGCGCTTCACTCACCTCCATTGAATGGGCCCTAACTTATCCCGGTCTCTTCGTCCGCATTCCCGACTCTGTCCCAGGGGAGATGCAGATGTGGGTTGCGAGAAACTTATCGCGTGCATTGTAGGTTGTGTTGCGGTAGGGCATAAAGCCGAGGATGGGCTGGATGGTTTTGCCTTGCGTGCGCGGAGTATGTTGTAGGATGAGCAACTGTATTACCATAGAGATCCTGTATTTGATCGACCATTGAACCCGTCGCTGCAAACAGTATCCATGTTATTCGTTGAATGTCGGCACCCTTCAGGTTGCCGTTGACTCAGTTCGAATTCTTACTAACGTACCATCGTACCATCTGATACTCATCTGATGCTGAAAGATGTCTCGGCGATTCAAACTTTTCTGAGCGTCATATTGTGTGGTGGCACGCAGGTGTACCTGCTCTGGCGTACCGCTATTTATCGCATCGTTTCTCACAATGTCACGAACTGTTGGAGATCGTCGGGGACCCCGGGGTGGTGCGAGAGTGCTTGGCAGTGCTTTACTGCAACACCGTTCACCCTGTGCTACACGTAAAGCAATGCGAAGAGCACTGTCGACTCTTCCAATCCCATTCCTAGTCTCGGATGCTTGATCCTTCTTCAGGCCTGGGAGATCCGCGAATATACAAAACGCCATAGCCCCGAGTTTCGCCCCCAGTGATCGCAGTAAGTATGGGTCTGAAGCTCATTGTTCTAGGTTTTCAATAGACTTCTTCAGACTCTCGCACTCTATAGCTATCACAGAAGCTATACAGAGGCTCGCTACCACGTTGCTGGTGTCTAGTAGTTCTCAGAATGCACGTCTGAATACCGTGACCCGGATTACTGCCGCGTCGTACGCACGCTGTCGTGGAAGTACCTCGGGACTTCTTCACTACCCCTGCAATCACTGCATCGATCCGAGTCTCCACACAGGCGCATCGGTGCGCACAATCATCGATCATCTATTGGTAGTTGGAGGACCGGGAGGAGGAGGCCCAGGCGCTCCATTAGCACTCTCGTCGGTTCATTACACTGCGAAGACCGAACCCCTCCTTCCTGTGGAGTCTGCACAGAGCGTGTGCGCTGACGTCTGGCTATCCACCTAGTGGAGTGGGGGCGAACCTTAATTCGATCCATGGAACTCCTACCCGGCGTACGTTCCCTCCCAGGTCCGGGTGGCAGACCCTTCTATGCTTGCCTATCGTCTGGACTCTCTCGAAGCCCGCGATCCGATAACATGCATTCTTGGCGCTGGAATTGGAGGCAAAGAAAATCCGTCCTCCTGCCGCATAAGGTTATCGCCTGCAGCTTTTATGGCTCATTCTGATTATCGCACAGCCCGAGACGTCTTGGTTACTACTCTCGACACAGTGGAACCTTCTCAGTTCTCGGTTCTTGGCTCCCAGTTTCCAGTGTCAGTACTCGGTATCTCTCAGTCTCTGGATTTACCTCCTACCTCGTGCCCCAGGACATCTAAAGTCATGGGTACTGTTAAGAGTGTAAGATGGCTGTGTCCTGAATATTTAGTGAACTACCGGCGTACATCTACCGGAATGAAGCATTACACAGCAAGTCAGCGAACATCGTCGCGCGCCCGAACGTCGACCCACCTCTTCGTACATAAGGCCGTAGACATGGGGATGCAACTAAGGGGCAAGAAGCGGTGAAGACTTCTGTGATGCGAAGACCGTGCACGGCAGAGACAGAATGAGGATGAGCGCACATCATAGACCTATGAAGCCAAGTCTTCGCTCTGGCAGAAAGTCGTCGCCTCTGAGGTGGACATTGATTAACGACGCGAAGAGCCGCAGTTCTGGAAAGAATAATCAGCAAGTAGAAAGGAGATGGAGGCCTACGTGACGTTGAGTTCGCGCAGTATTGATATTCCTATTATGAGGGGTATGTAGTACAGATTGATGCGGATCGCAGATGACCCCCTGTAATTTCCTACAACCGGACAGTGTGGGAGTAGCGCGCAGCGTGTAGTAGCAAGCAACAAGAGGGGACACGAATGGTTATCTGAGTTCCATGAATTAAGCGGAGACACTAGTATGATCAGCACATGCATCTGAGCACGTATTGTATAGGGCGTCGTTGTGCTGTGCAGTAGGTGGTCTACATAGACATGGTGTGTCGTGTCTTGACATCACGTGGGCGCGTGCGCTTTTTACTGTCTTGAATGGGCCTCGTGCGACGTGTCTTATTTCTTCAAGCTGTTTGTCTTCGAAGTTCTCGAGCTCACTTTCTCTCGATCTCTCGACGCTCTTGACAGTTCGCTTCCCCGTTTTGACCTCGACATCTCCTTACTAGGAGATCCCGTTAGCATTTCATCGCAGTTTGCACCGAGCGCCAGCACAGGACCTTGGCGAATTGTGGCCATGTTGCTCCATGTATTAGGGTGTAAGACATTGTAGAATGCATAGGCTTGTGGTAAGGGTTTGCAGCATAGGTACGCGCGGCTATCCCGCAGAATAGAAAACTACTAGAGATAGAAAAGGTGAGGGTGGAAGGAAATCGAAGGTAAGTTCCCACGTCATTTACTCCTCAGAGCTCCGCGTCGAGTTGGTTTCATCGTGCACCCTTTTCACTGATGGTGTGTTTTGTGAAGGCTCCGTTTGAGCTTCTCGATAGCTCGTTATTCATCTTCGCGGTATCTGACCCAGAGGGCGAAGAGGCAGAAGACGGTGTGCATCCGGTGACACGTCGTGGAATGGGAGCATAAAATGCAACGGAAATACCCAGGCGTGCTCACTGAAAATGTTCTGTATGTCCCTGGACGAGGGGCATCCACTTTCCACGCCTGCAGGTCCTTGTGTCGTGTCTTGCCATGGCTCGCTTGTAACTCCCGACGTTCGGCGGGGCAAAACGTGGACGTCGACACCAGCCTGCACGGTGCCGTTTCGGTCAACACCGAGGTTATGAACTTTAGTTTTAGCGGAACTATCTCTGTTGGGCTCGATGATACTCTAGCCGTCAAGGTAATCGTGTGGCGAGATGCTCGTAGGACTCGAGCGTCGTCAGATTAACTTCCGATCCGAGATTCTCGCCGATTCTGCACACGTCAGGACCACGTCTTCGAGCTTCAAAGATGACTTCCCCTTGATCGGACGTTCAATATGAGCCTGATTTATATTGAACATGGCGGAAGTAGAAGAGCAGCGTTGGGTACGTGGCAGCTGTATCCAAATTTACGTCCTTCGATCCGATCAAACCTGACATTGCTTCGTTTTATGCATCTCGTTTTCGTTGACGAAGCACGATTGGAGGCTTCTGACGCTGGAGACGCTCAGGCCTCGGGCGCCGTACTTGTTTCTTCTGTCTGAGACGTCTATGCCGATTAGGCTCATAGATACAGCCTCTAGTTACCTGCAGGAAGACAGTCGTTCCTTTGTAATAGAGGCTGAGATCATTACCGATGACCCGCTGAGAAGTCCCCCGTGGGAAACCGGACTTTGAACGATGCCGACGGCAATTCGACGCACGAATCTTTAGCGCTCAAGTCGCGTGCAGCCACAGGCGCGTCTTACCTGTGTACAAGCTTCGCGTGCTGTAAAAAGTTCTCATGGCGACGGTTCCACCTACTGACGACATCCAGGATGATGGCGACATATTCGGATCTGTACAAATGGGCCCTCAGGTACTCAGCCGATCCTTCAGTCTTCCGCAGATATCCCAGCCTGCCAGTGGCTATCCGTATCATTTTATTCATCGTGAGAATGTCACCACACTAACATCGGATGATTCTCATAAGCCTTATGTATAGATTAATCTCCTGGTGTAAATACTCAGGATGATAGTGAGTTCGGGATGCACTCGAGGTCACGGAGCTTAGCGGAATCGGAGTCAGGGACTCAGGACAACTCGGAAATTTCACGAGGTCACGCGCATGTGCACAATGGCCTGCAAGATGTTCGCTATGCACGACGGGAAATGCACGGAGGTTACACAGCATCACTTTACCCCCCGCTACGATCTAGTCCAGTTTCGCCGACGCGTTCGCGCGCGCCTTTGAATCTGCTCATCTCGCAAGTGTCTACATATGCAGTTCAGCACCACTCAAACGGTCCTGTACGAAGTGTTGTCGGTACGTCGCAGGCATCAATGAGTTGTAGAGTTTAATGATCTTGTTGCGATAAGGTACTGCTTCAGGGATAAGGCGATCGAGAAAAGACATGATTTTGTAGCCGAGCTCGATAGTCTGGCAAAAGATCAGAGTTGTCGTGATATCGGTGGGGGAAGCCATCTCCAGGGGTATCAGGAAGCTGATGTCGAGGAAGTCCGTGCCAGAGACAGCATGCTCGAAGAACCGCGGGATATATTTGATGTTGGAGCAGTCAACCGAGTACCGAGCATTGACATAGTGCCCAGGTTGGAAGCCCAGATTTTCAGCAAGAACCAGAGTCCGAGATGGAGTCGCCATGCCAGTGAACGCTGCCCAAACTGTCCGAGCTGACAAGATAGCGCGCATAGTCTTGATGGACTTGAAGATCTCGATCCACTCGCCACTCTGTTCGTCGACGAGGTGGGCTTCGTCAACGAAGAACCAGCAGACAAGACTCTTGACAGCTTGCTGCGACAGCAGGCTACGAACGCGTTTTGACCGGAGCATTTGAGGGCTCATGATGGCGAGACGAATGTCCTCTCCGCTGACAAGCTCGGCCAGAAGATCGCGATTGTTGTGGTATGCTTCTCTCATAGTGTCTTCGTTGATAGCCAGTGCACGAATTCCGCGGCTATTGGCCACAGTTTCCTATACTCAAGGTCAGAATGAAACTACTGTCGGTGTGCTTGTCAGCACGACAGTACCTGCTGCAATGCTAGCAATTTAGTAGGCACAATCATGAGAGCTATTCCTATCTTCATCTGGGCTTGTGCAGCCAGTAGCGGAGCATGCATAACCGTCGTCTTCCCCTGGCCCGGCACGATGACGAGGAACAGATCCTTGCCGCGGATGAGGTCCATGCCATGGCATAGCTGGAAATCGCGAACCGAGGGAACTCCGCACTTCTGAACGATCAGCGACTCGAGCCATCCTGAAGAGCCTTCTGCAGGTATGATGGACATAGAGAACGGCGTGGATTACAGCTACGTAGCATACATACAGAGTTGACGCGACTGACATCTCTGCCACCGACGCGTTTTGGGAATTATAGTTCAGTGCCGATGACGCAGCCGTCCCTTCCGCTGTCTGGCACGTAGCTCAAAAACTCCCACGGGGGACTTCTCAGTGGGCTCCCGGATAATGATCCTAGACTACATCGGCATATAGTCTAGGATCATTATCCGGGAGCCCACTGAGAAGTCCCCCGTGGGAGTTTTTGAGCTACGTGCCAGACAGCGGAAGGGACGGCTGCGTCATCGGCACTGAACTATAATTCCCAAAACGCGTCGGTGGCAGAGATGTCAGTCGCGTCAACTCTGTATGTATGCTACGTAGCTGTAATCCACGCCGTTCTCTATGTCCATCATACCTGCAGAAGGCTCTTCAGGATGGCTCGAGTCGCTGATCGTTCAGAAGTGCGGAGTTCCCTCGGTTCGCGATTTCCAGCTATGCCATGGCATGGACCTCATCCGCGGCAAGGATCTGTTCCTCGTCATCGCGCCGGGCCAGGGGAAGACGACGGTTATGCATGCTCCGCTACTGGCTGCACAAGCCCAGATGAAGATAGGAATAGCTCTCATGATTGTGCCTACTAAATTGCTAGCATTGCAGCAGGTACTGTCGTGCTGACAAGCACACCGACAGTAGTTTCATTCTGACCTTGAGTATAGGAAACTGTGGCCAATAGCCGCGGAATTCGTGCACTGGCTATCAACGAAGACACTATGAGAGAAGCATACCACAACAATCGCGATCTTCTGGCCGAGCTTGTCAGCGGAGAGGACATTCGTCTCGCCATCATGAGCCCTCAAATGCTCCGGTCAAAACGCGTTCGTAGCCTGCTGTCGCAGCAAGCTGTCAAGAGTCTTGTCTGCTGGTTCTTCGTTGACGAAGCCCACCTCGTCGACGAACAGAGTGGCGAGTGGATCGAGATCTTCAAGTCCATCAAGACTATGCGCGCTATCTTGTCAGCTCGGACAGTTTGGGCAGCGTTCACTGGCATGGCGACTCCATCTCGGACTCTGGTTCTTGCTGAAAATCTGGGCTTCCAACCTGGGCACTATGTCAATGCTCGGTACTCGGTTGACTGCTCCAACATCAAATATATCCCGCGGTTCTTCGAGCATGCTGTCTCTGGCACGGACTTCCTCGACATCAGCTTCCTGATACCCCTGGAGATGGCTTCCCCCACCGATATCACGACAACTCTGATCTTTTGCCAGACTATCGAGCTCGGCTACAAAATCATGTCTTTTCTCGATCGCCTTATCCCTGAAGCAGTACCTTATCGCAACAAGATCATTAAACTCTACAACTCATTGATGCCTGCGACGTACCGACAACACTTCGTACAGGACCGTTTGAGTGGTGCTGAACTGCATATGTAGACACTTGCGAGATGAGCAGATTCAAAGGCGCGCGCGAACGCGTCGGCGAAACTGGACTAGATCGTAGCGGGGGGTAAAGTGATGCTGTGTAACCTCCGTGCATTTCCCGTCGTGCATAGCGAACATCTTGCAGGCCATTGTGCACATGCGCGTGACCTCGTGAAATTTCCGAGTTGTCCTGAGTCCCTGACTCCGATTCCGCTAAGCTCCGTGACCTCGAGTGCATCCCGAACTCACTATCATCCTGAGTATTTACACCAGGAGATTAATCTATACATAAGGCTTATGAGAATCATCCGATGTTAGTGTGGTGACATTCTCACGATGAATAAAATGATACGGATAGCCACTGGCAGGCTGGGATATCTGCGGAAGACTGAAGGATCGGCTGAGTACCTGAGGGCCCATTTGTACAGATCCGAATATGTCGCCATCATCCTGGATGTCGTCAGTAGGTGGAACCGTCGCCATGAGAACTTTTTACAGCACGCGAAGCTTGTACACAGGTAAGACGCGCCTGTGGCTGCACGCGACTTGAGCGCTAAAGATTCGTGCGTCGAATTGCCGTCGGCATCGTTCAAAGTCCGGTTTCCCACGGGGGACTTCTCAGCGGGTCATCGGTAATGATCTCAGCCTCTATTACAAAGGAACGACTGTCTTCCTGCAGGTAACTAGAGGCTGTATCTATGAGCCTACGGCTCAGGCTCCCTGCCTCTGATTGACTTCGGTGCGGTCACGTATTGCCTTGCAATTGCTATGTAAGAGTAGCTCTGTGTTAACCAAGTGGAACTTCCAACCGCTCAGATACAGTCATTTCGAAGACCAGAATCGCGTTCATTCGACTGGTACCGTGATCGTGATCTCGGCGTCTTGCCGCAGTCGTTGTTTCCTAACTTATGCGTCCTACGGAATGTGATTCCGCCATGGACTTGGAATCATTAACCCGCAACTTACAGGACAGTGCCGGCTCTGTTCAGACTGGTGTTACGTCGCTCTGGTCACAATCGACATCATCTGCTCTCAGACTTCTTCGCAGAAATGCGCCAAGACGTTCGTGGGTCTGCCGCGGTATGTATTGATTCCAACTCCCTCGACGTGTGCTTCAAATTCGTCCCCAATTATATATTGTTCTCCTGTGCGTTTCTACTTGCCGATGCGGTTGTCGTCGGTCGCATCTCATGGAGTAATCTCGTCATCAAAAGATCATATATCTGGATTTCTGTGCCTAGGCTTTTGATACAAGATGACGGGTCTTTTGGTGTCGTTCTTTGACACGAACTTCCAGTCTTCGCGCTGGCGATGGGTTACGCCACACTGCTTACGTGTCAGCATCGATCTCGTGCGGCTGGATTCATATGATTAGGAGGCCCTCCTGGTATAGTCGGCAAACTTCCATTTCAATGCGATTCATCCACAATGGAAGCCCCACCAGGCCAGAAGTCCCAGCGAGCCTCGAGGTATTTGGACAGCGACGTACTTGACGCAAAGGCCCCATCGGTTGATGGATGGATCACAAATCCGCACGTTGTCACATGCAGACACCGCTGGCCTTCGTAGTTGGCCTGACTTGACGGACCGTGACATCGCACAGCTTAGCGCTGTAAGCTGTTCGAAATTTGTTTGTTTTACGTCCTTCTGACTTTCCCATCATGTCAGCGACGGTGACTCGCTGCAATTCGATTCTGAACGATTAGGAATATTCAACTATTCCTGGTCGCTCCCTGGCACGACCATTAAATGAGATGCGGGATTGTCACGTCTGTATGTATTCACCTCTTTGTTTCCTGTGTGCTAATGTGAGATCGCATCAAGTTGTGTGGTACGAGTGTATCCACATTGAATGCAGGCAATCCTTACCATTGTCATGCGTACAGATCATCACAGGAAGACTCAATGAGACTCGATCACGATGCACCTATACCTGGTATAGAAGGACCAACTTGGAGCTCTGGACCAATGCTGCTCGGACTCGTTCAAGAATCCCATGACCGTCTACTGCACACGCCTACTAATCATGATATACTCGGAGACATGCTTCTCTTCCGACGAAGGAAACCTAAGGTCATTTGATTTCATTTGCGGCATCCGTGTCAACTCTCATGTCCTTACCGATTTGTGTGAATAAGTCACAATCACTTGGATGCTGCGACCACAGAGCAGAGCATGCAAGATTAGGAGTGTCGTCTGATAATATATAAGGAGTTGTAGGCTGGGCCGCTGGGGTACATCTCTCACGACACCCGTCGAATCAGGCCCTCCGGTTACATGTCGAATTCACGCCCTCCAGCTGCCAAACCCAAGTTTCGGGTGGCCATATGGTGCGTATTCTTCATTGCCTGTAAATACGTCATGTTGAATCTCCGAAACGAACTGTGACTATTAGTGGGGGTGGGATGGGAGGTCTCGCACTTGCCAGCACCCTCGGCTGCTATGCACATCCGGGATTTCCGCTCGAGGTGCATCTGTACGAAGCAGCGACAGAGATCTCCACGGTCGGTGCTGGGATCTCCGTCTGGCCGCGCACATGGAGAATCCTAGAACTTCTGGGACTGCGTGACCAGGTTGCACGTGCCTCGGTCGAACCACCGACGGCGAAAGAGAGTAAGTGGTAGTGCCGTCTATCTGTTCTGGCTGATGAATGAACCACCGTTTGCAGAGATTGGCTTCACTTTGAGGAAGTCAGATCGGTTAAATGATCCGTTCATCTTTCACGAATTAATGGTGCCCAGTGAGTATCCGCAGATCGAGTCCTGACGCAAGTAATTTACAGTACCAGATGGCTCTACGACGATGCATCGCGCGGACATGGTTGACATCCTCAGGAGCAATGTTCCACCGTCCTATTCGATCCATACGTCGAAGCAGCTCCTTCGGTATTCCGAGGTGATAGACGCACAGAGTGGCCAGGCTGTTCTCAAATTGCATTTCCTCGACGGTTCAACGGCGGAGACGGACGTATTGATTGGAGCAGATGGCATACAGTCCGCCACCCGTGCCTCGCTCTATGACATCGCCCATGCACGGGAATGTGCTCTTGGAGAGGACAGAAGTGCCTGCGCACGGTGTGCTGCTGCGACTCCGAAATGGAGCGGGACCCTTGTATACCGGTGTCTCATTTCTACTGAGAAGCTGAGAGAGAAGAACCCTCAGCACAGTGCCACAGGCCTCACGCTTTCGGTTCGTTTATTTTTCGATTCTCGAACATGGTGTTGATGCTACTGACCGTCAGTACTGCGGGAAAGGAAGGGTACGTACGCCAAGCTCCCTACAGAATTAATGCCAATGCCTCTTGTCAGCATATTATAACGTATCCAGTCTCCCAAGGGCGACTCGTGAACGTCGTTGCACTTTATACCATTCCTGGAGCAGAAGGGAAAACATACCATGAGGAATGGGTTCAAAACGTATCCAAGGAAGAAATCGTGGAGAAATACGTCGGATGGGAGCCAGAAGTCCAAGAGCTGCTTCAGGTAAGGATGCCTGACCGTTCATTCCGAACCTGATTGATGGAAGCAGTGCGTGGAAGCGCCTTCGCGATGGGCCATTCATGTCATGGATGCCTTGCCATTCAGCGTTGCGAATAAGGTGGCGCTCCTGGGGGACGCGGTTCGTGTTCCATGAATTATCTAGCTACAGACACTCGTTGACGAATCCATAACCAAGGTGCACGCCATGATGACTCACCAAGGCTGTGGGGCTGGCCAAGCTATCGAGGTTCGCATCTTGTACTGCAATTGAATGTCACTATAGTTCGCTGGACAATGACGGACAGGACGCATACATCCTTGGTCGACTTCTTGCGCACCCGCACACGACTCTGGCACTGGTGCCCGACGTTCTACGAATCTATGAGAGTATTCGACTTCCGTTCGCCAGCGGCGTTGCTTGGACAATTCGAAATACGGGGCGTCTATACGAATTCAACGCGCCAGGGCACTATGATGGAACGGCGCCCAATGAGGAGGCAGACAGACTGCAGCTGCAGGCTCTCGGTGAAGTCGTTCGCGAGCAGTGGAAGTGGCAATGGCAGGAACCGTTCGATCTGCAGTGGGAGCAGGCAGAAGCGGCATTGGAGCACCTGGTTCGAAAGGAAATTAGATAACACGTCCGTCCAAGGCTCTGGTCAATTCAGCATATATCGAACCGTGGAGACCGGGCGCGCCACGGATAGTGATACCAACTCTTCTCCATAGCCAACTGAAAATCAAGTTTGCAACCATAAACCACATCTGCAAGTCGTGTAGTGCATCATCTTCATGAACAGGGAAAAAAAAACATGCGGATCAAAAATTTTCACCTGAACTCTTCAAGACGACGGTTACTGCACCAGTTGTACAATCGCGAATTCCCCAACCCTTCCTTAAATTCTTCTTGATAATGAACCTCCCCCTCGATATACACACCCTCAACCTTGACCATGCTGAAGATTGACATGCATGCAATGCTATCCGAGGAAGTATCGCCAGAAGAGCCGTGTATTAATCAAAAGCAACTAACCTAAGAAACATAGCTATGCAACCAAACCAAATAACAAGAAACATGCAAGAGATAATCCATCAGACGTACGCCCAGCTCGCTGGCCCGCTGCCCGCATCACTCTTCCGAGGATGCAGGAAGACGAACCAAACGTCCTCGAGTCCGCACGAGGCAGACATGTTCTCGGTATAACGAGCGGGCGCGGCTGTCATCGACTGGATTTGAAGGATGTGGCACGTGTAAACATGCGAGACTCGAGTTAGAAACTATAAAATAGATCCTAGCTGAGTATGTTCTGAGGAAACAGGGACGTTGGCGGGAGGACTTTATAGCGCGCAGTTTAGGGCCGGTTGCGCGCGGCGCCAACACAACGGCCACCGCGCCTTCGCCGACATCAAATACTGCAATACTTAAGTACTTGCATACCTTGGCTAGTTCTCCTACTTTCCTTTTAATTGCAAGCGATGTACATATATCGCCTTTATACGAGATCCTGAAATCCCGTTTCACGCTTTACTTCGAATTCATGTACGCATCCGCTACGTGTAGACAAATATCTCCTGTGGTATGTATGGCTCGTACCTCCCCTCCCAATCGCCACCCTCCGTACTGTTTTATGGCGTCCAATACACATACATTACAGTGCGAATACGAGCAGTGCTACGCATAGCATTATCATAGGTTGTATACACTACAGTCTAGTCCCGGTCTATCCAGTCTCAGCGCGAAGCAGCTAATCACCGCGATCAGGGCACGAGCGATGGCGATTCACTGCGCACAGGCGCCTTTTCCTCGGGTTCGGGGGGGTCGCCGTCTCCGCTCTTGCCGCTGTCCCCGACAACGCCTGCCGTGCGCAAGAACACGATCGCCAAAAGCGCACCTATCGCCACCTATCATCAGGGAAAAAAACCCACGGACACGCCGGCGGAGGGACCCACCGAGGAAGTTGAACGCCGACGCGGTGAAGAACGCGTCCTTGTACGCCCGCAGCTGCGCGGGCGCGGGCGCGTTCGTGCCGTTGACATTGATCACCACCCCGTCCTGGAGCGACACGCGCTTGAGCGTCGCGTCATACACGATCGTCGTGATCGCCAGCCCGAACGCACCGCCGAGCTGCGTGAGCGTCTGGAACAGCGCCCCGCCGACGCTCTGCTCGTGCGGAAGACACACCCGCGCGACGAACAGCGTCCCGGACGGGAACACAAAGTCCGCGCCGAACACGATCAGCACCGTTGCCGGGAACCCGAATGCCCAGTACGTGGCCGCCGGGTCAATCACCGCAAAGAGCACATTCGCCACCCCCGTCAGCGTCGTCCCGAGCACTGTGCCATGTGTCAGTATGGGTGTCAGTGCGCGACGGGGAGAAGGGACGCACCGATGAGGTAGACGACGGGAACGAAACCCACGACGAGCGCGACGGCGACGTTGCACAGCACGCCCGTGATGAACATGGGCAGGAGCCGCACCATCGTCAGGATCGGGTTCAGCCCGATGTAATCCTGATAATACAGCTTCACCGCACGCATCAGCCACATGTCCATTCGACAGCCGCACCACGCACCTGCAGCCAGAACGGGAACGCCATGAACCCGCAGTACTCGAGGAACGCGATCGCGAGGATCGCCGCGAGCTTCCCGTTCCCGCGCGAGAAGAGCGTGATGCGTAGCAGCGGCGGGGGCGTCAACCAGCTCCGCGGTGCATTGGGATCGTCTTGCACGCGCTCGAGGTAGTACTGCCACCCGACGTACACGCCAAGGAGGAGTACGCCGACGATGAGCAGTGCAATAATGTCTGCAGGACAGTTAGCCAGCCGAAGGGAAGCAGGAGACAAAGGGCGCACAGCTTGTCTTCCACCCGTTCGGCGCAATGTTCCCGTCACTGAGCACGAAGACGATCATCACAAGGCCGGCCGTGACAAGGAAGGCGCCCAGCCAGTCCACGCGTCTGCACAAATTAACGGTCAAGCTCAACACAAAGAGCACTCGGCACAAAACGTACTTATCCTGCTCCGTCGACGGCATGTCCTTGTCAAATGTCAGGAGCCCGCCCAGGAAGACCAGAGCAGAGATGCCCGTCATGAAATAGAAGACGGAGCGCCACGTCTTCCTATGGCAGCACATAAAAATGGTCAACACGACGCATGACACCTACCACGGCGAGAGCCATGAGCACGCACTCTGTGAGCTGCGTGAGCACACCGCCAATGATGCTCCCAATGGCGGCGCCCACCGGTGCTCCTGCGGCGAATGTGGCGAAGGCGATCGAGCGGATGCGCGACGGCGGGAACGCATGCGCTAGCATGCCAAGCTGTGTGCATAGAGCCGAGTCAAGCAGAGGGTAAAAATGTTGCAGTAATGGACGTACTGAAGCGGGGATAACCGCAGCCCCGCCGATACCTTGAAACCCACGAAGGACATCCAGCGTGATCTCATCTGAAGTGCGCCATCAGTAATATGGACGCATGACGAAGAAGACGGAGGAGGAAGGAGTATATATAGCACCGGGTCCCATCAGGAACCCAGGATTGTTTCATTAGATCCTCTCAAGGCAGAGACTTTTGCAGCGAGCTGACATCTACCTAACCCCCGACCCACAGCAACCCCGTGGATCGCCGACTCAGGAGGAGCCTATCCGTGTACGTTCTTCGGGATCTTCCAAGCTCGTACCAGTCGGCTGTTTATTTTCACAAATTGCATGCTCTCAGCCCCTGCGGCGAGGAAAAGCGGATGCCCCCGTTGCATGATGACACACCTCCCCACCTACCGTCTTCATCGCCGCTTCCTCGTCTGGTGCACTCAAGTGCATCGATGACGCTGAAGCCACACAGTCACTTGGGCTTCAACAAGGCAAAAGTTCAAGAAAACACCTCTCTGCGCGAGAATGAGAATCGCGTCGCGCAACGCTTTCGGCTGTTGGATTGCAAACTCGATGCGGAAGCGAGTATCACCAATGACTCGCTCGTCCACGTCGTTCACTCCATAGAGGGACTCGACAATCGACTGCAGAACGGCCCCAACGCTGTCGCCAACATCGAAAGCCGACTATCGCGTGCACAAGCCGTATCACGCACTATGGCTGTACCATCTCTTCCGCAGCCCCCCGCCATCGGTGTCAGCCTTACTGATCCGAAGGGGGTAAGGGAACATCACGCGTAACGCATCAGTAAATAACGTCGCGCACGGAACCGGCACCGCACTCGCGCATGAAACCCAAATCAAAAGGATGTCAAGTCTTACCTTGGGCGAAACCGCATCCCAATCCGAACACGCCTAACACGAAGGCGCCGAACAGGAAAGAGAGCTTTCGGCCATGGAGGTCAGCGAGACGGCCAAGAAAGAGCAGCAGACAGCCCTAACGAATAATGAGCCCAAATATCACGCGAATGACGACGAAGAGCTCACCGAACTGAGGGAATACGCAGAGACGACCCACTGCAAACGGTACTCCGGGATGTTGAGATCGCGGCCGATGGTCGGCAGCGCGATGGCGACGGCGGTCGAGTTTGAAGACTATCATCCGGACACGCATGTGAGTAAGAACAAAGAGCGAACAAATTAGTGGACGCACGTTGAGGACCATGGCAGTCGTGCATGTCGCTATGAGGCCGATGGCCTGCGCCATGCTCCGCTGAGGCGAGTGGGCGGGCTCGGTGGCTGAGGCCTTTTCTGTGTCCGCATTTTGGGGCGGGGGGAGCTCGTCCTCGGTGGTCGAAGATGTTGAGGAAATGTCGGCCATTGGGAGCGCGTCTTGGTGGTACACAACCAAAAGGCGAAAACGACATCATAGATTAATGCGACGACCGGTATATATGCGCATCGGGCGTTACAAATTCAAGGCGCCCAGCGAAATTGCGTTTGGCACACCATCATTTACCACGCTGAGCACGGTGCAGCTGATTTCCTCCCTCTGTCGTACCAGCCAGGAAAAACCAGGAAAAAGGCATAACAAGCAGGGCAGTCACGCATAGCGATTTTCAAGTTATTTTGTCGATTCAAGCTCCAAGTTTGAGGGGTTCGTGTAGCATTCTGCAGACGAGGCAACCACCGCGGTAGACGGGCGGTAAAGACGATCTGAAGCAGATCTCGGTCATAAAGGAGATTAGATAGCTGACCCACACCCATCTCCGGAACAGTACCCGGCTCCGAGCATACGCTCCGTAATCCGCTCCGATCTGTACAATGATTTACTTGATACACCGAGGTCTTCCCACCACTCGGGAGTTGAGAAGGGCGATAAGTATCCTAACATAACATTCAGCATGATCCCAAAACATATGCGCCACCTTGATCCCGTGAAAGTTACGCAAATCTCCACACTCCGAAACTTTATCCCTCCTTAACTCTCCACAGCGGCTGGCACCAAAACATTCGAACGAACTAACACCACTTGGGGAAATCTACTCACGGAGTTTCTGCACTTCCTCTACTGTTGTGACTATGTTAGGATATCGCCCTTCTTAACTCCCGAGTGGTGGGAAGGAGCCTGTGATGATACACCCTGCATATCATATGGCGCGCATCTAGTCCATTAGGTAGTATGACTGACACCACCGAGCACTCCACAACGCGTGACGAGACTCTGGATTCTACTCGCCGCACCGAAGTTCACCAGACGGGCAGCACGATCGTCTGGCCTGCGAACTCCTGGTTTCCTATGTTCAGAACTTGTAAGTACGACTCAAGTCCGGGACTGCCCTTTCGCAGCGCTGCCAGTGATCGCGCGCCCCATCCTGCAAGAGAGCATCTCGGCAATACTGTCTCTGGACGGTCAAACAATGTCTCACTGTAAGTGATGGTTGAAAAGAAGTGACTGTGCGTTCATCGCGGGACAGGTTATACAGCAAAGAAACAGGGTACACCCAGGATCGACAACGCAGACACGAGGCTATGGCTCATTCCGGCAAGTTTCTCTCCCTTCTTGGTCTGTACCTCGCGCCCGAAGCGTCGGCGGTGCTTTGATCTTGTTATTGAAGCCAAATTAAAGCACCGCATAGACTGCTCGAAGTCAATACCACGACGAGATGACATTCGGACTCGGATGCGGACATACACGCCATGACGGAGAACTAGTGGCAAGAGCGGAGTCTCGGTTTAGCGTCAGAGAGACTCATGGGTGTCACCAATTTACAAGAGGTACTCCTGTAAAAAGCAAGGATGGGCATCCAGGTGATGGCGCCGTCGATGTACACCATACTCGCTGGAACCCAGCACTCATTGGTGCGTACTTCGTTCCAGCGCGACCACAGCTTCATGCTCGGCCTTGCCTTGTGCAGCAAGCTTCTCAATACGGGGAGGCCAGTTACATATTTGCGAACATGTCACGTTGTGCTTGGCCGTTACAGCTGACGCGGTTACTAGGGATAGGCTTACTGGGGATAGGCATACCTGTAGGAAACATCTCGTCAGCGTCGATGTGCCAAAACCTACTGGCCGCAGGAGACGCGGCTGAGCGCGAAGCATTTAGTGAATGAATCAGTGTTGTCGTCATTGGATTTCGATGTAGCGCGTTCAACAATTACAGCAAGTCAGTAAATCGTTCTAATCTCCAAATAGCCCTCATGGTCATGTCTTTGAACGCCCGACGGACTCGACAGGATCGTAATTCTAACATCGTCTGCACGGTCTGGCGCGCGATCTCTTTGTCAGTTTCGTGGACGGTAAAATTCATCTCTCGCTTAGTTTGTTCTGGACTCGCGCTGATGATCCTACGTAGGTATTGGCACTGCGTTGTTTCATAGACGAAGAATGCATAAACATTTTCTCTGAACTGGCGTGCTTACGTGTCCCACATTTTACCTTGACCCAGTTGTTACTCGCTTGTCCTAACAGGGCCCGCAATTCATGAGCAGTATCCACCAGTGGCCGCGAAGTACTCCACAGGACCAGATGGGATGCATACCACCCTAAGCTCTTCCGCGACATGTCCCGAATCGCCCACCGTTCTTCCACTAGAAGCTTATGGAGCCCCTGAAAACTTCATTCCGAAAATGTGTCGACACGTCTTCCTGGGAGTGTGGCCGGTGCGGTTGGCAGGTACATGGAGATGTTGTTTGGTAAAGTATACTTGTCGACTATCTGCAACACTTACGAGCTACAGATTTATTCGCTTTCAATATTCCAGCGTCGGAAGACCTCAAAGCCGCGAACAACAAGCAATAAGCCGAAAACACGTCATCGTCGCCCTTGCACTTACTAAAATTGCTCGTTTCCTTGGGTACCGAAACAAGTGGCGGTCACGCTTTTGTCATTGTTTGGATCCATGCATTGTTTGTACATTGGTAAGCGCCGTCGCCATCCGTCTATAAAAGAGGGCACCTAGCGAGTCCTCTCTCTCAATCCCCCCCCTTCTGCCACTCAACAAACGCCAACCGCTATACTTCAACCCCGAGGTTCTCTATGCGTACAATTCCGCACGCGTTATCTTACAGAGTGTGTTCGTTTCTCCGGGTGCCTTAGCTCTCTCGACTGATAACACTTTCTTCGCCAGATACCAGAAGCAACCAAGTTTTCAACCACGGACGACATTCGTTGTCTTCCACAACCTCAACGTCCGTCTAGTCGTGTCAAGGGATTCACACTGGTGCCGCTCGATGCCCTGCGGTGTCATCCTACACGGCTCGGCGCCGTTGACATCGCGACCCTCGTCGTATCTTTTTTATTCCATTTCTTATGAACATGCAACACTCTTCTGGTGCTGGCACTGGAATCCAGTTTCCTTTGATTCTGGTTCTCCACCCTCGGACCCGGTATAGGGCAAGGGATGCCTTTCGCTGGAGTGGATTGCGGGGCAATCCCACACTGCTGCAGTGCCAACCGGGGCCTACAATTCCCAGGCCCCACCGTTTGGTTTAGATGGACGTGTCTCCAGGGAAAATTCCTCCGGCATCCGGGCGTGCGCGGTTTGAGCTCCCAATGCCTGCTCCCGTGGCAAAGTGGACAACCGGGAAGTCTGTGCTGTTCAGCATTGGCGATGTTTGCGGCATCCCTATCGACCAGCTGGGCCTTTTGTGCGGATGCGTGGCGTGAACGACCGTGTCTTCGAGAACACAGGACTATCGTCAATCCATGTCGTCCTGATGGTATGTTCCCTTTTGCAGTCCAATTTTGAACGCATCCTGATGGACGTTAATTGCGACTGCAGTGGTTCGACGGCACCCAGGTCGAAAAGCCGGTAGGGTTAGGTTAGCCAACCTAACCTAAGGTCGGTAGAAGGGTATAACGACGTTATGCCTGACACAGTGCGAATTTCAGGAGGTATATCGTTCAGGGGCCACGATGTGCGGACAGTCCTGTACCATGGACACCATCCTCTGTGACTGTGATCACACACCTATCTTGGCTATCTCACGCCGTTCAACGCATTTGGCTTGCACGCTCCTACATCGATCCGGCAGGCTCTGCCACTGCGCGGTAACACCTCTGCTTTCACGTCATGCTCCGACTCGGACGAAGAAGTCGATGCGGTGCCGAGCCTTGACGTTTCACCTCATTTGGTAGTTGGTTACGTCTTCGCATCTTCGCAATCCTCAGTGAATTTGTATTCTCGCGTAGAATAGCTACCTGTCCTCTGAATCTCTGTAGGTTCTATCCACTCTGTAACTCAGACGAGCTCTTTATAGAGAGTTCCTTTCCTTCAATCGAAGCATAATTCGCTCTATTCTGTAAAAATGTGGTCGTGAGCCCATCCTTGATGCGAGTATCTGGCTAGATGTGAGACGTGTGACCTTGAGATTTGAGAGGAGAGGACGCTCGCGCGTTGGCACAGCAGGAAGGTAGCCTTCCTCTTTCAGCCACCCGATCAGTGTTTCCTCGGCGTCACGTATGCACATGGGATAGCCTGCGTCACGGCGCGCATCCAGTCCATTGCAAAGATATTCCATTCAGTCCTGTATGGTAGCACCGAGTGACACTCCACAACGCGCATCGGATGAGACTCTAACCGCCGTCGTCCTGGATTCTACAATACCCAAGTCTGCCGGACGTTCTGCTCATCGTATCGTTTGCGAACTCCTGTTTTCCTATGTTCAGAAAGTAGGATTCAAGCTCAAGTCCGGATCTGCCCTTTCGCAGCGCTGCCAGTGATCGCCAACATTCATGCTCCATCCTGGAAGAGAGCGACTCGGCAATACTGTCCCTAGAAGACCAAACAATGTCTTGCAAGTGACGGTCAGAGAGAAGCGACTGTACCCTCACCGCGGGATTATATCGCAAATAAACAGGGTCACACCATACACCAGGAGAACTAGTGGCAAGACCGGAGGCAGTGAGTTCAGCATCAAGGAGGCTGTTGGGTGTCGCCAATTTACAAGAGGTGCGCCTGTAAAATCCAAGGATAGGCATCCCGGTGATGGCGCCGTCGATGTACACTATAGGCACTGGAACCCAACGCTTATTGGCGCGTACTTCATTCCAGCGCGACAAGAGCTTCACACTCGGTCTTCCCTTGTGCATCAAGATTCTCAATACGGGGAGGACAGTTGTGTATTTGCGAACATATCACCTTTTACTTGGCAGTTACAGCTGACCCGATTACTCGGGATGGGTATAAGTACATGTCGGAAACATGTCGTCAGCGTCGGTATGCCAGAAGCCTACTGGTCACAGCAGACGCGTCTGAGTGCGAAGCAGTTAGTGAATGACTCAGTGTTCTTGTCATTGGCTTTCTAGCGCGTTTAGTGATCACAGTAAGTCGTTCTCGTCTCCAAATGGCTCTCATAATCATGTCTAATGCCCGAC